CTTTGGATCCGGGATGTTACCATGTTTGTCCTGTCTAGCTTTCTTCCATAAGGTAGATCGATCAATTTCTACCCCAGGCATGGTTTCCTCCAATTGGTCCTCCAAACCAGCATATCCTTTTCAAGACAATCGATGATTGTACTCAAGTTTCTCCCTAATCTGTGAATGTTGAGAATGCACAGACTCAAATTCTTTGGATAACCTTGAAGCTACAAAGGCATCCCATTCTGCTTTCTTTATGAATTTATATATTTCAGGGGGTTGGCTTAATTTCTCCCTCTCCTTGATGTATGGAAGGATATAATGCCTTGTAAGTGTAGACTTGAAATCCTTCCATTTCTTGGCAGCAGAAGATAACACCGAGGTCTTGCCCCCTTGACCTACCACAAAAGCCATGTCAACGGCTTCCCAAATCTGCTCCTTTATATCCTTGGGGATTTCAGCCCATTTCTTGTCCACAAGTGGGACTCTGGAGCGTGCCAACACACCAATGTAGGACTGCATCTCAGTATGTGCAGGGCCACATCCTTTCCCCCTTTTATTGTACTCAACAACTGGCTTGATTTTTTGCAATTTTCTCTTCACAACACGAGGCATTGTGCTCATACCTTGACCTGACTTTGAATCCTCAGAAATTGTTGTCGTGCTGGTTGGTTCTGTCTCAGCAGATGAAACAAACTTCATCTTCTTCAAGGGCTTGTCTTGAGGAGTTACCATTCCAAGCTCCTTACCTCCATTTTTTTTTGGAGCCAGAGTCCTTACTTTGGTCTTGAGAAACCATGGTTACAGAAAAAACAAACCTGCAAGTGAAAATATTTCAGGAAAAAATTAAGAACACAAACGACGGTTATTTATAAAACACGACGTATGATAAGATTTTACACGACACAATAACATAACATCAGACGTAATAAATGTTTAAAACGAGAGTACTTAAACAACGACAAACAATATTAAAGAAGATGTAATAAAAACTTATTACGGAGATATTTACACGACGTCGTGATATTTAAATTCACACGACGTGAATATTAATATAACGTCGTGGTATGGACATTCACACGACGTAAATAATAAGATACCGTCGTCTGTATAAGAATCCAAAAACCTTTTTCTTTCTCTGTGAATGTTTGATTGCAGGTTTAATTTCTCTGAAACATGGTTTTTGTTTTTCCTAATTTGATAAAATACAAAGAAAAAGAAAGAAAGGTTTGGCATCTTATATAGACGACGGTATCTTAGTATAACATCGTGGTATTAACATTCAACGGCGTCAATAATAAGATACCGTCGTCTATATAAGATACCAAACCCTACTTTCTTTGTCTTTGTACTTTATCAAATTAGGAAAAACGAAAACCATTGTTCAAAGAAATCAAACCTGCAATTAAACAAGCAAATAAAAAATCAACCGTCATTTTAAAAACACCTTAGATCAATTTTAAGACGACGCTAGTACGACTGACGAACCGTCGTGGTCTACATATTTAACCAAGTAAATAAGAAGCTACCGTCGTCTTATTTAGTTGAAGTAGTTGTGTTCAAAGTTGGAAACTTTCCCTCTTTGTCTGTGTATTTTATCAAACTTGGAAAGAATAAAAATGATTTTGGCCAGAAAAAAGGTAAAAAGATTTTCAAAACAAAAACCGTATGAGCATGCAAAACAGCAACAAAAATAGTGAGAAATGAAAGCTTACCTTTTGCGTGCAATGAAAGCTTTCTCTCGGAGTTTGGTGTTTAAGTTCAGAGACGACGACGAAGACGAGAGGAAGACGATGAGATACTCTGATAGTGCTCTGACAAGGAAAAAAGACGAAAAGTTTTCTCTGGGAGATTGAAATTTTTTCTCGAGTTTGGAAATAGTGCATGTGTAAGTCAGGTAGACGAAAAGTTGTATATATATACAAACCGTTTCATAATAATAAGACGGCGGTTTACATAGAACGACGACGTATAAATAAATAAACTACAACGATAATTTGAACTTAGGACGTGGTAAATAAATACGACAGTAGTGTTGTAGGTACCGTCGTAGTAAACTCCTAAATAAAAGTCGATAAATCAATATCTCGCGTCATGGTAGAAGTATTTAACACGACGTTTTTTTGTAATTTACCGATGTTGATTTTTATAATATACGTCGTTTTTTTGTAATATACCGACGTGGAATGTATAAATAAACGGTAGTTTGTGTGTAAGGACCGCCGTGGGTTTTAAAAATTTATTGTATAAATTTGTCGCTTTCTTTCAGTTTCAGTTTTCATTTAGGTTTCCAAGTTCTTCCTCTCTCACAGACACTCTCTCTCACATCTCAAAGACAATAATTTGGATGTCTTTCTCAAAGAGAAATGGCGCTTACTCTCCAACAAATCTATGTCCACAAGAGGAAGCTTGTCAAGCCTAATAGGAGACTTAGTGCTTCTGAATACTCCTTGCTTTCCATCAAAAGAGATGCAAGCCTGGCCTCCACTCGTTGTCGAAGGAAAGTTCGCTTCTCAGGTAAACCTGAAGATCAAATGTTCTCCTCTGCTCGATTTTCTTGGCTAAGAAGATCCATCAGATTTGTGATAGCCTGTTCCTTTATCCGTAGAGCTTCTGAAGAAGAAGATGGGTTTTCAAGAATGCAATAAAGAATAGAAATGGCTTCAGATGGCCTCTAAAGCCTGAGCAATCAAATCAGATGGCTTCAGCTGTCAATGCTTTGAACTATCCAAGTCCTGCAGAAAGAGAACGGTTAAAGAAATTGAAACAACGATGGTTTTCTGTTCTACCGTCGTCTTTTTTAAACTAAGACGAAGCAATATTTTTTTGGCGACGTGGATTCGTTTTTAAAACGTTGTTATGTGTAATATAACCGACGTGGATTTTATTTTTATAATTATAAATAGAATTTTTTTTCCCTTGTTCTTTCAATTTATTTTTCAAAAATAGTGCCTTATAAATAGAGTTTTTTTTCCCGAGGAAATTAATGTTCTAGAATTTGTAAAGTTTCTTTTTTGGGTGACTGATTTAAATCAAATACGAATATAAAAACAACGATTGTTTTTTGTTATACCGTCGTCTTTTTTTAAACTAAGACAACGCAATATTTTTTTCGCGACGTGGATTCGTTTTTAAAACGTCGTTATGTGTAATATAACCGACGTGGATTTTATTTTTATAATTATAAATAGAATTTTTTTTCCCTTGTTCTTTCAGTTTATTTTTCAAAAACAGTGCGTTATAAATAGAGTTTTTTTTTCCCGAGGAAATTAATGTTCTAGAATTTGTAAAGTTTCTTTTTGGGTGACTGATTTAAATCAAATACGAATATAAAAACAACGACTATTTTTGTTATACCGTCGTCTTTTTTTGTCGTCTTAAGTAAGACTAAGACGACGCAATGTATTTGTTCCCCGACGTGGATTATTTTTGTTAAACGTCGTTAGGTGTAATATAACCGACGTGGATTTGGTTTTTTAATTATAAATATGGTTTTTTTTTCACGGGTTCTTTCAGTTTTAGTATTCGATTAGGGTTTCAACTTCTTCTTGCCCCTTTCTCTGTCTCACCTCATCTCTTAGGAGGCAATTTTTTGAATGTTGGTGTGTGTGTATGTTTGTGTATCTGATTCACAAACATACACACATCTCCAATTTTAAAAAAATTGTCTCTCTGATTGCAAATCTGTGGCTGCTGTCGTGAAGTTTTAGGAGGCAATTGTTTGGATGTTGATGTGTGTGTGCGTTTGTGTAGATACACAAACGCACACACATCATCAACTTCCAAAAAATTGTCTCTCTAATTGCAAATCTGAGGCTGCCGTCGTCAAATTTCAGAAGTAATTTTTTGGATGTTAATGTGTATGTGCGTTTGTGTATCTCAAAGACACAAATACACATATATCATTAACCTCTAAAATATTGTCTTTCTGGTAAGATTATGATCGCATAAAAATCTGATTATGTCGGCGGTTTTCTATATAAACCGTCGTGGTTATTTCAATTCTTGTCATTAAGTAGATCTACCGACGTAGGATAACAAAATCCAAGAAATAAATTGTTAAAAAAATTCTTATTCAGACGACGGTTTAAATATAATGTATGACGTATAAAGTGAATAAATACGACGTTAAATTGTATAATACGTCGTTATAAAATGAAAACCCCAACGTGGTGAGATTTAAAGATATTGTCGTAGAAATACGAGAAAGACGTCGTTATATTTATCTTTGCCGTAGTTGTACATTAATTTAATACGGCGGTATTTTGTATTTTACCGCCGTGGATTTATTTGTAATTATACGGCGCCTTATACGAAAACTTGGTCGTGTTAATTTCTGGGTAAAAACGGCGGCATTTTTTGAAATCGTCGTCTTTACTTTCTACGTCGGTCGGTTTATAACTTCCGCCGTTATTTGTTGGCTATGATTTTACTACTTGGAAATCCTATTTCAATAAGACGTCGGTTTTTTAATTAGGTACGTCGTGTTTTAGGAACAACCATTTGAATCTCCATGTTTTAGTTGTCTAAGGTGTTATTACACGGCGGTTTTATAAAACCGTCGTCTTTTAAAAAACAACGACGATTTTCACTTAGACCGTCGTTTTTTTCTGGTCGTCTTTGTCACTTTTTGTAGTAGTGTAAAGGAATTATTCATCTAAAAATAATTGAACATAATACTTTATCAATAGGAAAGAAAAATAACACGCACATGCATTTCATTTACATGGGGAGGACACATGCAAACCTTATCCAAAGATATTTCTTCAATATACAGACCTTACAGACCTTACCCCTTAAAACAAATTAAGAAAAACATATAGTAACTTCAAGATAATTAAGAAACATATAGTTCCTAAACAAAAGACAGCCTAACACATGCAAACCTTATCCAAAGATATTTCTTCAATATACAGACCTTACAGACCTTACCCCTTAAAACAGATTAAGGAAAACATATAGTAACTTGAAGGTAATTAAGAAACATATAGTGCCTAAACAAAAGACAGCCTAACACTTCAATCCAAATCACTATAATCGTCACTGTGAACACTGCCTTCATCATCACCCGAAGGTATTTCTTCAATATCATCATCATCAATAAAATCTTCATCCTCCATATCATTTGAGACATGTTCAAAATTAATATATTCGACAACTATTTCAGGTTCAACATACTCTCTATGAAGTGATGGACTGAGTAGATCATTATCTTCTGGTGCATGTCTAACACTAATATGTGCAGTTTGGTCCACACCATCGTCGTAGAGTGTTTCTGCCTCGTGAGCCACCTCATTCTCAGGAACATCCCACACATGTCTATGTGGAATTTTTTGAATTACCTTCCTACCATGACCCAAGGATGGGTCATCAAGGAAAAAGATCTGCTGTGCTTGTTTTGCTAGCACATAAGGATCATCTTTGTACCATAAATTCATTGAGTTCACTGACGTGAGATGGTAATCATGAACAAGCCTAACAATCTTTTTCTTTCGCTTCACATAGCCATATGTGAATCCTATTTTAACAACACTAACTAATCTACCATAAAAATTACTTTATGAGTTCCTGGTACCATGACCCCACTATTTTGAGTTGTACGAGTTTCTTCTATATCTTGGACATGCCACCGAATTCCGTTCACAACACATCCTGTATACGTACAAACTCTTTCATCAGGACCATATGATAATGCACACACTTCTTTAGTCACCAATGTTGATTCCTCACTATACAATGCTTTGACATGATGCTTGAACCATTGGGGAAACGACTGCCTATGTCTCTGTTCTATGTTAAACAGGCTTTCACGCTCTAATATTTGACGATGCTCACTGAAAAAATAAATAGAAAGTTAAATCAAAGCAATAAGAAAACAGAGTGATAAAAATAGAATTAATTACACTTACATACTTTCTAAATGGTTCAATTTCCTCGCAATTGTCCAAGATATACCAATAAATTGGTTCCATTTCTCCTTCAGACAATTGAAGAAATTTATAGCCATTAAAGGGTCGTGCATTTTGAGAAAATACCGAGAGCTTAGAATTGGCTTTGCCACCATCATCATTTCGTTCAGGACGAGAGAAAACAGTCTCCACATTACGAAAATACATTGAACAAAAAGTTAACGCTTCATTTGCAATGTATCCCTCAACAATTGAACCTTCGGGTCTAGCTCTATTACGTACATAGCCCTTTAACTTCCCTAGCATCCTGTTAATCATTGTATATTAATATCTTTAAATACAAATGAAAGAGAATCTAATCAAAATAAATATAAAAAGATGATGACTGAGTATTACCTCTCTATCGGGTACATCCAACGATATCCTACAGGTCCCCCAAGTTTGGCCTCACGTGGTAAATGAAGGGCCAAATGAACCATGACATCAAAAAAGACAGGTGGAAATATTTTCTCAAGTTTGCATAAAATGACCACAATGTCAACCTCCAATCTATCCAAATCTGCAACATTCAACGTCTTTGCACAAATTTGTTGGAAGAAACATGCCAATTCTACAAGTGGCGCACACACTTCTTTTATCAAGTATGGCCGAATTCCAATAGGTAAAATTCGTTGTAACAAAACATGACAATCATGAGTCTTCAAACCTGAGATCTTCCCATCTTTGACATTTCGTGATATATTAGCAGCATAACCATCCGGAAATTTTATAGACTTCAAAAATTCACAAAATGCTCGACGATCAGCCGGTTCTAATGTATATTCTGCAGCATACTTCTTTATCTTGCCATTTTCATCTTTATCTAAATGCAGATTCCTTCGTATATTCATTTCTTTCAAATCCAAACAAGCATTGGGTGTGTCTTTTGTTTTTCCTTCTATGCTCAACAACGTTCCAACAATGTTGTCACATATATTCTTCTCAATATGCATTACGTCCAAGTTATGTCTTATTTTCAACTTGGACCAATACTCCAATTAGAAAAAAAATACTCTTATTTGTCCAATTTAACTCCATAGGTGTCCGCTTTCTCTTTCTCTCCAAATTTTCAGGATGTTTACCAAGCTTACGATGCACAAGGTGATTAAACTGAAGTAATATGTCATCACCAGAGAATTCTCTTGGGGGATCCCTCATCTCAATAGTTCCATCAAAATTTTCAGAATCCTTACGCCAAGGGTGATTCTTTTTCAAGTAGCGACGGTGCCCCATATAACAAATTTTATTTCTTAGCTTGGTAGATGTTGTATCCTCAAGACATATGCACTACTACAAAATAACCCTTGCGCGACGAAACTCAAAATTTTGTCGCTAAAAACCTTGCGCGACCAACATTTGCGCGACGAATTTTTTTTCGTCGCTCAAAGCGAGTTTGCGCGACCAAATTTTGCGCGACGAAAAATAATTCGTCGCTCAAAGTAACTTTGCGCGACGAAAAAAAATTCGTCGCTCTAAGTAACTTTGCGCGACGAAAAACAGTTCGTCGCGCAAAGAGACTTTGCGCGACGAAAAACAATTCGTCACGCAAAGCTACTTTGCGCGACGAAACAATTAACTTCGTCTCGCAAAGTCCTTATAAAAATAAATAAATTATTTTTTAAAATCTTTGTTAGAAAAATATATTATTGTTTTTTGGATTGGGTTTTTATTAGAAAATATATTTTTTAAATTGACGATTGAATTAGTTCATTGTATTCATATAGGGTCAAAGAGTGTAGCTATAAAAAAATCATCAAAATCGGAGTTAAAATAACCGTTAAATCGTGATTTTTCATTTATAACCGTCGAAAAGTTTTGTCCCATTACTTGATCTCTGAATGTTTATTTCTTCCGATTTTTAGCGTATATGATCTCGAATTATAAACAAACAAGTTTGACGGTTGGATCGTTCAAACTAGTTTCATAGAATGCGTATGCCATCAAAACAATATATTCACTAACAATTAAGAGTTTATTTATACTTTTGTTAAATATAACATAAGATTTTGTGGTATCCACTAGTGTAAATATTTTAAATTGAAGATCAAATTCAGTCATTGTATTCATATAGGGTAAAGGAGTGTAGCGGTAAAAAATTATCAAAATCGGAGTTAAAATAACCGTTGAATCAAGATTTTTCATTTATAACCGTCGAAAAGTTTTGTCCCGTTACTTGATCTCTGAATGTTTATTTTTTGCGATTTTTGGCGTATATGATCTCAAAGTATAAACAAATAAGTTTGACGGTTGGATCGTTGAAACTTGTTTTTTTGAATGCGTATGCCATCAAAACAATATATTCACTAACAATTAAGAGTTTATTTATACTTTTGTTAAATATAACATAAGATTTTGTGGTATCCACTAGTGTAAATATTTTAAATTGACGATCGAATTAGTTCATTGTATTCATATAGGGTCAAGGAGTGTAGCTGTAAAAAATCATCAAAATCGGAGTTAAAATAACCGTTAAATCGTGATTTTTCATTAAGAACCGTTGAAATTTTTTGTCCCGTTACTAGGTCTCCGAATGTTTGTTTTTTACAATTTTTGGGGTATACGATCTTGAAGTATATACAAACAAGTCTGATGGTTGGATCGTTGAATGGTGGTGTGTATATATATATATATATATTTACTTATTAAGTAACTTTAAATTTATTTATTTTGTACGTATAACACTTAAGAAATTGGTATATACATTTATTAAGTAGCTTTAACCTTATTTATATTTTAAATCGTAAAAAAAATAATTTTATTATTCATAACAATTATTTTTATAAATATCGTGCTACGAACCAATTTTTCGTCTCTCAAAAGTTTGCGTGACCAACAATTCGTCGCGCAAAACTCTAAAAATTTGGGCGGGTACCAAAAATGGGACGCGGGATGAAAAAAAAATATTTGTAGACTTTGCGCGACCAATATATATTTTCGTCGCGCAAAAATTTCAAAATTTGGGCGGGTACCAAAAATGGGACGCGGGATTTTTTTTTACTTTGCGCGACCAATACTCCAATATTTTTCGTCATGCAAAGTTTTGCGCGACGAATACTCCAATATTTTTCGTTCATCGCGCAAAGTGATACGGTTTTTAAAATGAAATAACTCCTCCACCATTTTCTCAATGTCTTTCTCTACTCTTTCCTCTCCTCTCTCTTTCCCTCTCCCCAAATCCCACCATTTCTCTCACTCTCACTCCTCTCACTTAATCTCTCATCATCTCTCTCTTCACTATCTCTTACTCTCACTCACTCTCTCATCTCTCTTTTCACTATCTCTCATCTCTCTATCACTATCTTCTCTAATTCTCTCACACTCATTTCTCTCTCTCATTCTCACTCACTCTCAATCTCGCCAAAAGGTAGATTCTCTCCAAATTTTAATTTTTTTTTCATTAATATGTGTTTTTGGAGTTAGTGTTGAGTTTGTGTGGGGTTTGGGGTTGAGTAAAGGGGAGGGATTGGAGTTTGGGTTGGATTTGTGGTATAACAATTTTAGGGGAGATTATCCCTTTTTTTTTAATTGTACTTTGTTAATTTATGTGTACATTTTGAATATTATATATATATATATTTATTGGATAATTTGATCACTATTTTTCATATGTAATTTTATTTTGAATATGTCAATTTAAATTAAAGTAATTAAATTAAATTTAAAAAGTAAACATTTGAATAAACTAATATAATTAAATTAATATCAATTTAAATTAAAGTAACGAAAAAAATCATACAATTAAATTTAATTTAAAAATTAAAAATTCGAAATAATTAATACAATTAAATTAATATTAAAGAAATAATAAAACAAAAAGTCAAAAACCAAAATATTTCGTCGCACAAATATTTGCGCGACATTAATATTCGTCGTGCAAAACTCTAAAAATTTGGGTGGGTACCAAAAATGGGACGAGGGAATTTTTTTTAAATAAAATTTTTAAAATTTTTTCGTCGCACAAAGTTTTGCGCGACCAATATTTTTCGTCGCGCAAAGTCGCTTTGCGGGACAAATATTTTTTCGTCGCGCAAAGTCGCTTTGCACGACCAATATTTTCGTCGCGCAAAGTTACTTTGCGTGACCAATATGTTTCGTCGCGCAAAGTCACTTTGAGCGACCAATATTTTTTCGTCGCGCAAAGTCTCTTTGGGCGACGAATGAAAAAATTTCGTCGCGCAAAGTCTTTCTCCACGATCTTTGCGCGACGAAGTTTCTGTCGCGCTAAAATTTGTGCGACTATAATGTATTTTGCGCGACGAAAGTCTCTTCGTCGCGCAAAGTGAAAAATGTAGTAGTGATGGGACATGCCTTGTAACCTTTTGTACTCCAACCGGATAAATTCCCATAAGCGGGAAAGTCATTGATTGTCCATATTACAGCTGCCTGCATGTTAAACCTTGTATCAGTAAACTTATCATAAGTTTGAACACCTTCTTCCCACAACTCTTTTAGCTCATCAATTAAAGGACGCAAATACACATCCAGCTCCTTGCCTGGTGCCTTTGGGCCTGGAATAAGCAAAGTCATTATTGAATACTGTTGTTTCATACACATCCAAGGAGGTAGATTGTAAGGAACCACCATCACCGGCCACATACTATAAGATGTGCTCATATTCCCGAATGGGTTAAACCCATCAGTTGCAAGGCCTAACCTGATATTTCGTGGCTCTTCGGCAAACTCAGGGTACATCTTATCAAACTCCTTCCAAGCAATAGAATCTGCTGGATGCCTCATAACACCTTCATCATCAACTCGTTTATCCTTATGCCAACGCATGTGACCTGCTGTATGTTCAGACATAAACAATCTCTGTAATCTCGGCTTTAGAGGAATATATCGCAACACTTTTTGGGGCACCATTGTTTTCTTTTTACTAGTACTAGGTTTATACCTAGGCTCATCACACACTGGACATTTATCTTTACTTTTATGCTCTTTGTAAAACAAAGCACAATCGTAAATACATGCATCAATTTTTTCATGCCCCAAACCCAAATCTTTCAACATCTTATTAGCGGCATAGAATGATGGAGGAATGCTATGAGGCTGCGGACAAATAGCACTGAGTATTTGTAACATTTGATCAAATGACTTGTTGCTCCAATGATGAAGTACCTTTGCATGCATGAATTGTACCATTGCTACCGGGAAACAATTGTTGCTGAGATTCAGCAATCAACTTGTCATACTTATCCATCTCAACCCTATGCATATCGGTATCATCCCCCACATCTTCATTGTCCCCCAATGTATCATCTACAACTCCCAAGTCTGGTGGGAATGCATCATTCAAAATATTATGCGTATAATCATCAAGACGAGGTGCCTCTTGAGCAGTTGCAGGAGGTGAAGCTTGTCTTGTTATCTCGAATTGTTCCCCATGGTATATCCATGTGTGACACACCACTGACATCCCATACTGCCATAAATGTGCTTGGACAACCGGAAGAGAATGGCAATTCATATTCTGGCACTTCATGCACGGACATGGAGTCTCATTCTTCTCATCCACATGTTGGCTTGCAACTTCCATAAATGATTGAATTCCAGCACGATATTGATTACTCAACCTGTTTTTATTGTGTATCCAATCCCTGTTCATCTCTAACACACCTTGTCTCCGTCTTCTTATACCTCCTATAATGGGCCTTATCCAATTCAATCGGTGATGACTTGAAGCAGTTCCAAAATTTCATAACATGATTAGATCGAACACAGTTATTGATATAAGCAAATAACTCTTTCACAGAATGACAAGCTAATAACTCTTTCACATGAAAATTATAAAAAGAGAGATTCCACGTTAATTATGCTTTTCAAGGGTAGAGAGATTCCACATTAATTATGCTTCTCAAGGGTAAGTATCATGGTAACAATATTTTTTTTACAATTCTTTCAACATTATATTGCATAATTTAGTTGAACCCATGAAACCAGTAAAAAAAATGAAGGCAGGCAGAAGATTTGTAGCTATTCATACCTTTAAAGCAAATATAGCCTCTTAAGCAAGTATTCCAAACAACCTATTGAAAAAAGAAAAAAAATTTCTGTTAGACACAGTCAACCCATGACACAAGTCAAAAATAAATAAAATTGGCAGATGCCAGATTTTTAGCTATCCATACCTCTTAAGCAAGTAATTCAAACACCTACTGCAAAAAAGAAAAAGAAAAAAAATAAATCTGTTAGACGCTATATCTTTGGAGGGCTTGAGTCCAAATTAGTCTTCAAACTCAAAATAGTATATGCCTTCACCTCTAAGTTTAACCACTCATCATTAAACAAAAACATTATATTTCTGAGTTAACTCAAAACAGAAACATAATAAGACATCACAGGAAGCACCAAATATCCAAGATAAAAAGTCTCAACATAAAACCAAATGGTTCAAAGTAATATTGTAATCAACACATCCACTTTATACAGTTATAACATGTACAGTGAATAAAGTCAGGCTTAAGGTCACACGTCTCTCATGTAGTATATGAATTATCTGAAATTAGTAATTAGGCTCTTCATCTCAATTTCATAACAAATTATTATTCTTTACAGTTCTTAATTATTATGCCTTATAAATGATTATAAAAACCATTTCAAATTAACAAAAATTTACCCTTGAAGCTAATTGAATGACCTTGCATAATATTCAAGCTACCAGTGATCATCACATAAAGCCAAAATGGTTTGTTAAAAAAGAAAAAAGAAAAAAAAGTGGCTGGAAGAGCTTGAAAAGGATTTCCAAAACAATCAAACCAACATTGAAGGATGATACTCCATCAGTTAAACTCCATTGTCCAATTAAGTGGTACTACACTCAGACACCAATACTAAGGGAAAGAAAAATAATTCCTAAACTGACCAGTTAATCTATGGGACGATGACCCTGCAGCTAGCTTATATATAAAATACAGTGACAACTTTGCAGCTAGCTTATACCTAAACTATAAAGAGAACTCAATAAGCTATATTGGCAAAAAAAAATCAATAATTATAACAAAAATAAAAAACATAAGCTCATAGACAAAGGCAAAGGAACCTTGAAACGAATACACACCCACATGACCAACTTCCAACTTCTAACTTTTCACTTCAATTATATAAATGAATTGTTATATTCTTTCTTCCAATAGATAGTAAAGAAATTCAGAATTAATCTAGAAGTATCAAGCAAACATTTAAGACTTGGAAAACAATCAATCAGACTCAAAGCATTAAAACATAAAAAAATGAAATAACTACTGGGTACGTGTGCAAGTGAAACATCTCAAATTTGACATAGAACCCACATCAAATGCAAAACAGGGCATTCATATCAGACACAGAACCCTACTCGAATTTGACATAGAACCCACAATAACTACTTGAAAAAGAAAAGTCATTTTATTCAGAAAACTTGGACTGTTGAATGTTCAAGCATTTAAGATATCAAAAAGGAAAAATCAAGCACTGAAATTCAGTTTCGATTTAAATTCCTGGGTATCTATTTACGATTTTCCTTGATTATTTTCTCAGCAACAAAATGGAATCCACAACTGAAAATCAGCGCTCAAAAGAAAATGAAGGTAAGCGAGACAAGGTAGACTCACCAGAAGCTTTCCGTTGAAACACGTAGTGAGGAGGACTTCAGAGATGGAGTTTTCAGATGGCCGTCGATTCCTGACCGTGGTAGGGAAAGGCGTGCGAGATGGAGTATTGCTTGCTGACGTTGGTGGAGGATTGCTCTGCCAACGTCGGTGGAGGATTGCTTTGCCAATGTGAAAGCAACAGAGAGTGGGTCTGAGAGGAAATAACGAGTTGGGAACTTTTTATTTTATATTTTTGTATTTAAACTCTCCAGATTAGCCCCAAAAACTATTTGGTCGCCCATATGCTAATATACATAAAACTACATCGTTTTATGATTTACATTTTTAAAGCACAATGATCTGAGACGAAAACCAAATGGTCGTTGGGCCCACAAAATTTTTACGCGCCAATTCTAACTTAGCGACAACACATTAAAACTTAGCGACCCAATATTTTCGTCGCCAAAACTTTTGAAGTTTCGCGCGCACTCAATTTGGTAAATCGCGACCAAATATATGTTTGGTCACCAAGTCCTCACATAACCACCAAAAACTTTCGTCACCCTTAGTTGATAAATTAGTCGCTATTTAGTTGACTCAAGTCATCACGGATGTCTGAAAATCACAAATATTTTGGTGACCAACTGGACAAATTTTGTTGCCGATTCTCTTTTTGGCAACGAAAATATTGTGTGTCGCTAAACATTTCGTCGCAAAAGAGGTTTCTCCTTGTAGTGTAATTACAATAACATGTAGGCAGTCGAGTTAGTTAGAAGAAGTGGTTGTGGTTTGGCCTTAGCAAGCTTGGGTTCGATTCATGTTGAAGAAAACATGGAGTTGTATTTTTTTAACTTTATTTTTGTAACAACAGTAATAAAAAAAAGGGGATAAGTACCTTAGGGTATCAAAATATCTGTAAAAATTAAGTATTGCATCTAATCATATGGTACACATTGGTTTGAAATTATGTGGGCAAGTCTCCTGATGTGTATCAATAATGAATCTCTGTCTTTTGAGATTAACAACTTCCAAGTTAATTAATTTCTCTCTTTTTTTTCTTGAAATTAAGGGCAGAGCCTCAAAAAGAAAACTAAACATCACGCACCTGAATCTCTATGTTATTGTCAGCTGAAGAGGATACAATTCCTATATGTTCTCTCTTTGCTTTAATAATAGTCTCACTTATCAATTTGATAAGTTGATGAGTGGGATTATTATTGATGGAGGCGCACAAAAACCATCAAGCATGAAAAGTCTCACCAAATGGGGATGATTAGTGCTCATTTCATAAGTGTTTTGTTTATATAAATTTTTAGAGGTAGCAATCATCTTCCAACATTTTGCAAAAAAAAAAAAAAAAAAAAGACAAATAGGAACATAGGCTATTTAGGGGATGAACACTCTCCCAAAAATCAATGTTTTTGGCTGGCGTGTTGTTTCTAACGTCATTCCAATGATAATTCGTACATGCGAAAATATGTTGTGTGATGGGAGGGAGATTGTTCATTCATTTGTGCAAGTCTGGGTAAAAAAACCCTACAGAAATCATTAAAAATCATTTGTGAGAAAGTCTTTGTCCCAAAGAAAATGCGGTAGACTCCAGACCAAAAAAAAAAAAGTGAGACACGGTTTTGTTCTCAATATTTTCAGGGTAAAAAAAAAAAAGGAAGACAAAGACCCGAAGGACTGGTTATTGTCTGGTTAATGATGGTCAGCTAATGTAGTTGGGTCGACCAAAAACAAAAAGTTAGTGGTTGGGGTTAGTCCACCTCTCTCTTCATCATCCTACACCCTCCTCCTCTCTCAGCCGTGTGATCAATCAATCCCCTCATGATATCATCAACGTAAGACTTTGAGTTTTGAGTTTGAGTTTTTGTTAGATTTGGAGTGGATTTCAATGGGGGCATCTCCAAACAACTAAGAGTAAAAAGTTCAACATCAGAACTTTTAGCAAATATGCTCTCCTACCTTGATCTCAAACCTTAGGATTGTAATCTAAAATTCTGGTTCGTTTACCAGGATCAGATACATTTGTCTGAGCCAGAGGGCTCTGGTCTGGTACTATAATAACAAGGGAAACTAAAGATGGGAGCTTCCATCATATGGTGCTGTGGGATCGTGGTAGATCTCCTTTGGATCTATTCTCTGAAATGTCAAGGTGGAATTAGAGTGGTAATTGCTCTTCCCAATTAGTTTATTATTTATTTCATTTTTTAGTTTATGATTTATGCTTGTCAAGTTTTATCTGAAAAAAATTTAGGAATTGTGTATTCATTTAATAAATTTGAATGGGTTGATTTGTTTTTCTGATTTGGTACAGGTTACACACCAGTCCGAACATTCTGCAACTTGGTTGGCAGAGGTGGTTTCGGAAATGTCTACAAAGGATGTCTCGGAGATGGAAAAATAATAGCCGTTAAAAGGTTTAAGGATGCTAATGTGATAGGCGGGAATATCCAATTTCAAACAGAACTTGAGATGGTCAACCTAAAGTTGTTTTTTTATTGGTCGAAGGTTGGCAAAGTTGTTAGATCACCATGATTTTCCCATTACAACTTGTTCACCCGTTTTGATTTTGATCCTGTGATGGTAGGGTAAAGTTCCCCATTGGCTTGACAACCATTGGTGGTCAACAAGTCAACTTTCTTTTGTGCATGAGCATGTCACTGCTAACAGTTTAAAACCCTAGCAGACTTCTAAAAAATAGATAACTTGCGCTCCAAGTTACTGACTTTTAAACAAACAATTTGTGAATTTGAGTGAGGAATATCTCCCAAGTAAGTTCTTTTCTTTGCCTCAGACTGGTGAGGATTTCACAATTTTTCACAATACAAAATTGGTAGTTCTGGCCAAAATAGATAAAAAGAAGACAAACTGTTTTAGGCAGAACTACCTGTTACAGGACCTAAAAAGCGAAATCACAACTCCGAAAATGACAACAGGATGTTGGACTTCGATTTCTGCCTAGGTAGCTGCCTCTGAATTGGGCTGGATTGGGTATGTCTATGCTGGATTGAATCGTTAACACCTTCAACTGATGAGTTTTAGCTGGAAATCGATACCAACGCTTGAGTTTGGCAGAGCTTCAATTTATTTCGAGCCATGGAAGGCTTGCTGAACGAGCAGAATTGAGGCCTCTCTAGTCTGAAGATGATAGAAGTGGCTGGATTGATGGTCACTAAGCTGGAGCTGCACTATGGTGCCTATTCTGCTTGACCAAGGCTTTCTGCAAATTTGTTGAGGTTTTCATATTTGTAAAAACCTGGACTCTGCTTGACTTGGCTTATGCTGAACCAAATTTATAACGAGAGAAATCTCGCTTTGTAAAACTACTTCTCTGAACTGAACTGAAACCAGGGATTTGAATTCTAGTTGATTTGTTTCTTGTGGATCAAAGAGCTTTTGGTTGCTTTAGGGTCTGAAAGCTTTTGAGATCAGTTGATCTTTTTGAGTTTGTCAGTTATGACTTTGAGAGTTTTTGTCTTGATTGATTTTTGGATGTCCTTTATCTGTTCACTCTCTCTCTTATTTTATAGGAAATGCTGGAGTGAGGTTTTTAATCTTTGAATAATGGGCGGCAAATCTTTTCAAAAGATCTTTCTTTTTAAATGCCACAAAAAGGGGGAAGCAATTTATTCTGGCAGAGAAGAATTATCAACAGTCAGTTCCGATGGTGATCTTTTCCTTGCTTTTCCCAAAAGAAAATCAACTCCTTTTGCTCTCTATTGTTCCTTGTAAAGAAGAAAAAACACAATCTGCCATGATGGTCAGTTTGCTTTTCATGTTGAACAACTCCCTTACTTCCTACTTATCTCTTGAGAACGTAGTCTGCTTATCTCTTGGAAAGGTCACTTGCTTTAATGCAGAGTTTCTCTGTGTATAAGAAGGGAATTTGATCTTCTTTCTTTGGCTGCAAAAAATGGAGAAGTCTTCCTGTAAGACCTGCCTTCATTAACTCCCTTTCACCTCCTCTGTGATAGTTGAAAATTTTGACTTTTCAAAGTTACGAAATCACGTGGGACACTTTTGAGAAAGAAAATTTTTTTTTTTTATTTTTTTTTTTTTTTTTTTTACTTGCTTTTGAGATCTTGTGACAAGAATTTTTCAAAAGCTGGGTTTAATCCAATTTTTTATAGGTTTGTGACCTGCTTGGTGATGAATTACCATTTGATTGGCAATTTGATTTGTTATTTTTGTGTTTTTTAAACCTCTGCCACCTTTGCAAAAAATATGGGCTTCGAATGTCGATTGGGCTGCTTTCTGGAGTCAAGGCCCATTCTTCTATTTTTTTTTGTTTATGGGCCTCTTTGTCAAAATGGGCTGACGTGTGGAATTCTTAGGCCCAAACAATGCCCCCTTAAGTCTGAATCGTTTTAAAACGGTTCCAGATTGAATGATTGGCCAATCAATGATGAGAGCCATTTCCTGCCGTTGCACTAGCACACATTTGCCTATTCGAGTAGGTTTCGTGGGGGAGTGGGTTCTAATGGCTAATTAAATCTGAGCGAAACTCCTTTCTTACCACTCTTCCCATGATCTTCTTTCTCAGTTTATAAAAAGTTCTTGAACCTCTATTACTGTTCATCAAAACCTAACTCTGCTTCAGCTTCTAATTTCTCTTTGAAACCCCTTGTTCTTCTTTAATTATCTTCTAAGCCTTCTTTATTTCTGTCTGAGGTTGAGAAAATGTCTTCCCCAAACACATGTGCCAAAGCTTCCTCCTCTGTTCTTCGTCCTGCCTACATTACTGGGACAGGCGTGGATAATCACACTATTAAGGTTTGAAGCAAACTTCATCCATTTGCCCAAAAGAGTCTGGACGAAAACATCCTCCATCTGTTCAAGAACACCCTTGTTCTGGGCCTTCATTGGTTTGGTCATGTGCCGAAGGAGATGGCCAATTTGTTCAAGGATGACGTTGAGGCCCCTCTGTGCTTTCAAAGCTCTACTCCTCTAGCCTCTCACACCTGGGTCAGCAAGAACCTGAGCTGCTCGTTTCCCTCAAGTGAAGTGAGGAACAACGCGATGAAATGGTCAGATGGGATTGATAGGCTTCTTCCAAGGCAAGGAGCTCACTGGAAGAAGGCTGGAATTTACAATGCAATCCTTCGTCTGGCTGAACAGGTTCATCTTCCCCAACCGTTCCTCAGCAGTTCTACTTGAGTACAGACATCTGGCAGAAGCTCTGCATAATCACACGGATGTGGGGCTTAGGCCTACGGTTCTGGCTCATCTGTACAAGAATCTGCATACTGCCACCTTGGAGAATCCCCTGAACCTGTCTGCTCCTAGTGCATTCTAGATGATCCAGATCTGGCTGCAAGTATACTTCCCATAACTGAGGTTTCCAAACATCGTTCTGCCTGAGGACCAGGTTATGGCTCATTCCACTACTACAAAAAGTGAAAAAGACGACCAGAAAAACACGACGGTCTAAGTGAAAACCGTCGTTGTTTTTTAAAAGACGACGGTTTTATAAAACCGCCGTGTAATAACACATTAGACAACTAAAAAATGGAGTTTCAAATGGCTGTTCCAAAAACACGACGTACTTAATTAAAAAACCGACGTCTTATTGAAATAGGATTTTCAAGAGGTAAAATCATAGCCAACAAATAACGGCGGAAGTTATGAACCGACCGACGTAGAAAGTAAAGACGACGGTTTCACAAAAAGCCGTCGTTTTTACCCAGAAATTAACACGACCAAGTTTTCGTATAAGGCGACGTATAATTACAAATAAATCCACGGCGGTAAAATACAAAATACCGCCGTATTAAATTAATGTACAACTACGGCAAAGGTAAATATAACGACGTCTTTCTCGTATTTCTACGACGACATCTTTAAATCTTACCAAGTTGGGGTTTTCATATAACGACGTATTATAGAATTTAACGTCGTATTTGTCCACTTTATACGTCATAAATTATATTTAAACCGTCGTCTGAATAAGAATTTTTTTTAACAATTTATTTCTTCGATTTTGTTATCCTACGTCGGTAGATCTACCTAACGACAAGAATTGAAATAACCACGACGGTTTATATAGAAAACCGCCGACATAATCAGATTATTCTGAGATCACAAGGGTTAGAAAATCTTACAAGATGGAACTCTGTTGCTCATCATAATCTTACCAGAAAGACAATATTTTAGAGGTTAATGATGTATGTGTATTTGTGTCTTTGAGATACACAAACGCACATACACATTAACATCCAAAAAATTGCTTCTGAAATTTGACGACGGCAGCCTCAGATTTGCAATCAGAGAGACAATTTTTTGGAAGTTGATGATATGTGTGCGTTTGTGTATCTACACAAACGCACGCACACATCAACATCCAAACAATTGCCTCCTAAAATTTCACGACGGCAGCCACAGATTTGCAATCAGAGAGACAATTTTTTGGAAGTGAATGATGTATGTGCGTTTGTGTATCTACACAAACGCACATACACATTCACATCCAAACAATCGCCTCCTAAAACTTCACGACGGCAGCCACAAATTTGCAATCAGAGAGACAATTTATTGAAAATTGGTGATTTGCAATCAGCCACAGATAACCAACATTCAAACAATTGCCTCCCAAGAGATGAGGTGAGACAGAGAAAGGGGCAAGAAGAAGTTGAAACCCTAATCGAATACTAAAACTGAAAGAACCCGTGGAAAAAAAACCCTATTTATAATTAAAAAAACCAAATCCACGTCGGTTATATTACACATAACGACGTTTAACAAAAACAATCCTCGTCGGTAACAAATACATTACGTCGTTTTATTCTTACTTAAGACGACAAGAACCGACGACGGTATAACAAAAACAGTCGTTGTTTTATATTTTTATTTGATTTAAATCAGTCACCTAGAAAAGAAACTTTACAAATTCTAGAACATTAATTTCCTCGGGAAAAAAAAACTATATCTATAAGGCACTGTTTTTGAAAAATAAACTATAAGAAAAAGGGGAAAAAAATTATATTTATAATAAAAAAAATAAAATCCACGTCGGTTATATTACACATAACGACGTTTAAAAACGAATCCACGTCGTGGAAAAAATAATACGTCGTTTTAGTTTAGTGTTATCCACGTCGGTATATTACAATAAAACGACGTATATTATGAAAATAAACGTCGTAAATTATAATTAAATATTTCTACCATGACGCGAGATATTGAGTTATCGACTTTTATTTAGGAGTTTACTACGGCGGTACCTACAACACCACTGTCGTATTTATGTACCACGTCATAAGTTCAAATTAGCGTCGTAGTTTGTCTATTAATACGTCGTCGTTCTATGTAAACCGCCGTCTTATTACTATGAAACGGTTTGTATACATATACAACTTTTCGTCTACCTGACTTACACATGCACTGTTTCCAAACCCGAGAAAACATTTCAATCTCCCAGAGAAAACTTTTCGTCTTTTTTCCTTGTCAGAGCACTGTCAGAGTATCTCATCGTCTTCCTCTTGTCTTCGTCGTCGCCTCTGAACTTAAACACCAAAATCCGAGAGAAAGCTTTCATTGCACGCAAAAGGTAAGCTTTCATTTCTCACTATTTTTGTTGCTATTTTGCATGCTCATACTGTTTTTGTTTTGAAAATCTTTTTACCTTTTTTCTGGCGAAAATCATTTTTATTCTTTCCAAGTTTGATAAAATACACAGACAGAGAGGGAAAGTTTCAACTTTGAACATAACTAATTCAACTAAATAAGACGACGGTAGCTTTTTATTTACGTGGTTAAATATGTAGACCACGACGGTTCATCAGTCGTCCTAGCGTCGTCTTAAAATTGATCTAAGTTGTTTTTAAAATGACGGTCAATTTTTTATTTGCTTGTTTAGTTGCAGGTTCGATTTCTCTGAACCATGGTTTTCGTTTTTCCTAATTTGATAAAATACAGAGACAAAGAAAGTAGGGTTTGGTATCTTATATAGACGACGGTATCTTATTATTGACGCCGTGTGAATGTTCATACCACGACGTTATACTAAGATACCGTCGTCTATAAAAAGATGCCAAAGCTTTTTTTCTTTGTATTTTATCAAATTAGGAAAAACAAAAACCATGTTTCAGAGAAATTAAACCTGGAATCAAACATTCACAAAGAAAGAAAAATGTTTTTGGTTTCTTATAAATACGACGGTAGCTTATTATTCACGTCGTGTGAATATCCATAACACGACGTTATATTAATATTTACGTCGTGTTAATATGAATATCACGACGTCGTGTAAATATCGCCGTAATAAGTTCTTATTACGTCTTATTTAATATTGTTTCGTCGTTGTTTAAACATTTATATTGTTCTTCTTTAAACATTTATTACGTCTGATGTTATGTTATTACGTCGTGTAAAATCTTATCATACGTCGTAGTTTATAAATAACCGTCCTTTGTGTTCTAATTTTTTTCACGAAATATTTTCACTTGCAGGTTTGTTTACTCTGGCTCCAAAAAAATGGAGGTAAGGAGCTTGGAATGGTAACTCCTCAAGACAAGCCCTTGAAGAAGATGAAGTTTGTTTCATCTGCTGAGAAAGAACCAAGCAGCACGATAACAATTTCTGAGGATTCAAAGTCAGGTCGAGGTATGAGCACAATGCCTCGTGTTGTGAAGAGAAAATTGCAGAAAATCAAGGGCACGCTCCAGAGTCCCACTTGTGGACAAGAAATGGGCTGAAATCCCCAATGATATAAAGGAGCAGATTTGGGAAGCCGTTGACATGGCTTTTGTGGTAGGTCAGGGGGGCAAGACCTCGGTGTTATCTTCTACTGCCAAGAAATGGAAGGATTTCAAGTCTACACTGACGAGGCATTATATCCTTCCATACATCAAGGAGAGGGAGAAATTAAGCCAACCCCCTGAAGTATATAAATTCATAGAGAAAGCAAAATGGGATGCCTTTGTAGCTTCAAGGTTATCCAAAGAATTTGAGTCTGTGCATTCTCAACATGCACAGATTAGGGAGAAACTTGAGTACAATCATCGATTGTCTCGAAAAGGATATGCTGGTTTGGAGGATCAATTGGAGGAAACCATGCCTGGGGTAGAAATTGATCGATCTACCTTATGGAAGAAAGCTAGACAGGACAAACATGGTAACATCCCGGATCCAAAGGTGGCAGAGAAAGCAAAATTAATTGTAAGCCTACACACTCTGTTTTAAATTTTTATTAAACTGGGTAGAATTCTTATTACGTCTTATGTTATATTTTTCCGTCGTGTGAATGATTTTACTACGTCGAAATATTTTAAAAAACGTCGTGAAAGATCTAAATCTGGAATCACAACTCTGTTTTCTGTAATTATAGCATAAGACGTCGGTGGTTAATTTTTTTCGTCGTGTTTAATGTTATTACTACGTCGAAATGTTTTCAAAAACGTTGTGAAAGATCTAAATCTGGAATCACAACTCTGTTTTCTGTAATTACAGCATAAGACGTCGGTGGTTTATTTATTGCGTCGTTTTAAACAACTAACCACGTCGGTTTTAATTAACGTCGTTATAAATATATTATAACGTCGATTTCTATATTGGTGCGTCGTGTGAAATTATATAATGCGTCGTTTGTTTATAAATAACCGTCGTGTGTTTTCTTGTGCTGACTTTTTTTATGTCTTTGTTTTAGGATGAATTGCAAAAACAAGTGGCTGAAGGCAGTCTGAGTTTAACTGGCAGTAATGATGTGTTGACCTTGGCTTTGGGTCCCGAGCATCCAGGGAGAGTAAGAGGGGTAGGTGCTGGGATTTCCCCTAGGCAATTCTTCAATTTACCTAGACCACAAAGGGTAAAGTTTGCTGATCAATTGAAGGAAAGTGTAAGAATTGTCCTTCAAGAAGAGACTAAGAAGATGGAAGCTAGAACCAAACAATTAGTAGAGGCTGAGAGGGAACATTTACTAAGTCAGCTTTCCCACCTCATCCCCAATTTTGATCCAAGCATGCTTAAACCGAAAACTAGCCCCTGTCAAAACCAAGGTCTACAGCAAAGTCCCAAGAATCCAATGTCTGATAAAGCAAGTTGTTCTGGGGCTGAAGTGAGATCCCTACATTTAGAGGATGATACTGCCAGAAATGGGGAACAGCAGGAACAAACGGTAACATATCTGAACTTTGAATTCTCTGTTTTTTTTTAAACATTAGACGTCGTTATTATGAATAAACCCGTCGTTTTAAAACCATACCACGACGATTTTATAAATAACCCGTCGTGTTTATTTAAATACCACGTCGTATTTAGTTTACTTGTTTTACACGCCATTAGACGTCGTACTTTGTGGCTTTTAGACGACGGTTTTTGTCCTTAACGACGTAATATAAAATTACCACGACGTTTATTATTTACCATCGTTTAATAATTTTAAGACGTCCATAATTCTTACATACCGTCTTATGTTATGCCTTACCACGACGTTTTGGTTTAATTTTTTTACTCTCTGTACAATCTGTCTTATATATATATATATATTTCTTTATTATTTAAAACAGAAATCTGGGGCTTTAGATAATCAAGATGAAGAGAAGAAAGAAGAAAATAAAGATGAACAGAAGATGGGAGAAAAAAAGATGAAGGGAAGAAGGAAGAAAAAAAGAGAAAAAAGATGAAGGCAAAGAGGAAGACACAAATGTTGAAGAGAAGAAAGAAGAAAAACAAGATGAAGAAAAGCATGACGAGGAGGTATATTCTCATAACTTTGCCTTTTTAATTTGTTTTTCACATTTCAGACGTCGATATTTTTCTTTAAACCGTCGTTTGTTTTCACATTAGACGTCGGAATTTATTTTCTACGACGTAATAAATAATATAAAACGACGGTATTTAATTACCGTCGTTTAAATTATAATCAGACGACGTTTTTTTAATTTAAACCGTCGTTTTTAATGAATTACCACGTCATTTTATTTTGCTTTATTTCTTTAAACAGGGTAATGAAGTAGTTGATTATTCAAATGTGGAGGTGCCATCTTCCTTACAATCCCTTTGTGGTTATGTGGAAACTACACTAAAGCCACAGGGGAAGATCATGACCTTCAACATTGAGAAGGAGGTGTTTGGTGCAGATCGAAGTACCTTCGTCTTGCATGAAGATATTACACAGTTTGCAGGCATGGAAGAAATTGGGGCTACTGTGGTTGCAGTATATATGAGGTTTGTCCTAATCAAATATCAAACATTATATCATAAGACGTCGGTTGTTTAATTATTGCGTCGTTTTAAACCACTAACCACGTCGTTCTTTTTTACCGTCGTGATAAATTAGTTATCACGTCTGTTTCTATTTCAGTTCGTCGTGTGAAATTGTATAATACGTCGTTTTGTGTATAAATAACCGTCGTTTGTTTTATATATTTAGGTGCTTATATGATCTTTTGAGAGAAGCAAATATGTGCAGCATGGTTGGCTTTATCGACCCTGCTCAAGTTAGTGCCAACGCTGGGTCACTAACTGACAGATCACGAATTGTAGCCAGTCGACTTCAGAAAACAGATGGTGAACAGATTTTCATGATGCCTTACAATCCAGGGTTAGTCTCCTTAAAAGGATTTTGTTTGTATGATTTTCACTTATAAAACTGTTTAACTAATTCTGTGTCGTTTGAAACATCTAACCACGTCGGTTATTTATTTATTGAGTCGTTTGAAACAACTAACCACGTCGGTAGTTAATTATCGTCGTGATAAATTTATAATGACGTCGATGATTAAGTTATTACGTCGTGTGAAACTATATATAATACGTCGGTTTTTATAAATAACCGTCGTTTTTATTTTATTTTTGTGCAGCCGTCATTGGGTCTTGCTGATTGTGAGGGCAAAGAGGGAAACCGTCTATTTTCTGGATCCTCTGCCTGGAAATCGTGTGGTTGATGAGGAGGGCAAAAACATCGTGAACAGTGCTTTAAAAATTTATAATTCCCACATAGGCAGACCAGGCCGTAAAGCACCAATTTGGAAAACTCTGCCAGGCACACCAAAGCAACCCAGCAGTGTCGAATGCGGGTATTATGTGATGCGCTTCATGAGGGACATCATCATGGATCCTTCCTTGGAGTTTGAGAAGAAGGTAAGAATAAAATTTTCAGAAACATTTTATGTGGTTTTTTGTATTATCAACGACGGTCATTTAAAATTACCGTCGTTGAATCGATAGACTACGTCGGTTATGAAAAAAAAACGTCGTCTGTGTCTGAATTTCTTTTTATTTTGTAAAGCTTAATAATCATTGTTTATGGATTGCAGTTTGCCAAGGGAAAAGATCAAGCGCCATACCCCCAAGCAGCCATTGATGAAGTCAGGAAAGAATGGGCAGAGTTTGTTTGCCTTCATATGGATTAGAGGATTTTTGGAACACTTGATATTTTTATATGTACTAATTTTGTCTATAATATATAATGTACAAATTTTGTCTATAATATACATCCTTTTTTTCCCTGAAAATTTGCTGAGGTTTTCATATTATAAAAGAAAAAACAAATTGCGTAACCGACGTGTAATAACTTTCCAACGACATAATTATGTAAAAAACCGACGTAAAATGATATTTAGACGTGATGGGACGTACATGGGACGTCGTTTTGATGAAAATTTCGCCATGGTTTCGTTTTTAAACGACGTCCTTTTGAACTTTTTTTTTTTTTTTTTTTTTTTTTTTTTTTTTTTTTTTTTTTTTTTTTTTTTTTTTTTTTTTTTTTTTTTTTTTTTTTTTTTTTTTTTTTTTTTTTTTTTTTTTTTTTTTTTTTTTTTTTTTTTTTTTTTTTTTTTTTTTTTTTTTTTTTTTTTTTTTTTTTTTTTTTTTTTTTTTTTTTTTTTTTTTTTTTTTTTTTTTTTTTTTTTTTTTTTTTTTTTTTTTTTTTTTTTTTTTTTTTTTTTTTTTTTTTTTTTTTTTTTTTTTTTTTTTTTTTTTTTTTTTTTTTTTTTTTTTTTTTTTTTTTTTTTTTTTTTTTTTTTTTTTTTTTTTTTTTTTTTTTTTTTTTTTTTTTTTTTTTTTTTTTTTTTTTTTTTTTTTTTTTTTTTTTTGCGCATCTTTCCAGCATAAGTTTGAAAATGGTAAAATTGCTGATATTCCTTGGCTACACCTTAGTGAACTAGTTGCATAACCAAGGTAAGCACAAGTCTAACCTCTTTTCATCTAAATGGTTACACGGTCCCAATTTGTTTGTCCGCATTAGCTAACTACTCATTTCACATTGAAGTTGCAATATTATTACCTTGTCACTTGGAGTGAGTATTCAATCGATGCAACGTAAATTAGACATGCGTGCATCAACTTCAAGATTGAATTAGAATATAGACAATAAATTCTACTGCCTTCCTGCTTTGCTATCAACACTGCCTGCATGGACCCAACATTAACTTGAACCAAGACTCTCGCTCTCCATAGCTTTTTGTTTTTGGCTATATTTCTTTCGAGAATTAGTTTTAAAATTGTAACATTCGTGATATTTCTTGGCAACACCATTTGGAATTAACCTTCTTCTTTTTGACAAGATCCTTAGCCACACAAACAAGGAAATCTAACCTTAACTTAATTATTAAACTTCCTTAGGATTGAAGAGAAACATAGATCAAGTAACAAGTTCAAGGAAGAAAAGATAAAGGTGAACCTAGTAGAAAGTTCAAAAAATAGGAATAGTTTCCAAGGTTAGAAGGAAATTTTTCAAGAAGACAAACATAAATAGCCAACCCAATCATAACCAATATATCCAAAATCAAAACCAAAATTGGCAGCACAATAGACCCCATAACAATTTCAATGGCAATAAGGATCAACCATGCTTCATTTGTGGGAAAACAAATCACTGGTCAACATACTGTCACACAAATCACTGTGCCAAAGATTGTCATTACAAAAGACCGAGCGTGCAATAGTGTAATATTGTTTAAAAGGGATTTGTTGAACGTTGGATTTTAATGTCCTTAATTTTGAAAATTTGTAGGCAAGCAATAATGATAAGCTAATGAAGATAGACCAAATATCTACGATTTAGACAATCATTCAAAGATCTCTACAAAAATCACGTGAATTCGATATCGTTTGACCACTCAATTGTGTTATCGAATTTTAGTACTTTCTTGAAGTACTGTATTAATTGATTTTGTAGGATACAATTGGATGTCGAACGGTTTTCTGATTTTTCTAATTTTTTTTTAAGGATGATCTATGAATGTAAACTTAAAAAATTAGATGGTTTGAATCATTGAAATCTTTTTTGTAGATTACCCTAAAGGTGTCCCTCAAATAATTATTTGAGGGACACCCTTTAGGATATCTTACAATTTTTTTCCAATGATCCAAACCATTTATTTTTTAGGTTTTCATTCATAGATCATCCTTACAAAAAATTAGACAAATCGGAAACCATTTCGACATCCAATTGTGTTCTATAAAATCAATGAACACGGGGTTTCAAGAAAGTACTAAAATTTCAATAACTCAATTGAATGGTCAAATGATATTGGATTCAAGTGATTTTTTGTAGAGATGATATTTGAATGTGTATCTACAAAATAAAAGGTTTGGATTAGTGAAATACAATCCACAGTGGGCCCTACAAGGGGTGTCTCTCAAATAAGCTTATTTGAGGGATCCCTCAATGAAAGCTCTCTTATATATATATATCTTTAAAATTCCAGTTGTCAATGGTGTACTTAATTAGGTTTTGAATAGTAACTTTATTAAGCTTTTGAAATTTGTTTTAAAATCAAAAGTGCCAACCAACTTGCCAAATAGAAGCAAATAAAAGGTCTTTGCTCGCTCTCTCTCAAGCTCTCTCCATTGGTGTTAGAAAATTCAAATTTTAATTTTAATTTTTTAATTGTGAATGGAACTTAATTATGGGCCTGTTAAGAGATGGGACCATTTGGAAATGGATCCCTTAAATTGGGTATTAAGAGTATCTACAATGGGCTCCTTAAACCACATCCTTAGACAAATTTTAGGGAGAAATTGTAAAAATACAACTCCAACCATGCTCTCTATCCACCTCCTAAAATAGGGAAACCTCTAGGAGCTCCTAAATCTGAGGAGAGAGAAAAGACTCCTAGTATCTCCCTATAATTTAATGCTTCTTTATTTAATGAGTATTTTAAACCTTTATTTAATGCTAACTATTTTTTATTTTATTTTTAAATAGAGATGGACCAATCAAAAAGAGTTATAGCATTTATGACTCCCTTAACTAGAGAGCATGATTGAAGTTTAAATTTTATAGAGAGCTCATAAAATAACTTTTATATGATTTTTAAAAACTGAAGAAAAAAAAAGTATAATATAGAGTTACCAATAAGAACGAAGAGAAAAAAGAAATGAGATATGAAATGTGTTGACGCTCGGTACTTACTGAGCCGAGCTGCCTAGTTAGAACGAATGTTTAAAACCAAAAGAGCTCGACTTCGGCTCCTAAAAGCACTACCCCGCCAAAAGCCACAATAAACGGAACACCCCATGCCGCCCATGACAAGACCCCCATCCCATCAAGATATGACCACCGCCATACCTAAACTAGAGACCTACTCTGCCCGCAACACCCCTCCCCCCTCCATGGCAGGGGCAGAGTACACAGGCCATCATGAACCAGAGACATTGGTGGGCCCGCCTAACTGCCTTCTGGCAAAACAGGATGAGACGTATGTAGCTCGGCTCCGAGCCGAGGTGGTCAACCCGTAAATACTTTTCATTACCAAACACCCCCTATAAATAGAGGGGGATTCTTGTAATAGAAGGAGAGGCTCCCAAAGAATACTTACACCCACAATTAAATTCATATCGTGTTATCCATTTAAACTTATCCTTGGATTCAAAATATTGGAGCCGTCTGTGGGAAGACACACTCAAAGGTTACGCATTAGCAACTTCACTACCAACATGTTGAGCCGGAAAATGACGGGAACCTCCACCCCTGGAACCCTCAGCCAGAAAATCATGAAACGACGAAAGGCCGAAAGATCATGGTTGAACGCCCTTGAAGCCAAGATAGAACTGCTCCTGAACGAGACTGATGCCATCCAGGACCAAAACCAGGCCCTTCAAGACCAAAAGAAACGCCTCGAGGAACAGTAGATCGGCCTCCAGGCGAACTTACGGAGGGCCTAGAAGAAGGCCACCAGAGACTCTAGCTGTACCAGGCGGGTGGAACTGCGCCTGTTCGGCGAGGAAACAGCGTCCACACACACGCCTCGGGTCAGCAACGTCGGGTCCGACCATATCCCCGAGGAGTTCAACCAAGAGGGTTACGCCTTCAGAAGGGCCACCCCGTAGAAGGAAAGAGAGCCCGGGTGGCAACTGGCCACCCGGTCATCACCGACGACGAGCCCGACTTAAGGGAAGCCATGAGGGCCATGATCAAGGGAGAAATGGGGAGCGTCTGGGACCGACTCGACGCCCTTGCCAAACGAGCCTCGACCCTCGACCGGGGGATCAAACGGTCCATCCCCATCAAATACCTTGTCAAACCTACAATCAGCGACACGCTCAACGAGACCCTGATTGTGGGGACTAACACCAACTTGATGAAACCTATCTATGAATACCTCGCCGACGGAACCCTACCCACCGACACCGACGCGGTCCGTCGACTGCAGCTCCAGTCCGGCCAATACACCATTATCAACAAACAGCTCTACAAACGTGGTTTTTCCTTACCCTATCTACGATGCGTCACTCTCGATGACGGCCACGAGATCCTCTGAGATGTACACGAGGGCGTCTGCGGGGACCACTCCGCCTCCCGGGCGATGGCATATAAAATCCTCCGACGAGGATATTATTGGCCCTCTAAGGACTGATACCCTCCTCACCCGTAAGTGCCGACCATGCCAGCTTTTTTCTAATATCATACACCAACCCCCAGAGCCACTCACGACCATGGCCAGCCCATGGCCTTTCGCCCAAAAGGGGCTGGACCTGATTAGGCCCATGCCTAAAGGGAAAGGACAGACGAAATTCGCCATCGTGGCAGTCGACTACTTCACCAAATGGGCTGAGGCCGAAACGCTCGCCACTATCACCGAGGCTCGTGTTTGGGGTTTCGTGTGTAAAAACATCACCTACTCGACCTGCTCTCACTAGTCTCCCCAGACATCTTCACCACATTAGAAAATACAAAGAGTCAAATAAACTCTCACCTAGCTTGAACCGCAGATTTCCTCTGCCGAGCTCCCGCCCCACCAGCTTCTCCTTCGCAGATACTAACTCGGACCTCCAACTCCATGCAACTCACACATAGGCCTCGTTCAACAAACTCTCAAGAGAAGCAAAAGTGGCAACCATTCGAACTTGGCTACATATATATATCCCCGCCCTACCGTCCGATTACTCTTGCGACCGCCATTGGATCACGCCACGTAGACAAAGTGCCTCATTTCTCCCACTCGACGCGACCGCAAATGTCCCACCGGTTTTGATTCCCCGGACTCCTCATCATGACACTCACATTCAATGCCGCGCTTCCCGAGCTTCTGACACGCATCCACACCGTTTCGCATCCCGAGGCAAGTTCACCCTTCTTTGGGGAGTTGGGGGACTCACCGAGCCGAGGCCGCAACAGACCGACTGAAAGAACGCTCGGCAATGAGAAAAACGTTGGGCAGCTAAACGAGTAGACAACTCCCCACCCAAGGGAACTTGCCCGGAGAGTTGGGGGACTTGTTGACGCTCGGTACTTACCGAGCTAAGCTGCCCAGTTAGAATGAATGTTTAAAACCAAAAGGGCTCGACCTTGGCTTCTAAAAGCACTGCCCCGCCAAACGCCACAATAAACGGAACAGCCCATGCCGCCCATAACAGGACCCCATCCCATCAATATATGACCACCGCCATACCTAAACTGGAGAGCTACTCTGCCCGCAGCACCCCTCCCCCCTCCATGGCAGGGGCAAAGTACACAGGCCATCATGAACCAGAGACACTGGTGGGCCCCGCCTAACTGCCCCCTGGCGAAACAGGATGGGACGTATGTAGCTCGGCTCCGAGCCGAGGTGGTCGACTTGTAAATACTTTCCATTACCAAACACTCCCTATAAATAGAGGGGGGTTCTTGTAATAGAAGGAGAGGCTCCTAGAGAATACTTAGACCCACAATTAAATTCATATCGTGTTATCCATTTAAACTTATCCTTGGATTCAACAAAATGCATGTTGGGATTTTTTTTCCAATATTGCTTTTGCTTTGGGTCTGGTTCAGGTTCGGAGGGAGAAAAATTCAAAAGTGAGAGAATGTGGGCATTAGTAAGCGAGCTCAAAGGGTTGAAATTGGAAAAGTAATAAGAAAATTCATTTGGTTAAAATTTTCTTGATTTTCTCAAACAGGTGTAATGCTTAGAGTGGACAATGCCGGGGATTATGATAACAGTCGCTTTTGAGCCACTGTGATTAGCATTCCTCTTGCGTTTAAGATAGCAGCAGGTAATTAAGTTTCTATGTTAGAATGGTAGTTGGTCGTTAGCATTTACTCCCATGTTCTAGGATGTTCTTGTTCTGTTCTAAAAGGCCCTGTATCTTCAGCAGTTTATGGCAAGAAGCAACAAAAAATTCAGACCTTACCAGACCTGTTTAGAATATAATATATAAGCCTTGTCTCTACTATCTTCTTTTTTGTTTGTATAGTTTCTATTTCTCTCAGCGTCTTTCCTAGCTAGCTGCTTCCTACTCTGTTATAGTGTAGTACTCCTGCATTAATTCATCAAACATTGACTTGAAGCAAGCTATTGTCATATATTATCTATCGTTTTCTCTCTCTCAGGCTCCTCCACCTCCAGTATTTGGTAAGTATATAGACCGCTAATTGTATCTAATTATACTTAATTATCTGTTAGCTCTTGAGTGCTCCTCATTTACTATATTTAAAAAGGAACTCATAGTCATGGATTCATCTCCGCGACATTGTGTAGATAGGAGCAGCGTTCAAGTCCATATATGGCGGACAAAGAGCCACGCGTGGCCACCAATGAGGGCACAGTTGCGAGCATGGGTAGAGGGGGTAACCCTCACCACCTCAAAGACAACATCATTATGACTTGTGCTGCGGCAGATCCAAGCTTTTTTCGGCAAAATGTTCCAAGACAGGTTTGGAAAATAGATGTCGATGAAATATCAAATACTTTAAGCAAACTATCTAACAATTTAAAATTTGTCTTTCTCTCTTCCCCTCCCACTTCCTCCTCTCCTCTCTATTACGGGTAGGGTTCAAGGAATTTAGAATGAAACTTCTTAGGGGTGAATTTATGGTCTTTGAGGAATCCAAGCTTTCAACATATATCAAGAGCCATCAAAGTTTTTCTCTTGATTTTGAAACTGGAAGGATTCATTTGCCATGGACTGTCGTCATATTCACAGATAGAGAGACAGATAGTCATGGCAAGGGGGCTTCGTCGCCATCGATGAGGCAGATGGTTTTTGGGTTTTTATTTTTCTTTCTTCTTTTTTTTTCTAAATTTTTAAAATTCTTTTAAAATTTATAGTAAATTGAGCTTAGACCCATAAAATTCATTTTAAATCACCTAGAACCCTTTCCTTTAGTTTTCTATGTAAAATACCCAATTTTTTCAAATAATACCCAATGATTAGGATCCAACTCCCCAAGTTACCTAATATAACTTAAAATCTGATTTATTGTATTTTTTGGATTCCAATTCTACGCCTATTTATAAGTTAATGTGTTATTGGGGGTGTAACTAATGACACCCGTTGAATTGAAAATATCTCCAAATAATTGTAATGGATGTAGGAACTAATTTAGAAACTTATTTGAAATTAAATATTAAATTCCACATTAAAGTATTAGTAATCTATTTTTGAATTAATGGTGTATTCCTTCTATGAATTACGACTAGTAATCTATTTAAAGTATTAATAATTTAAATTCAATATTGAATTTAGGAATTAATGTTGTTTTCTTTTTATGAATTATACGACTAGTATTCTTTTTTATTATAGTTTTATGAATAATAGTGTACATTCTAATTATGTTGAAAAATAATTTGATAATCTATTTATTGTTTTGTTTTTAAAACATATTTTTTTAATGGACCTATTTTTTCTCCAAATATTGTACCTTTTTTTTCTTTATTACTTGTTTTATAAAAAATAATTTGATCATCTTTTTATTGTTTGTTTTATGAAAACAATTTTTTTTTAAATGAGCCAATTTTTCTCTCAAAATAATGTACCTATTTGATCATCTTTTTATTGAAATTGGGTTTTACACATAGATTTATAAAATGATGGGTATATGTCTAGGAAATAGAAATTGTAGGGACCTATATTGAACAAGCCCTTAAATTTATTTTTAAAGCTAAAAATGAAAACTAAATTCAGTTGTCAAAAGTTATAGACATGACAAATTTTGAATGGGAATATGGCGCAGAGTTCAAGTCCATATATGGCGGACAAAGAGCCACGCGTGGCCACCAATGAGGGCACAGTTGCGAGCATGGGTAGAGGGGGTAACCCTCACCACCTCAAAGACGAGTTCAGGATGACTTGTGCTGTGGCAGATTCAAGTTTATTCGGCAAAATGTTCCAAGACAGGTTTGGAAAATAGATGTCGATGAAATATCAAATACTTTTAAGCAAACTATCTAACACCTTAAAATTTGTCTTTCTCTCTTCCCCTCCCACTTCTTCCCTTCCTCTCCATTACGGGTAGGGTTCAAGGAATTTAGAATGAAACTTTCTTAGGGGTGAATTTATGGTCTTTGAGGAATCCAAGCTTTTAACATATATATCAAGAGCCATCAAAGTTTTTCTCTTGATTTTGAAATTGGAAGGATTCATTTTCCATGGACTGTCATCATATTTACAGATAGAGAGACAGATAGTCATGGCAAGGGGGCTTCGTCGCCATCGATGAGGCGGATGGTTTTTGGGTTTTTATTTTTCTTTAATTTTTTTTCTAGTTTTTAAAATTCTTTTAAATATATTTTTAAAGCTAAAAATGAAAACTAAATTCAGTTGTCAAAAAGTTATAGACATAACAAATTTTGAATGGAAATATCACTAAATAACATGGTGTTACGATACCATTCTATAATTTCTCTAGACAGTGAATGATAACATTTAATTATGTTAAGGGACAGTTGTAACCTATATATTATTGCTCAATATTAAATACCTTATCACTTGGATTGAGCATTAAATTGTAGACATGCATGCATCAACAATCTGAATTATTGAATATAGACAATAAACACGTAAATTTCTACTTCGCTCTCAACACTGCATGCAAGGACCCAACATTGACTTGGACTGATCTATTCTCTCTCTGTCTCTCTCACCATGTTTTTTGTTTTTGTTTTTGGCTATATTTCGTGCACAAGTTTGAAATTGGTAAAATTCATGATATTTCTTGGCAACGCCATTTGGAATAAATCTGACCATAATTATCTAGTTAACGTAGTATGTTGATATTGAATTTGACCATAATTATCTCTAGTAATAATCTGACCATAATTATCTCGTTTCATAGTATATTGATAAATAATTTTAAAAATTACTAAGTTTTTGTTAATGTATGGTTTTTACTATTTTCTTTTGGCTTCCCTTGACAACTTTGTAATAGGATGTGTAATGTAATTTATCAAGCTCAAGTCTAGATTAGGGAAAACTTTTATTGGTGCTCTTCTCTAATCTTTGCTCTATGGTGGCTCGAGCAAGTTGACAAAGGTATTGAGCATTGCATATCATTACATTAAACAGTCTTCATAAAATGATGACTAGTCATCCGTTTCTCATATGACTAGTCATCCTTGCTTCCAGCTAGATAACAAACTGTTTTGTCCTGTTCTTCTTTCTCTCTCTCAGCTGCCAAGTGGGTTTTTGACCTAAGGAATTTGTTGGACTGTACAGTTGTCTCTTTTGGGGAGGAAATTTTGGAAAGATTGGCTTACGATCTTTCTCTTCTTCTTCCTCAAGAGAGAACCAAATATTTCATCTATGAGTTTTTCCAATTGATATCTTTTTGAAAAACTGCTTTGAAACCCGAATCTGCATCTAGCTACTTAAATCATCTCTCATTTATATTTAGGTCAGATTCAAGATTGATTTCTTCAAGAGTATGGTTTCTTGAAGAAATTGGTCTTTCTCCTTTGAATCCAAATTGGTTTCGTTTTGTGTTGGAGCTTGCAAGCTAGTGCCATGGGATGAACGAGCTGGAGAAGGAGCTGCCATTGCCATGAAGAACTGAGCTTCAAGCTTTGCTAAGTTGGAGAAGAAGATTGCACAAAGAAGGTATTGCTCATATTCCTAAATAGACCTAGGTGCTTCTTGAGCTTGGTTGTGTTTCCTTTGTAAGAATCTTTTTCTACTTAGTGGAGTGCCTGGTCGGTTGATGACTCCCAGTTTTTCCCAATGGTGGGTTTCTGGGTGAACAAAATCTGTTTTGCATATCTGTAATTTTTAATTTTTCTGGGTTTGTGTTCTTGGTGGTTGACTAGTCATCTTTATCTGCTGTTTGATGTTTACATGATAATGATGATTTTACACACTTTCACCATAGTTGTTGCTAGCACAGGGGATGCCTAGATTGACGGGTCCTTCTGAGTGCCTAGGTTGTCACTAGTAATCTTCTAGGATTGCAGGTACATTGTGGCATGCTCTGTGTATTCTATTGGTTGTGATTGTTTCTTGACTAGTAGTTGACTAGTCATATGTGTATTTGGTCAAGGTTTAAAGTGTGTGAAGATTGCTGTGTTGTTGTGTCTTGTTTGTGTGATTAAATTTACCCCTCGTCACCTAAGTACCATTTTCATTTTTAAATTTTCAAAAAAAGTCTGCAGTTGTAAAACGAAGGAATTAGCAAGGAGAAATAAGAGGAAGAAAGAGGCAATATAATTTGCTCAAATCAACTTGTATTCCATTCATATTTGGATACACTATTTATAGGGGTACAGAGGCCTAAATCATTTACCAACCATAATCGGTAGGTTACAAGTACATAATGATGGGTATTATGATAGGTTAATAGGGGCTATTATTGTGGGCATCCATAACCTATAAACCCATAATGTATGGATTTATAACACTCCCCCTTGGATGTCCACCATACAATGACATCGTATTGGACGAGCTAAATGTTGCCTCGTTAAAAACCTTGTCAGGAAAAACCACATGGGATAAAAACCTGATCGAAGGAAAAAAGAGTACATTGCACATACATCCGATGTAGTAAAACTGAGGAGTTTCCTCAATTGATATCTCCCCCTGATCTTGAACAGTCTGATTGCTTATAAAGTCGTCGCATCCCTATACCATATACCAACTTCTGAAATATAGACTTCGGAAGAGCTTTGGTGAAGAGATTTGCCAGGTTATCTTGGGAACGAATTTGTTTGACTTCAATCTGTTGATTCTTCTGAAGCTCATGTGGGTAGAAGAACTTTGGTGGTATATGTTTGGTTCTGTCACCCTTGATAAACCCTTCTTTAATTTGAGCTATACAAGCAGCATTGTCTTCATACATGATTGTCGGAGCTTTTGTTGTTGAAGAAAGATCACATGTTTTCTGAATATGATGAACTAGGGATCTCAACCAAACACATTCTCTACTGGCCTCATGGAGCGCAAGAATTTCTGCATGATTAGAAGAGGTAGCAACCAAGGTTTGTTTTGTAGATTGCCATGAGATTGCTGTATTTCCACAAGTAAACATATAACCAGTTTGAGAGCGACCCTTATGTGGATCAGAGAGATACCCAGAATCTGCATATCCAATAAGATTTGGACTGTTGGAAGGTTCGTTCGAATAAAACAGGCCCATATCAGTTGTTCCACGAAGGTAGCGCAAGATATGCTTTATACCATTCCAGTGTCTACGTGTTGGAGCTGAGCTATACCTGGCAAACAAATTTACTGAAAATGCAATATCTGGCCTAGTACATTGGGCTAAATATAATAAAGCACCTATTGCACTAAGATATGGTACTTCTGGACTAAGTATCATTTCATCATCCTCTTTAGGACGGAATGGATCTTTATTTGTGTCTAATGAACGAACTACCATTGGAGTGCTCAACGAGTGGGCATTATCCATATAAAATCGCTTCAAAATTTTTTCAGTGTAAGCTGATTGATGGACAAGAATACCATTGGGATGATGTTCGATCTGCAAGCCCAAACAATATTTAGTTTTTCCAAGGTCTTTCATCTCAAATTCACACTTTAAATATTCAGCAGTTTTAATGACCTCTTCAGGAGTTCCAATTAAGTTCATGTCGTCGACATACACTGCTACGATTGCAAATCCAGAATTTGATTTCTTTATAAAAACACAAGGGCATATGGGATCATTGATGTAGCCTTCCTTAATTAAATATTCACTAAGACGGTTGTACCACATTTGTCCGGATTGTTTCAACCCATATAGTGAACGTCTCAACTTAATGGAGTACATGTTCCGTGATTTAGTGTTTGATTCTGCCAACTTGAGTCCTTCTGGGACTTTCATATAAATATTGGCATCTAACTCCCCATACAAGTATGCAGTATTAAATAACGGAACGTAATTGCATCCATAATAGGAGAATATGTTTCTTCATAATCAATCCCAGGCCTTTGAGAAAATCCTTGCGCAACAAGTCGTGCCTTATACCTTGCAATCTCATTTTTCTCATTACGCTTTCTTGTGAACACCCATTTATATCCCACAGGTTTTACACCTTACGGTGTTTGAACCACAGGTCCGAATACACCACGTTTTTCCAAGGAATTTAACTCAACTTGGATTGCGTCTTTCCACTTAGGCCAATCAAGCCTCTCTTTGCATTCATCAACAGATTGTGGTTCAATATCTTCATGACCTTTTATAATTTCAACAGCTACTGCGAAAGAAAAAATATCATCGATAACCATTTCACTATGGTCCCACAATTCATCATTGCATGTGAAATTTACAGAAATTTCTGTATTAGGTATCTTTTCCTCTTCAATGGCTTGTGTCCTTTCAATGACACTTTCACTCTCTGGATGAATTGTAGGTTCAAGGTCAATCTCTTTCCCAATAATATCTTCATGAGCGTTTTCATTGGGGTTGGAATATGCTTTTGATTTTCGCTTTCTAGGAGCTGAGTCCTTCGAACCAATGGGTCTACCTCGCTTCAGGCGTGTAGTAGATGATTCATTTGCTGCAACATTGGTTAATTTGATTGGGATATCAATCCTTGCTGGTGTATTTGCTGCAGGTATATGTGATTTTGTCACTTTTCCTGTGTCAGTGAATGCATCTGGCATTTGATTAGCAATTTGCTGAAGGTGGACAATCTTTCGTACTTCATTTTCACTTTGAGTTGTACAAGGGTCAAGATGAGACATAATGGATATGTTCCAACCTAATTCACGCCGTTCTTCAGGAACAGTCTTTTCTCCCCCTAACGGCGGGAAGAATGTCTCATCATAGTGACAGTCCGCAAAGCGTGCTGTAAAAGTATCTCCTGTCATAGGTTCGAGATAGCGAATGATAGTTGGTGAATCAAAACCAATGTATATTCTCAATCGACGTTGAGGACCCATTTTAGTGCATTGTGGGGGTGCAATTGGCACATAAACTGCACAACCAAAAACCCTTAAATGTGATATATTGGGTTGTCTCCCAAAGGCAAGTTGTAAAGGGGAGAATTGGTGTTGGGCAACGGGCCTCAAGCGGACTAAAGTTGCTCCATGTAAAATTGCATGTCCCCAAGCAGAAGTTGGCAACTTTGTCTTCAACAACAAAGTGCGAGCAATAAACTGGAGACCCTTGATAAAAGCTTCTGCTAATCCATTTTGAGTGTGGACGTGGGGAACTAGGTGCTCAACATCAATCCCAAGTGACATGCAATAGGCATCAAAAGTTTGGGAGGTAAACTCACCAGCGTTATCAAGTCGAATTGACTTTATTGGATTATCAGGGAATTGTGCTCGTAATTTAATTATCTGAGCAAAGAGCCTAGAAAAAGCAACATTGCGAGTTGACAATAGGCAAATGTGTGACCATCTTGTAGATGCGTCGATTAAAACCATAAAATAACGAAATGGTCCACAAGATGGGTGAATTGGCCCACAAATATCCCCTTGAATTCTCTGTAAGAAAGATGGACATTCAAAGCCAAGTTTTGACGAAGATGGTCTGATGATCAATTTTCCTTGGGAGCAAGCTTTGCAAGACTGGTCAATGGACAAAGTACTATGGTGAGGCTTTAAAAGATGTCCATTTGAATTTGAAATAATTCTACGCATCATTGTGGATCCAGGATGCCCAAGACGATCGTGCCAAGGCATGAAAGTCTTTGGGTCAATGAACTTTTGGTTCATGATAGCATGAACTTCAACTGCTTTGATGGTTGTATAATACAACCCAGAAGAGAAAGCAGGAAGTGTTTTCAATATACGCCTCTGGTTGTTGATATTGGTGGTAATGCAAAGATACTCCACATTGTGATCCTTTCTAGTTTCAATATGGTATCCATTCATTCGAATGTCTTTAATGCTAAGTAAATTTCTTCTCGATCTCAAAGAATACAAAGCATTATCAATGGTGAATTGAGTCCCATTGGGTAACGAAATTTGAGCTCTTCCAGAGCCGTCAATTAGGTTTGCATAACCTAGTATGATAGTTTCCTTTGCTTTTGATAAATGTAAATTATCAAAATATTTTTTATCTCGAAGAATTGTGTGCGTAGTTGCACTATCCGCAAGACAAATATCTTCGTCATTTCTCCCAAAACGAGAACATCCATGATTGTTTTCCATGCCAAGAGCCTTCGTGCTGATAACGTGTTATAAACCTAGAGGGAGAAAAAATAGAGAGAAGGGGAGATATTAATCAGGGGGAGATATCAATCAGGGGGAGCATCCCAATTCTACTACATACAGGACATATGCGCGTTGTACTCTTTTTCCCTTCGACTAGGTTTTTTTATCCCACTGGGTTTGTCCTAGCAAGGTTTTAACGAGGCAACATAAGCATGTCCAACACCACATCAATGATCCAGAAGAAAGTTTCACTCTTTTTCCCTTCGCTTTGGTTTTGTCCCACTGGGTTTTCCAAGCAAGGTTTTTAATGAGGGAACTATGTCATTGTATGGTGGACATCCAAGGGGAGTGTTGTAAATGCGTGAGTTGGTGGATGACCACCATACCTCTTAGTATTCCACCATTGGATTTTATGTAACCTATGCACTAAGTATTTGTAATTAATGCTTGTAACCTATAAGTATATTGTAAATGATGGTATTCAATTTCCTATCTTGTAAGCCTATAAATAGGTGGTTCTACCAAAGATTAAGTGTAGAATAAACATGGTGAAACTTTATCTTTAGCATATCACTTCTCTCTACTTTTTCTCCCTCTAGTTTTATAACATATGCTGGGTTATTTTGTGCTTAGAGGAATGCTAATCAAAGTCCCTCAAAAGCGACTGCCACCAGGGGCATGTCCAGAGCCACCTACATGTCTTTTGGAATTTCCTAGAATTTTCGAATCCATAAAATTCTTATTTTCCCATTTTTACCCTTTTTTCTTCCGGAGAGCATTGAATGCCATCTCCTTTCTTCCTTTTATGAGTTTTCTCTCTCTCTCTCTCTCTCTCTCTCCCCTCTTATTCTTCATATCAACTGCAGATATCAAGTTGAAACAACCATTTCTCACAGAAAAAGCAAGGGCACAAAACTGGGTTTTTTTATTTGATACTATTTTCGTCATGTTCTTCATCTCAACTACAGATATATAGATTTTTAAAAACTGAAGAAAAAAAAAGTAGTATAATAGAGTTACCAATAAGAACAAAGAGAAAGAAGAAATGAGATATGAAGTGCATGTTGGGATTTTTTAGGAAGAGGAAATATGAGATGAACAAATGAGATGCATGTTGGAATTTTTTTTCTCTAATATTGCTTTTGCTTTGGGTCTGGTTCAGGTTCCGAGAGAGAAACGTGGGCATTCAAGAAGCGGGCTCATAGAAAAGTAAGAAAATTCATTTGGTTTAAATTTTCTAGATATTCTCAAACACGTGTAATGCTTAGAGTGGACAATGCAGGGGATTATGTTAACAGTCGCTTTTGAGCTACTTTGATTAGCATTCCTCTTGTGTTTAAGATAGCAGCTGGTAATTAAGTTTCTATGTTATATAGTAGTTGGTTGGTGGTTAGCATTTACTCCCATATTGTAGGATGTTCTTGTTCTGTTATAAAAAGCCCTGTATCTGCAGCAGTTTATGGCAAGAAAGCAGCAACAAAAAATTCAGATCTTACTAGACCTCCTTATAATATATAAGCCCCGTCTCTACTGTCTTCTTTTTTGTTTGTATAGTTTCTATTTCTCTCAGGGTCTCTACTGTCTTTCCTAGCTAGCTACTTCCTACTCTGTTATAGTGCAGTACTACTGCATTAATTCACCCAACATTAACTTGAAACAAGCTATTATATTATCTATCGTTTTCTTTCTCTCAGGCTCCTCCACCTCCAGTATTTGGTAAGTACCCATAGACCGCTAATTGTATCTAATTATACTTAATTATCTGTTAGCTCTTGAGTGCTCCTCATTTACTAGGCACTCATAGTCATGGATTGATCTCCCCGACATTGTGTAGATCGGAGCAGCTTTCGAGTCCATATATGGAGGACACAGTTGTAAATGTCGATGAATATAAAAAATAGCTTGCGCTTGGACCATGAGTTGTACGGCTACGCAACTCCGGGCAAGATAGATAGCTTTAAGGACACCATTCAAAGGAAGCTTGTGGCAGATGAAGTACATGATCCCAATGCTCACGTTTGGCAGTCTCGACTAAGCTTTCACAATAATAAGAACACATTCCTTCACATAGCTGCAAGCTCCGGCCATGCGAAACTAGCAGCTGAGATCAAACAATTTCACAAGCCTCTTTGGTTTGAGCAAAACTTTGAGGGCGACACTGCGCTCCATATTACGGCCAAAGCCGGGGAATTAGATACAGCAATCACTCTTCTCCGTGAAGCCCGAGGCGTTGATAATAATGATCATGATGTATCCAGGTTGCTGACCGAGACGAATAATGAGAGGAACACTCCCTTACACGAGGCCCTGATTCATGGTCACCAATTAGTAGCAAAGTGTTTGATAGAGGGCGCCAGTTCTAGCGTCCCTTTTTATGTTAATAAGGAAGGAAAGAGCCCTTTGTATCTGGCTGCTGAGGAAGGGTTTGATGAGATCGTGAAACTAATAAACAAAAAAGCAGTTGAGGAAAAGCCAGAATTTCTTGTTATTAAAGGCAAGTCTCCGTTGCATGCTGCAATTCTTGGCCGCCGGAACAATGGTACTGTAGTACATTCAATTCATACTACTACTGTTTTTCTGCTTTTGCCACAACGGGTAGTGTGATGGATTTTTGATCTATTTTTTTATTATTACATTTTTCAACTTGAAAGAAAAACGTTCATTAGACTCATATTTTTCTATTTTATTCTTTGGCTCCATTAGAAATCTTAAAGACAGTATCAAGCATGGAGGAATTTTTTAAGAGCTCAAAAGATAAGAAGGGGAGGACTCCACTACATTCTGCAGCATCAATTGGTTATTTAGAAGGGGTACGCTTCTTATTAGGCAGTCGCATCTCTGATTGTCATCAAATGGATCATGGCGGCAACTTTCCAATCCATTCAGCATCAAGCAAAGGTCATGTCAAGATTGTTAAAGAGCTGCTTCGACATTGTCTCGATTCAAGGGACTTGAAGAACTCTAATGGCGAAAATATACTCCATGTTGCAGCAAGATGCGGTAAAGACAATCTTGTCAAATATTTTCTCAAAAAGGGTGAGTTTCGAATGTTGATAAACCAAAAGGACAGCAACGGAAATACTCCTTTACATTTGGCAACGATGCACCACCATCCCAAGGTTGTCTACAGATTGGCTTGGGATACAAGGACAAACTTAAAGCTCTTGAATGGTAGAAGCATGACAGCTCTTGACATTACAAAAAGCCCTTTGGAAACTATTGCATCATATCATGGGGTAAGTTAGTACTATATCTACTTTTATCACATGACTGATGATGATGATTTTGGGTATCATTTCCAAGGGAAGTATCCTTGTTCTATTTAGTGTGTTTTGGCTAATTCCAGTTTGGTATATTCTCAAAGAAATTGAACAGAGAAATAAAAGGAGAAACATGTAATTGAGAAAACACTCTATATTTTATTGAAGTAGGATTACAACACTATGGCTGATATAGCTCACCTAAAATGGTTCATATAAGACATACACTACACATCCAATGACAGATTCACTTGAAAGTAGAGTGATATAGCTCACCTACTCACCTTTTTTTACTACCCATTAAGTTCCATTGATACTCTGTTGAGCAAGGCAGGTTAGAGAGACAAAGTGGTGTGGACTGGGTATTCTGGGCAGCTGTGGAAGGTTTTGGTTATCTATGAGACTCTCTGGATTGCAGATTTATAAGTATCTAGCACCCTTATTTGTTACTTGTTGAGTATTTGAATGATGTATGAAATGTGTAGTAGATTTTGTAGATTTGGTCTACATCTTGTTCCCAATAAGAAAAATTCATGGATCGGTCACTGCACAGATCCCATATATAAGGAGTTTACAAGATAAAGTCTTCCTGCCAAATTGGAAGAACATGCAATTGGAAAAAAAAACATGTGGGGAAAGAAAATGAATAGTTGTGCTGGGCAAAATGAAGACATCACTAACTATGCATTTATTTGGGTATAAACAAACTATATAGGGAGCTCAAATAGTGATCAACTAAAACCAATGTTTTGAAAGGCGAGGCGTTTTATGTCTCGCAAAGCGAGGTGTAAGCCTCGAGGCGATAAGGCGCAAGCCTTTTGAACATTCAATTATCAAAAATAAAAATATATTAGTATATTTATAATATGTAAAACATATGATCCATATATGTTGTGAGGTCATTGATTCATAAATGAAAACATCTCAAGCCTCTTTTTAAGCTCTAAATTAATTTAGACTGTTATAGACTGGATATGAATTCAAATTTATAAGATAGGATTCACATCTTGTTTGAATAGATTGAAAGAGAGGCTTCCATTAGAAATATGTGGGTGGATATGGCTGAGAGCTAGTCAAAATTGAAACAGAGGGAAATCTGATTTTTGTGAACCTTCTATTGGGTGAGAGCAGAATATAAAAGGCACAGGAGGGACTAATTAATATAATAATTTTTTATTGTGAAGGAATGGAAGAAGTGAGACCTGAGCTTATGTTATGTTCTTAAACTTAAAAACCATAGATGTTGAAACGTTGGCGTTTTGCTTGACTTTTTAAACACAAAAGCTGTACCATACGGGATCGTTTTGAGAGAAATAAAGTTAGGTTTCATCGTCTTCTTCTCCGCTCTGCAACGCCCCTGCAATTTCGCGCGTACGCTTTTGGAATTTGGCGTACGCCTCCGTAACTTGGCGTATGCCTTTAACAACAATCGCTAAACAGAGGTACGCTTGAGGCGTTTTACCATCGCCTCGCCTCGCCTCACGCTCTCAGGCGCGCTTAGGCATGCCTTTCAAAACATTGACTAAAACTCATCATCATCATTTACATGTTAGTACATGTTTTTGTAATCTCTATATGATTTGTTTCTATTTTACCTTACATGTGTCTGGTAATTGGATTGTTTCTTCTTGTACTGCACAGAGGCTTACATGGATGGTATTGAAATCTGCTTTCGCACAGCGTGCTCAGAGTTTGCATGTCCTCCAAAGGAAAAAACTGAGATCACCACAAGTAGCAGACAATGGTGGAGGTTTGACTAAGTTACCAAACGAGGAAAGCATTAGGGACAGGGTGAATGCTTTATTGGTGGTTGCCACACTTGTTGCCACAGTGGCATTTGCAGCCGGTTTCACAATGCCAGGTCGCAACAACGATTCTACCCCTCATGAGGGCATGGCAATCTTGCTAACCAAAGCTATGTTCCAAGCCTTTGTTGTGGGAGCAGATATTTTCGTCTCCAATCACAGCGCGCCACGTGGAAAAGAAGATTATCTCTTTTAATTAATTAATTGAACCAGTTTATCTGGCCATTTAATTAATTGGGATAAATATCTTAATTAACATGATATTATCTTTATTTAATAAGATAATATCATTAATTAAGATATTATCCTAATAAAGAGAAGATAATGTCATTATCTCAGATATTATCTTCATAAAAAGAGATAATATCATTTAATTAAGATATTATCTCCATAAAAAGAGATAATATCATTAAATCAGATATTATCTCAGTCCGACTCAATCCCTACGAATTTGGGTAGAGAATAAACTCAGCATATTCTCTACGAAACCCTAGCCCCGAGGCTCCTATAAATAGATGACTTCATTCATCATTCAAGGTACATCTAAACCTACTCCTTATACCCGAGAAAAATACCCGAAGCTCTTTCTCCCTCTCCACTCTCCATATTTTCTCCACACAGCTCCGGCCACCACACACGGCTTCGGCCGCCCGGTTCACACCCTACATAAACACTACTCCGTACCCTTTGCTTAGCTATTGTTTTTCTACAAACACTCAAACTAACTTAGGCATCGGAGGGCCTTTGGCCAACACCCCCCGGGTGTGGTCTATTTACTCCAATCTATTTTACAGGAATCAAGGAAGAGAGAGAAGGAAGATCGAAGGTTGAAGGATCTAGAAGCGAATATTCTCCCGTGAGATTATTTGCACAAACATTTGTGATTTGTAACACCATAGCTATGTATACTGCCATCCTTGTTGCAGTCTGTCTCATTTGGGCACAGTTGGGGGACTTAAATTTAGTGGACACAGCTCTTCATATGGCGTTGCCGCTGCTGGGGATTGTACTTACCATGATGTCCTTAGCCTTTATGGCTGGGGTTTATGTGGTAGTTAGCAATCTTCATTGGCTTGCCTATGTTGTATTGATCCTGGGAGTCCTTTTCATTGTCACTGTCCTGGTAGTTTTCATTCCACTCTCCTGCAAAACTACTTCGAGGTCCCGCATCCTTCGTTGCATCACTTACTTTCTCTTCTGTGCGGAAGAATGGGCTTCTAGAAGTCACAACAATTACCAAAAGAAGACTGATCTCCTTGGTTGCGCGACACTGCGGGCCTGCAATATCATCTTGGAATGTTTAAGTGGTAGTTCTTGTGTTCCGTAAAAAAAAAAAAAAAAAGTAGTTTTTACGTTTCATGTACTTTATGTTATGTTGTAGTTAAGAACTTTGTGAGAATGTATGTATTAATAACTGTGTCACTTTTATTTTAGAGTGCTGCTATTTCCACATTCGTTCTATTTCTCCACTCACCTTATTTTCGAAATTTTAAAGATAAATTTACCCATTTGTAAAATGACTTGTAAGGACTTAGGGAAAACACTCGAATCATAAACCACCTATTCTTTAAAAATAATTTTAAATTTTAAAACCAAAAATAAAAAAGGACTATTATATCCAAAATAAGGGCCCACACTGTAAGAAAACCCAACATGAAATGCACTTTAAAACCACACCAAAACTCATTTACAACATAAGAAATAGGCATTGAAGTCCCTATAAATTATGTGACTGTCATTGGTTAACTTAGCCCAACACAAAAACCTATAAATAAAAACTATAAAAAAACCAAAACAAGCCCAGCCCACATTAAAAATAAAAAAATAAAAAAAAAACCCAAACAATTTTTTGATAGACCAAGGGGATCTTCATCTACCCTTGTTTGTCCCCACCACCACAGGACGTCTGCAAAACGAAAACTCCATAGCCACCAAGCTTAAGCTTTTTTCAAAACCACCACCGCACCTACCACTAACCTCCACCTACAAAACCACGAAAATGATAGAAAAGCAACATTTAAAACCATTCAACGCAAAAAGGAGAAAAATTTCAAACAAAAAAAGCTTTAAAGGGAAAACCTTTAAAACCATACATAGGTTTTCGTTTATGGTGTAATGACAGTCATGTTCTATTCTAGTAGCACGACCTTCTAGTTTACTGTGTTGCTATTTCTAATCCATTTCTTTGAATTGACATATGACAAACAAATAGTGAATCTACCAAAAAAAACAATGAAGAAAAAGCAAAGAGACCCACAAAAAGCAAAAATAGTGAAACGCCACCAACATCCAAACAAAAAGGAAAACCCTCATCATCTAAAAAGAACACTGCCACAAAACCAAAAAGACCAAGATAGAAAAGACAGGATGACCCAAATTATGTGCAAATCAAGAGCAATATGCTCACTTTTGCAGCAACAATGGACAATGTTTGTGAGGTAAAATACCTCTAGGCTGAGCAGGGCCAAAGCATGGTGTTAGTGGTCGAGCTGGGCTCAAGGCTGATCGCCATATATTTTTCACCTTGACCCAAGTAGGCTTGTGGGCCCATTAGTCTATGAGTTTGGGCTAGGTGTGCATGAGGTTGACATCAAATGAGTTCACGTGGTGTTCACTCAAAGGAATCCTGGTAACTTCAACATAGTCCGAAAATCATAAGTTCAATATATATATATATATATATATATTTTAACTCTTTAGGCATGTAGTAGCTTCAACAAAATCAAGGTAGAATATTTCTGACTTAGTGGTTCGCATAAATTTTTTCCATTCATTAAAAATTTGTTGTCTTTGACTTTTATCTGGGTAGACTGTGTGGTAGTTGTTTCTTATTTCTAAATTTTCTAGAGCATTCAGGTGACTATCTAAAACTTTCCATTGACTTCTAAATTCTTTGGTAAGGGTTCTTAGTTGATGGAGGGATCCCTCAAATAGTGTTATTTGAGGGATGGGGTACTCAGTCATTGGATCTCTTTTAATGGGATCTTGCGGCTATGGTTGTTTTAAATGTTTTAACCCGTTTTAACACCCCTGACTCAATAAAATAAAAAAATAAAAAAAAAACACGCGATGGCTGAAGAAACCTAAGGCACACACGAAGAAGAGGAAGAGCCCACCCTTCCAAGACGAAGGAAGAGCTGCCATCGCGACTCGCGAGAAATCTATGCCAATCAGATAGGCATATCCACAGATATATCCTTTCCAAAATCATGAAAGTTCATATGACATGTCTGATGATTTAATCAATAAAAATAATGCTATTTCAAACAATGTCCACTCACAATTAGTCCCACACTGCTTGACCCTGAGAGGGTCCCGCCTGCTGCATATGCATGGTCAGAATACTTATTTCAGAATACGAATTTGAGATTAATATAAAAACACCTTGAACAAAAACTGTAAATTAAAATCCTAGTTTCCTGGGTTTCAAGTAAAGCACGAGGAACTAGACGTTCCTAAAGTCCAACTATGTGTTTCGGATGATGATCTTGGAAGACACTCGGTTAATTGAGCGGTCAAACTTTCCCAATTGGGTCAATCGAGCCCACGGGATCCACGACCACCGATTTCCGAGCCGGAAGTTCTTAAGGGTTCCACAAGGTTTAGAATACACGTCCTGCAAGTTTGGTTCGGATCGAACGGTCGGATTCCTCGCGATCGTATGATCGGTTGGTTATCGTTTAACGCAAACTTTAAGTAATTGAATCAAAACATCCGGGGCTTCGATTCACGATTCGCAAAATCCTACACGATCCTAGGAATGCCTAGATCAACATATATTAAATTGGAGTCAATCCAATGGTCCGAACATATCGAATCCGGATAATGCCTAATATGCGATATTCGATCGACAGTCAAACGATAAGCATACCGTCGTGCTTGGGATGACATGAGGATTATTTTAGGACCAAGAGGGACACCAAAACAGTGCCCATGCCCTGCCATACGCGCCGGCACCCCATGGGTGTCCAAAGCGATTCTGGCGATCGAAAATCTCCAAACTGCCGGTCAAGACTTATACCTACATAATCAAGACATTGAGTGGAGCAACTTTTGTTCTAAGACATACCCCAAAAAGTGGCCGAAATCCTGGGCTGAAAATTGGCCAAATTTCAATTACTTATTTGACAACCAAAATGCAGAAATTGATCCTAAACAACACAACCAGCAGCTGGAACACATCGAGAGGATGAGAAAACATAACAAGTTCGAAGAATTTGGTTGCCGGAATCGCCATAATGAGCTCTGAATTTTTACGTAAAATCAGCCTTAAATCTTGATTTTCCGGCAACCACGACGGTGGATCGAGGCGGGAATTGTAACATCCCACATCAATCAACGGAGAGGGGGTGATGTGCCTTATATGTACATGCCTGCCTCCATCTAGCATGAGGCCTTTTGGGAGCTCACTGGTTTCGGAGTCATGGGAACTCCGAAGTTAAGCGATTTTGGGCTAAAGCAATCCTAGGATGGGTGACCCACTGGGAAGTTACTCGTGAGTTCCTAAAAACAAAACCTTGAGGGCAAAGAGGGGGGCCCAAAGCGGACAATATCGTGCTACGACGGAGCCGATCCTGGGATGTGACAATTTGGTATCAGAGCCACTCTGCCATGTGGTGCGAGTGTGCCGACGAGGACGTCGGGCCCTTAAGGGGGTGGATTATAACATCCCACATCGACCAACGGAGAGGGGATGATGTGCCTTATATGTACCTTTTGGGAGAGCTCACTGGCTTCGGAGTCATGTGAACTCAGAAGTTAAGCGAGTTTGGGCTAGAGCAATCCCAGGATGGGTGACCCATTGGGAAGTTGCTCGTGAGTTCCCAGAAACAAAACCGTGAGAGTAGAGAGGGGGGCCCAAAGTGGACAATATCGTGCTACGGCGGAGCCGATCCCGGGATGTGATAGGAATGGGGTGGGGCAGGAAGAGGGAGGAGAGGCGGTCCTTTTGGGACCGGTGCTGCCAAGAATGGCGGCGTGTGGCAAAGGTGGTGACGGCAAAACCGTCTCTGCTGTGTGCACCCGCGTCGGGAGGGGGAGGGTCGTGTCGGGGAGAGACAGAGAGAGTTTTCTGATTTTATTAAACTCATTTTGAAAAATTTACGATTATGCCATGAGTTTGTTTGTAACTTCTTCGTTTCAACTCCGATTTAAGCCCACTCTATGGATTCATCTCGGTATGATCTAAGCCAAAGTACCAGTCATTTCCCTGTAATCCTTCCGGATTAAAAAGTGACCAAATTACCCCTACCCCTGAGGACAAAATTGAAATTTTAGAATTGATTTAATTAATGAATAGTCTTGTTTTGGGTCTGTATGTTACACGACCCGACACCCTAATGCCTTTTCCGTAGTGGGGGTAAGCTTATTTCCACCACTTCTCTGACATACAATCGGTCAAGGATTAGTTGGATTTCATGCGTTTGTTCGACGGGCTTTAAAAGAAATCCCTGTCTTCTCCAATCTTGTCACGGTATGTAAATTATTTGAATCTCTAGCTTCTCCTTATCTTCAAAAATCGCTCAAGGATTTACCTTTTTCTTTTAAAAAACAAATAAACAACTTGAATATATACAAATCTTATGTCTGATTTCGGAAACACTTGTCACTGTTACCCTCTTTTCGGCCGGGGCGGCCGACGGAAGGAACTTTTGGTCCTTCTTCTTTTGGATGCGGGGCGTGCCACCACCAAGCCCCGAAATTGGGCTTGAATGGAATGAGAATAGATGGATATGTTGCGCTTCTAACTTCTGACCAAACGATTGATCGGCCAAGCAAGGAACCTCTTCTTGGCCTAGATTCTTTCACTTTCTCGGGCTCGAGAATGGTTAGGTTTCGTACGGATGTTTTTGTGATTTTTATGGTTTAAGTAAAAATAATGCAATTAAACTAAATATGCGTATAAACGTAAAGACAAGAATTGAAATGCGATAAAATAAATCAAAGCGATAGATAAAGCAAGAATAAAATAAAAGCGATAAGAACGATAAGAACGAAAAGGAAATAAACTTGAAGTTAAATTTAATCGAAGTGCGATAACAATTAAATGTAAAGGAATCAAAATAACCTTGAATTGAAATGACAAAAAATATAAATCGAACAAGAATTTAAATGACAAGGAAAATATAAACTTACACTAGAAATATGAAGAACTCACTACACTAGGTGCTTGAAAAATAAAATCCTAAGTCTAGGAAAAGAAAAGTGCGAGACGAAAGATAGGTTTGTTTGTCTGATGTTGTGTGTCTGATGTCTTCATGGAGCAAGGTTTATATAGGGCACTCGTCAGCCCATGGGCTGGCCATTGAATGGCCAAATGTCAACTCTTCTTTAAAATCTTTCCTTTCGAAGCCCTCCTAAATCCGTGGGATTGCGTTGATATTCTGACATGCTTGATTCTTCCTTGTTTTGGAACACTCGGAGTTACTATAAAAACTCCCTTGATTTCTTTCCTTGTGAGGCCCTCCGTCACGTGCACATTATCCTCAGAAAATCTAGAATAGGATGGGAAGGGCTTCAATTTTGAAAGCTGGTCGTGCCCAACAGTTTCCTTGGTTTACATATATTTGTATATGCATACAAATAATTATATATATATATATATACCAATATATGCATATATGGGTGAATGAATCAAGACAGCTTGGTTGAAATGCCTGGCCCATGCGGATGGGCTCATAAAGTGAAGCCATCCATTGTGATATACGATATTAATATATATATATTAGGTCAATAAGTTGGCGGCCGCATTCATCCCTTTTATGCCCAGCCGCATATTCATCCGGCCGCACTAAATTGTGCCCAATTACATTCGGGCCTCAATTAGAACGAATCTCGGCCGCACTAAATTCCAAGCAGAACCCGGCCACAGTCTTCCAATCCTGCCCGGCTACGAACTCCTCCAATCCTGGCTGTGCCCAACAGAACAATCCATATGCACTAGCCCAGCCGCAATTCTTCTTCTCCGGTCACACCAAATCGTGCCCAGTTGCCTATTCATCACACCCGGCCGCTATTTCCAACTCCATTCGAGCTGTCCGGCCGCATCTTGTATGCCCAGCTTTTTCGGGTCATGCCCAGCGAAAAAACCTTGGCCGCAACCTCAGTCTCCAGCCCCTTTTCGAACAAAACCCAGCTGCGATCTTAGAGAGCTGTTCAGCCCGACTGTATTCTCCTCGTGCCCATCCAATATCCCGTGCCCGGATTAGGTGGGTTTCTACCACCCCCAAACATTGCCCCCTGATTTGTTTAGCTTCGGAATTGGTGTAGAGGTAAGCAAATTGAAACCCAAAACTTTCTAATTTCTGAAATTTGAGATTTTTCTCTTTCGTTTGCCTTGCACGTTATTAAATTTTGAATCAGGTAGGAATTTAGGAAGACACCAATTAAATTGGAGGGTCTTTTGAACTTCCTATCCGTTAAAAACCCTAGATATTAGAAATATCCAAGAGATCTCTTTCATTTTCACATAAGCACTTCTACCATAGCTATAGGCTTTTAGAAGGTTTTCTCAAAACCCATATCCTCTTCATCTTCACATTCATCATTTCACACATCAAATCCACCCGAATCAACATCAAACTTGAAATTTGCAAGTTTCTGGGTACGTTGTACTAATTCTTGGTTGATTTTGGTATGATTTTGATGCATCTATAGCCTTCAAAAGTTTAGACTTGAAACTTTGAATATGTGAATAGTGCCATGATGTTCTTCGTGTTCTTGATTCGAATCTTGTTTGCTTCACTATATTTTTCTTTGATTCGATTTTACACCATGTTTGTAGGATGGAATCCATTCCAAGTGATAGTGGCCAATTCTTTGAAGATATGAAAGTGGCCATGGAAAAAGACTTGGGCAAACAAGTATTTGCCTATTTTCTCAATGCCTTTCCCAACTCCGCCCAATATATTCTTGGCCCATTTTTCTCCGCCTATCTGGAGGAGGTGGCCAAAGTGTGAGTGACGCAACCAAGAAGTGGCCCAACTTATTTTTCAGACTTCACATGGGCATCCGTTTGGGAGAGCGCCAAGCCATTTAAAGGTTGGCCAACGAGAACCCCCCTCAAATCGGATCCCACCGCAACAAAGGAGGCCCCATCAAAGAAAGCATCATCAGCCGCCGGGAAACCCGACCACTCAAGCTCGGTGGATGGCAAGTTTGATTGGTATCATTGGTTCAAGGCATTGGAACCAAAATTGAAGGGCCATTGGAAGAAAATTGGGATTTATGATACATTGCTCCTATGTGCGGGAAGCCCATTTCCTTGCGACCGATGTCTCATCATTGCGGCCCTATGCTTTTGGTCTTCCTCCACCAATTGCATGAGGCTCCGTTTTGGGATGATGACGCCCAACTTGCTAGACTTGGCCGCTATCGCCGGCCTCCGTCCTCATGGAGAGGATTTCTCGGCCGCCAACCTTCCGGATGGCAAAGTGGGCTTAGATTTTCACAAGTCAAACAAGAACTCCGGGAGCTGGGTGAAGACATATCTTGGCCATGGCGGAGATCCCACCGACCCTCCTTCCATCAATGGCGTATCCTACACTGAGCATGTGGCTTTCCTTGTGATGTGGTTGTGCAAGTTCTTGGCATGCCCAAAATCCGGCGGGATCACAAAGGAATTTCAAGCCTTGGCGGAGGTACTTGCGGATGGCCATCAAGTGGCCATGGGCCCAATCTTTCTTCCCTATCTTTATAGAGGGCTCCGTGAGGTAACCACTAAACCCATGGATTATCATGCTTCTGGCCCTATATGGATTTTTCAATTATGGCTCCAGTTATATTTTCCGGAGTTAAGTCCCACCACCGTTTGCCCAAACGATAAAGCACTTTTGGGTCCGCCTTTGCTCAACGCCCCACGGCGGAAGCATTTTGTGGAGGATTGCTTCCGCTTTTTCTATGAGTGCCAGGAGAGGACTAGGGAGCATCTCTCCATTTGCCTTGATCACCGTTTCCCGGATTATCTAGCCCTGGATCTTTCCTCATATCCCACGGCGGAGACAAAAGATGAGAGACATAATATGTGGGCGAGCATCCTTATCAGCCGAGATCTTCCATATGGCCTAATGGTGAACAAAGGAAGCAATTATCATTGTGGTGGTGAGCTTTATTATCCCGCCGCCGCCGGCTACCAGCTTGGTTTTATACAGAGCATCCCTATACCACCCATGGATTCCGTCAACCTGCTCTCCTCTTGGCGGGTGGAATTTAAAGATGCAAAAGAAGTCACCACCTTGACGGATTTCAACCAAGACTTGGTGAAATCCTTCAGTATTCCGATTAGAGATCCTCGGTTTGGTGACTCTAACATCTTTATCCATTGGTGGAAAGAAATGTCGGCCGGTTGGTTTTCTCAACCATGCTCAGAGATTGAGGATAGGATCCTTAAGCATTGCCCATGCTCATTGGCCTTTCAACAAGAGAAAGAGAAGAAGAAGGCCCAAGCAAAAGGTAAAATATTTGCACTTTCTTCCTATTTTAATCTTTTGGCTATCTTTCTTTTTCCTAACCCTTCAAATCTCATAGTTGACACCGCCGAGAAGGAAAATCCTCCCGCCAAGGTTATTGAGAGAGAGAGCTTGGCCAAATCCGCCAATGCAAATTCTGGGCGGGGCGAGAAAAGGCACACCGCCCCCATCCAAGGTAAGCCATCCTCCATGATTATTTTTGCTCTTTTAAATATTTGCACTTCTAGCCTTCTGAATTCTTGATGGGCACATTTAAAAGCTTAAAACTCCAACTTTTTAGGAGATAGCCCCGCCGGAAATATTTTGCCCTCTCAAACATTCCTTCGGCCCAGAAAAGTTCCGCGGAACCTTTCACCCCAAGGTTTGGCCATGCACTTTTTTTATTTTTTTTATTTTTTATTTTTTTATTTAAATGTGACTAAAATAATAAGCTTGTTGCAGGTTCCCCAAGGCTGACGGATCATCCTTCCTCTTCTCATTCGGTCGGGGCCGTGCATTCGGCCACCACTTCATCCGCCGCTCCGGTAAGCCTATATCTCTACATTCTTTCATTCATTTAATTTTGAAGGGCAAAAACCACCCTTATGCCCAAAAATGTAGGAAACTCAACCTCCTACACTTGAGAAGGGAATTGGGGCGCAAGTCATGACTTCGGTGGGCGAGGATGAGGTAAATCCATCTCCTTAGCCGTTTGAGTTTTCTTTTACTTCTTTTGTGCTCACTAAATTTTCGAACTTAGTTGGCCGAGATCACTACCACGGAGCACCCGGAGGATGTTTCCACGGGGTCACACGAGATTACTCCCATGCCCGATGATCACGCCCATGAGCACGTGGCCGAGCTGACCGAGGAAGACTTCCCACATGTTCCGAATTCTCAGGTTCATTGAAATTTCATACTTTTAAAATTTCTTATACACTTGCCCCCAATTTCTTATTTTCAATGTTTGCACATGTTAGCGGGCCATTTTGGCCCCAACCTTTCTTCGGCCGATGCCACGGCCACTGAGGCCGAATTTCAGCCCCTCTTTGCCATAAGTTCGAGCTCTCCCTTGACCCGCCTTCTCGAGGCGCCCCAGAGTGGCCCAACTTTTCAGGTGATCTTACTCTCCCTTAAATGTTTTTTCAAAGCTTTATGTTTGTTAGAGAGCTCACATCCTCCTTTTTTAGGCGGACGTGGTGGAGTCTACCGCCATTACGGTCGGCCATGCGATCGTCGCCAATGGTGTGCCTTCCACTATTCCCACCGACGGAAGTGCACCACCTGAGCCCGTCCTTATGTTGACCTTGGGAGCTCCTACCTTGGTTGTCGATGCTATTCCGTCTGAACTCCAACTTGAGGTACGCCCCGAATTTTCTTGTTTATTTCAAATAAATGGGCCATTATTGTAATCCTTATATCGTTTTGCTAGATTGGTGAGTCTTCATCCCTTGTGCCCGCCGAGATTACCATGGATCTATCGGCGGAGGATGGAGGAAACTTGGCCACGGTCCCCCATGAAGAGGCCCCTCTACCATCCCCTGATCAGGTATGAAACAAGAAATACATACATATGCACATATGCAATTTATTTCCCTTTCTTGAAATATAATGCCCATTTTTCTTGCAGCCATCTGGTGATATTTTTGACTTCCTAGATCAGTGGGATGCATCTATATCCTCCGCGAAGGCTTCCACTCGCCTTGCCACTTCTTCTACATCGACCGGGGCCTTACCAGATTCCGGGGCTGAGGCCATACTTCGGTCATACAGAGATGGAGACCTCATGTCCTTGGAGGACAAAGATGAGAGAAGCAAGCTCAAGGCCGCCATTGAGACTTTGGCGAGTTCTGGCTTTTTCCCTGATCCACGCTCGGCGGCTATGATTACTCATCTCTTTGGTCAGGTGGAGAGATTTGCCCCCCGCCGCCGTCCTTTTCTGGAGGAGCAAAGGATAGGCCAAGATTTGGAGCAGCGGATTACCTCATGTAGTGCCACCATGAGGAGGGAGATCGAGATCGCCCGCCAAATGCAACAGGAGGCTGCTGATATCGATGAGCAGGTGAGGCAGCTTCAAGAAAGGAAGACTGGCATTGTTGCCAAAGTCTCCGAGATTGTCCGGAGCAATAGGCCTCTCGAGACTCAACTTCGACAGGATGCAGCAGCGGCGGGAGCATATCGAGAGAGGAAGTTGATGATTCAGTCTACCTTGTCCGCCGGAGATACCGCGATGGAGAGCTTTAGGGCTGCCCTCCGCACCTTTTTCCCCGATGCTTAGGTTCATACTTGGCCATTGGTTGGCCCATTTTGTACTTAGCTAGTTTCCTTTTCTTTGGTCACCATATGTGGTAGAACTAGCTTAGTTATTATTTCTTGAACCTTTGGTGGATATCTAGGCCATTACTTGGCCCCATTTTGTTGTAGACTTTTGCCCTCCTATATATATATGTGATATCTTTTGGAAAAAATTCTTTTATGATGCCCATTCTTCCAATAAAAATCATTATTTTATTGGGATATATTTCTTCGTGGCAGATTATCTCTCCGCCATTTCCCAAACCGTTGGGTAATATTTTTTCAAAAATCGACCATTGATCGGCGCATCATGGACCCGACCATTTTGGTCACTTAACTTGTACGCCCCCTTTCCTAACACTTGGTGGACGAGAAATGGGCCTTCCCAAGTTGGAGACCACTTGCCAAATTTTGGATCCTTTGATCCCTCCGGAAGAATGGTCTTCCATACTAAATCTCCGACCCCAAAACTCTTGGCCTTGGTCTTCTTATCGTATGCTCGAGCCACGACCTCTTTTTGGGCCTTCAATCTATCTAAAGCGCCCAATCTGACCTCGTCAAGGTCATCTAACTCTTGTGCCATGGCTTGCCCGTATTCGTCCTCACACCATTCGGCATGGCGAACCACCCTTAAGGACTTAACCGAAATCTCAAGTGGCAAGACGGCATCATGGCCATAGGTGAGGGCAAATGGCGTTGTTTGCGTGGCAGACCTTTTCTAGGTTCTATACGCCCATAGAGAGTTGGAAAGAAGAGAGTGCCATTCCTTGGGATTTTTATCAATCATTTTTTCCAAAATCCCTTTTATCACCTTATTACTAGCCTCCGCTTGGCCATTTGATTGGGGATTGTATGGGGTGGATTGAACCATCCTAATTCCCCAATTTCTCGCGGCGGCTTGAACAGCCTCGCCCATGAACGCCGTTCCTCGGTCAGTCATGATGGACTCGGGCAAGCCAAATCGATGGATGATATTCTTCTCAATGAATTCTATCACCTCGACTTGAGTAACTTGCTTGAGTGGGACGGCCTCCACCCACTTTGTGAAAAAATCGGTGGCCACTAATATATACTTATGGCCCTTAGATGACTTTGGGTATATTTGGCCAATCACATCCATTGCCCAACCTTTGAAAGGCCAAGCCTTGACAATGGGATTCATTGGTCCGGCCGGGACATGTTGGATCGGCCCATGCCTTTGACAGTCTTTGCAACCCTTGGCATATTCAATGCAATCTTTGAGGATAGTCGGCCAATAATAACCGTGCCTTCTTAAAAGCCACCTCATCTTGATGCCAGCTTGATGAGCACCGCATATCCCCTCGTGGACCTCGGTCATTGCTACGAGTTGTTCCTTTTTGCCCAAACATTTCATGAGCAAGTTATCGGAACCTATGCGGAACAATACTTCATCCCTTATCACATAATATTGGGCCCTCCGCCGAATTTGTTGGCTATGTGACCCATTTGGATTTTTCAAACACTGCACAATGTCGTGCCTCCAATCCTCCGGTGCTATGGTTAACACCATAACTTCTGCTGGAACCCCTCTTTCAAAGACGGAGGGGAGAGACCTCTTCTCAACTTTAAAAAGCTCCTCAAAGAGCCCTTCAGAGATCTCCACTCCGGATGCTAATTGGGCCTTGGCGTTGGCCTGAGTGTTATGTTCTCTCGGTAAGTGGGCGAGTCTCACATCATCGAAATCTTCCATTAATTGGCTGGCCAACGCATGATATCCAAGCAAAGCTTGGCTAGTCACCTTGTAGTCGCCAGACAATTGTTTTAAGACTAACATTGAGTCTCCCATGACCGCCACACTTTTTACCCCAAGCTCTTTCAAAATTTCCAACCCTATGATCAGGGCCTCATATTCGGCCTGATTGTTGGTACAATCAAAGTCCAATTGAAAAGAATAACGAGTTCGGAATCCTTTGGGCGTTTCAATGATGACACCCGCCCCGCCCATGTTAAATGTTCGAGACCCGTCAAAATAAAGGCGCCATGGAAATAAACTCAATGTGCCCACCTCGAGGAAATCCATCTCCTCTATTTCAACACAAGGGTGGGCCGCCAAGAAATCGGCCAAAGCTTGCCCTTTAACGGCCTGCTGGGGCACATATCGGAAAGTGAATTCCGCCAATGCCATTGTCCATTTTCCTATTCGCCCTCTAATGATTGGGCGAGTGAGCATATATTTTATCAAATCAGTCTTGGCGATTATATGCACCACGGAGGGCAACATGTAATGCCTTAACTTGGTCGCAGTAAAATACAAGGCCAAGCAAAGTTTTTCCACCGGAGAATATTTCCTCTTGGTGGCCGTTAGAATTCGGCTGAGGTAGTATACCGCTTGCTCTTTCTTCTCATCATTGTCTTGGGCTAGTAGACTTCCGATGGAGTTTTCCGCGGCCGAAATATATAATTTCAAGGGTCGGCCCCGCTTTGGTGGAATGAGCACCGGAGGCTTGGCCAAATATTCTTTAATGGTGTCAAATGCCCTTTGGTGAGTTTCTTCCCACCGAAATTTCTCTTCATCTTTGAGCTTTAGCAAAGATGAGAAAGGCTCAACTTTCCCCGCGGAGTTGGCTATAAACCTTCGAAGAAGTTAATTTGGCCCAATAAACTTTGCACACCTTTCTTGTTTTTTGGAGGGGGTGCGTTAATGATAGCCTTCGCCTTATTTTTATCAATCTCAATCCCCCTTTGGTGCACCAAGAATCCTAAGAAATTCCCGGCGGATACCCCAAAAGCACACTTTTTTGGGTTCATTTTCAATTGATGCCGTCGCATTCTTTCAAAGGCCGACCGGAGGTCATCCAAGTGGCCTAGTCTAGACTCCGATTTTATAACAACATCGTCGATGTAAACTTCTAAATTTCGACCGATCATGTCATGGAAAATAGCGTTCATTGCCCGCTGATATGTGGCCCCGGCATTTTTTAGGCCGAAGGGCATCACCACATACTCAAAAGTTCCAATGGATCCGGGGCACCTGAAGGCTGTCTTGTGGACATCCTCCTCGGCTATAAAAATTTGGTTATAGCCGGAGTGCCCATCCATGAATGATAAAATTTCATGCTTGGCCGCCCCATCGACTAAGAGGTCGGCCATGGGCATGGGATATTCATCTTTGGGAGTTGCAAGATTAAGATTACGAAAATCAACACATATTCTTATTGCTCCCGTTTTTTTCTTTACAGGTACAATATTTGAAAGCCATTCTACATATCTAGTTGGCCTAATAAATTTGGCTTTTACAAGCCTTACAATTTCTTCCTTAACCTGTAATTCTACTTCCGCCGACATCCGGCGGGGCGGCTGCTTGAAGGGCTTGAAATCTTCCACCGTTGGTAGGCGATGCTCGACTAAGTCACGACTCAATCCGGGCATCTCGGTGTAATCCCAAGCGAAGCAATCCTTGAACTCTCTCAAAATCTCTTCCATCTTGGCCCGAAGTTCTGGCTCCATTAGACCACTGATGTAGATTGGTCGATGGTTGTCTTCCGTCCCTAAGTTGATTTCTAACAAAGGGTCTTGGACTTCCGCCTTCGAATCATCCATCTCGCTTGGTGCCAACTCTACCTCTTCGAGCTCAAGTGCATCATCCTCCGGGCCTTCATGAAGAAATTACACCAAGTTGGCGGTGGACCCATGCTCGGCCGCTCTTTCGGCCCAAAAACCATATAGCCATCTCAAAGTGTCCTCCACCGCAGCCTTCTTCTCTTCCTCTATGTTTGTATCACTCATTGAGGGAGAAAAAATCAGCTATAGTGGGACGCTTCCCATCCCCTTGGGCATCATGTGCCCCCAAGTCTATCAACTTTTGGGCCGAGATTCCCGTAGGTCGGCCGTTCTTATCTGACCCCATAAAATAAAGGGGCCCAATGTCATCTTCATAAAACTTTGCCTCTACTGCATTGGCGGAGGCCATAAAGGGCCGTACATCGGCCTGAACAATCTCTACACTTCCATCCTCGTGCCAAAATTGTTAAAATTGATGAAGTGAAGAGGGCACACACATGCTTCCATGGATCCAATCTCGGCCCAACAAAGCATTGAAATGGGCCGTTGTCTCCACCACAAAGAAGGCAGTCATTCTAACTTTTTGCCCCACTCTAACTTGGAGTGGGAGGATTCCCTTTGAAGTCGTGGTGTCTCCCACGAACCCGCTGACCGTTGTCTCGGTCGGGATTAACTCATCTAAGCCTTTCTTTAATTTCCTCATGGTTGAGGCTGGTAGGATGTTGACCGTAGCCCCCATATCCACAAGGACTTTACTCACCGGAACTCCATCGAAATGAGCTCCCACATACAAGGGCTTAAGGTGGGAGGACATTTCTTGGTGGGCATGTCATAGCACACCTTCTCGGGCACTTTTTCCTCCTTTTCGGGCACCATGATGCAAGGTTGGGCATTCCCTTCCTTTGGAGTTTCTCGGGCCATCTCAATTTCTTTGGCCCCTTCCATTTGGACCATGGACTCAACCTCATCGAACACATCCCCGTCCATAAAATTAGGTTGATCCGGCCGAGCTTCGAAAAATAGTGGAAGTGTAACAACCATGGCATTTACCTCGTCAAAGTCTCCAAACTTTACTTTGACCTTGCCCACTTTTAGCTCATTCTCAAACTTGGCCATCTCTTCATTCCGTTCTTTCTCTAAGTGTTCCATAGCTTCCTCCGACAGATCCTCTAAGTATTCATCGTCCGCATACTCCTCATCTTCCCCATATATCTCTTCGTCTTCGGCCGTCGAACCTTCGGGATTTTCCAATGGCTCCTTAGCTTTTTCCTCGGCCGTGTGCTCGGCCTCTTCTTCTACCACATTAGTTTCAACATCGACCATAAATTGGTCTTCTTCCGCCCTAGGCTCGCTTACTATTTTATGGGGCACATCCCCAGCTTCTTGGACCATGTTTTGGTCCTTCTCCTCTTTGCTCTCAACCTTGGTGGGCTGAGCCAATTTGGTCATGGCCAGGGCCTTGGCGATCAGAGGCTTGGCTTTTGGTGGAGCCGCCCTTGCCTTTTGAACCTTGAGAGGTTTATCTCCTCTCCTCTTGGTCGGTTCACTAACTTCCACTTTAGAGTTATTTGCCTCAAAAGCCCCAGTCAAATGGGCCTCCAATTCCGAGATTGGCTCTTCCGGGGCCGTTACCACAACTCGGCCATTCACCCATTCTCGACGTATTTTCATCTCCTCGGCCGCGGCGGCCTCTAAAGAAGCGACGGCATCGGCCTTGGCCAATTCCAACTCCTCCAATTGAAGCTTCTCTCGAAGCTCGACCAATCGGTCAAGTTGAGCTTGCCTTTTATCCGCCCAATCTAACTCCGCCTTGCAAGTGGTGGCATATTGTCTTTGAGCCCTTCTCGTTTGAGTTTTGCTCAGAGGTACCGGTGGAAGTTTTGGGCCTCTACTTCTATACCATTGGCCCGCCTTTGTGTTTGGCACCTTGAAAGTTGGGACACCATTACCGTCCGCGGGGCGGGGTCTTGATACATATGCCACATCTCGGCTTTTGCCTTCTCCCACCGAAATCCACATGCTTCGATTTTGGCTTGAATCGGGCGAATCAATGTCTTCATATCTTAGAGGGGCATGTTGATTTCTCCTCTTCGGCTGATACCTCGGCCTCTCGTACCTATCTTGGTACTCATGCAATGGCCGTTTGTTCGGCCTCCCTTCCATTTCGCCCCTTGGGCTATGTGGGCCGTAATTCTCGACCGGACTTGTTATCATCTTCTTTTCAAAACTCCTAGATCTGCCCACTTGGACTTGATCCTTGGTTGGCTCTTTTGGCTTTGGCGAAACCACTTCGAGAGTCACCTCACATTGGCATCGACTACATAGCACAATGGCCTTTGGAGGTTCTTCCTTGGTCGAAACTTTGTCTCGGGAACTTTGGCCATCTCAGGGTACATTTTAGCCTTGCCCTTCGCCTTAGGATCCGCCGGAATTTCCCTTGCCCTTCTTTCTGCCGCAGCCCTTGCTGAGCCACCCAAGTCCAACCTAGGCCTAGGTTGGTCTGGCCTTGGGAAGTTAGCATTCACCATGTTGACTTGAGCATTTGGGAAAGGATTCTTGTCGACGCCCATTGTAGCTTTCTCCGGAAACTTCAAGATCTTCCGATCGATGAGATCCTGCACGGCATTCCGAAAAACCAAACAATTGTTAGTCGTATGAGACCACACATTGTGAAACTTGCAATAAGTTTTATTTCTAAGTTCGTTAGCCGACGGAATATCATGATCATTAGATAATTTATGATCTTTTCTTTCAAAAGTTGGTCGAAAATTTGTTCGGCTTTAGAAATATCAAATGTGTAGGACTTAGTCACGACCGCCTTTTGGGAGGTTCCACTAAACTTGGACATTTGGGCCGTGGTCGGCCTTTGATCCTTAGAGGCTTTAGACAAAGCCTTGCACACATATGGCCCTTTGGCCACAATCTCGGCCAAGTTTACCTCGGCCGACTCTTCTTCCTCTAAGTAAACTTCATCACCTCTTTCTTCTGAGTCTATATCTCCAATGTCTACTGCGTGGACCGCCGTAGTCCTAGACCCGGAAGGTTTGGTTGAATCCCTATAAAATGTCGGCCGGGGTCGGCCGCCCTTTTTGTTGCTCCTCCTTTAGAAGGGCTTCGTATCGATCCACCCGAAGTAAGAGATCATAAATGTCGCGGAACTCAATTCCTTCGAATTTCTTTCGGAGATCAAGCAACAATCCTCCTTGGGCCAATTTTGCAAACTCGTGCTCGGCATATTGACCGTACACCTAGCCCTTGCTTCTCTAAACCGCCCCAAATATTCTTGGACCGACTCACTTGGCTTCTGGCTTATCTTTGCCAAGTCGGCCATTGAGACTTCCGGCTCCGGTCGATAGAATTGCTCGTGGAAGACTTGCTCCATAACTTGCCAATTAGGGACGGAATTTTGTGGAAGCTTAACATACCATGGAAAAGCTGCCCCCGTAAGGGTACTCGGAAATAGCCTTAGTTTCAAGGCCTCGCGATGCCCAATCTCCGCGCATTGGGCCGTGAATCGGCCAATGTGTTCAACGGTCGATTGGAGCCCATCTCCCGAAAATAGTGCAAAATCCGGAACCTTGAAACCCCTTGGAAATTCCTCTTGATCAAAGTGCTCCGGATATGGTCGCCGATAAACCGGCCTACCAATCCTCCTAGCATGGGGCACCATATCTTGAATCATTTGTTCGACCGCACCTCGGTCGATTGCTTGATTCCCTAGCAATGGGTTGTTAGCATTCCCGCCGGGGTTATTCCAACCACCGACTCCGAATTGGTTGATATGAGGCCCAGCGAAATTGGCCCCAGCCGCTTGGTGAGCTTGTGGGCGGAATTGATTATATGGCGGGAACACTTGAAATTGGTTGACCGCCGCATATGGGTTGTTGCCCATCGGCGGAATATTAACCACTGGGGCTTGGTTGCCCCCTGCTGGTGGATTAAGTTGGGGCGGATTCACTCCAAAACCATTTGGTTGGGCCTCCACTTGTGGCCCAACCGCTGGTGCTCCAATTGGCGCCCCTTGGTTTCCATTTTGGCCATTTTGTTGGCCTAACCATCGATCAAATCTCTCGTTGATCTGAGCATTTTGAGTGGCCATCGTTTGGGCCATCGTCTCCATGACTCGCATGAGTTGTTGGAGTTCCAATGAAGTGGCCGGATTCGGCCTCAATACTGGTCCCCCGGCGACTTCCGTAATGTCTTCGACTACCACTTGATCATGGCCGACGGCCGTGTTTCGGCCGGGGCCATTTTGCTCTTGTTGAGTGGCCGGAACATTTTGTGGCTGAGTATTTGTAGGGAGTGAACCAGCCATGCTTGTCTCTGATTCCGACCGAAGTCTAGATTCTTCAAATTCTTGATCTCTTCTAGGATTCCTCCTAGTGTTTACGACCATACAAAACCTAGTGGTCCCACCGGGCGTGCCAAATTATGTTACCCTCTTTTCGGCCGGGGCGGCCGACGGAAGGAACTTTTGGTCCTTCTTCTTTTGGATGCGGGGCGTGCCACCACCAAGCCCCGAAATTGGGCTTGAATGGAATGAGAATAGATGGATTTGTTGCGCTTCTAACTTCTGACCAAACAATTGATCGGCCAAGCAAGGAACCTCTTCTTGGCCTAGATTCTTTCACTTTCTCGGGCTCGAGAATGGTTAGGTTTCGTACGGATGTTTTTGTGATTTTTATGGTTTAAGTAAAATAATGCAATTAAACTAAATATGCGTATAAACGTAAAGACAAGAATTGAAATGCGATAAAATAAATCAAAGCGACAGATAAAGCAAGAATAAAATAAAAGCGATAAGAACGATAAGAACGAAAAGGAAATAAACTTGAAGTTAAATTTAATCGAAGTGCGATAACAATTAAATGTAAAGGAATCAAAATAACCTTGAATTGAAATGACAAAAATATAAATCGAACAAGAATTTAAATGACAAGGAAAATATAAACTTACACTAGAAATAACGAACTCACACTAGGTGCTTGAAAAATAAAATCCTAAGTCTAGGAAAAGAAAAGTGCGAGACGAAAGATAGGTTTGTTTGTCTGATGTTGTGTGTCTGATGTCTTCATGGAGCAAGGTTTATATAGGGCACTCGTCAGCCCATGGGCTGGCCATTGAATGGCCAAATGTCAACTCTTCTTTAAAATCTTTCCTTTCGAAGCCCTCCTAAATCCGTGGGATTGCGTTGATATTCTGACATGCTTGATTCTTCCTTGTTTTGGAACACTCGGAGTTACTATAAAAACTCCCTTGATTTCTTTCCTTGTGAGGCCCTCCGTCACGTGCACATTATCCTCAGAAAATCTAGAATAGGATGGGAAGGGCTTCAATTTTGAAAGCTGGTCGTGCCCAACAGTTTTCCTTGGTTTACATATATTTGTATATGCATACAAATAATTATATATATATATATACCAATATATGCATATATGGGTGAATGAATCAAGACAGCTTGGTTGAAATGCCTGGCCCATGCGGATGGGCTCATAAAGTGAAGCCATCCATTGTGATATACGATATTAATATATATATATTAGGTCAATAAGTTGGCGGCCGCATTCATCCCTTTTATGCCCAGCCGCATATTCATCCGGCCGCACTAAATTGTGCCCAATTACATTCGGGCCTCAATTAGAACGAATCTCGGCCGCACTAAATTCCAAGCAGAACCCGGCCACAGTCTTTCAATCCTGCCCGGCTACGAACTCCTCCAATCCTGGCCGTGCCCAACAGAACAATCCATATGCACTAGCCCAGCCGCAATTCTTCTTCTCCGGTCACACCAAATCGTGCCCAGCTGCCTATTCATCACACCCCGGCCGCTATTTCCAACTCCATTCGAGCTGTCCGGCCGCATCTTGTATGCCCAGCTTTTTTGGGTCATGCCCAGCGAAAAAACCTTGGCCGCAACCTCAGTCTCCAGCCCCTTTTCGAACAAAACCCAGCTGCGATCTTAGAGAGCTGTTCAGCCCTACCATATTCTCCTCGTGCCCATCCAATATCCCGTGCCCGGATTAGGTGGGTTTCTACCACCCCCAAACAGTCACCATCATGCGTTTTTTCATCATGTTTCAGATATTGATGAATGCAAGGAAAACCAGACGTGTACTAATCTTAATATTCAATGGTTTTTGTGAATCATCTTCATTTTGCAATAATTTGAACAACCACATATGTGAGAATATTAGGGGGTTATACATGTTACTCAACCACAAGTAGTTATATATGTAACGCAAGTGGTCACAGTTCATTACTGCGTTGCTACTACAAACAGTCTGGGACCTCTCGAAGCAAAGCAATTCTTTTAGGTATACTCCTGTACTGATTAGTACTTAATTATAAAACCAGCATAATATTATTCATAAGTTTTTGGCTTGGACAAGAATATATTATTATTTAACTATTTTGCATTCACAAAGGAATGGTAATTAGCCAAACACTACTACAAATCGAAATAGACGACGGGAAACCACCGCCGTGTAGAAGGTTTTCCAACCGTCGTGAAATCGACCGACATCTATTTGGGTGTCAAACTACGACGGCTTTTCACCGTCGTTGTTTTTCCCTAAAGATGATTGTTTTTAAAGAAAATCGTCATTGTTTAGAGGTAAAGATCGTTAATTATAGGAGGAAAGACGACTGTTTTTAATAAAACCGTCGTGTATTGTATGTAAAGATGATGGTTTTTTTATGAAAACTGTCGTGGATTGTTTATAAAGACGACGGTTGTTTTATGAAAAAACCGTAATCTTTACATACAATAGACAACCCATTTAAAAAAAAAGGTCATCTTTCCTTCACAATAGACGATCCTTTTAAAAAAAACCGTCATCTTTACATATAATAGATGACCATTTTTAAAAAACGGTCATCTTTACATATAATAGACAACCATTTTTTATAAAATCGTCATCTTTACCTATAATAGACGACCCTTTTTTATAAAAACCGTTGATAATTATCTGTAAAGACCATGATTTATTATAAAAACTGTCGTCTAATAAGTTTCCAAACTACTACATTTTAGTTCTTTTTGATTTCCTATGATGCTATAGAATGATTTTAACTAGAAAACCAACCGTAATGCTTTATCAATGAATATATAAACTCAAAAATAGTTTCTTTCATAAAACTTGAAGATTCAATAGTTATTACATAGTTAACCAATATTTATTCTACAACAAACATAATTCATAACAAGACCTATGTACTCCTAATCCAAGCATTCCTCATCCAAAACATACAAATGATGCACAGCTGAAGTCTCCTCCATCATCCCTGTAAATAAATCAAAATGACAAAGAGAGAAAAAAAGCTGAGATTATAAACATAAAAAATTAGGTGGAAGAGAAATTTTACCATTGGTCCATATTTTACCATTGGAAGACAAAATCTGAAATTAGGGAGACAAAGAACATACCAGAAACGCAAAGAGACTAATCCAGAATTCACTAGCAAGATATAGAAGGGTATTGAGAGATTAGGTGACTTTCAAATCAAACCTTTCAACCAGCTTTGATTCTCAAATAGAGAACCTCCCTCTACATCTTATGGATCTGCAAAGACCTCAATCTCTCAACTCCTTCATTGATATCGATTTTTTGATGATTTTGTAGAGAGTTTCATGAGGCTGTTTTAGAGAGTGCAGGTTTCAAGGAGGGAGAGATCAGGTTTTCAGAGACGGGGGAAAATCTGAAAATTTGTTGAGCGCGAATTCACTTAAGTAGCCTTTTTTTAGCGTGTTTTAAAAGACGACGCTTGTTAATGAGAGATAAGGTTTTCAAAGACGGGTGAAAATTTGAAAATTTGTCGAGCGCAAATTCACTTAAGCGGCCATTTTTTAGCGTGTTTTAAAAGACGACGCTTTTTTTAAAAAAGATCGTCATCTTTACATATAATAGACGACCCTTTTTTTAAAAAACCGTCATCTTTACATAAAATAGACGACTTTTTTAAAAAAAAAAAAAAAATCATCATTTACTTCATAATAGACGACCCTTTTTTAAACAAACTATCATCTTTACATATAATAGACGACCTTTTTTATAAAAAAAAACAGTCATCTTTACTTCATAATAGACGACCTTTTTTTAAACAAACCATCATATTTACATTTAATAGACGACTCTTTTTTTTAAAAAAACAGTCATCTTTTCTTCATAATAGACGACCCTTTTTTTAAAACAACCGTCATCTTTACTGCATAATAGACGACCATTTTTTAAACAAACCATCATCTTTACATATAATAGACGACCCTTTTTTTTAAAAAACCGTCATCTTTACTTCATAATAGACGACCCTTTTTTAAACAAACCATCATCTTTACATATAATAGACGACTTTTTTTTTTCAAAAACCGTCATCTATACTTCATAATAGATGACCCTTTTTTTTAAAACAACCGTCATCTTTACTTCATAATAGACAACCCTTTTTTAAACAAACCATCATCTTTACATAATAGACGACCCTTTTAAAAAAAAACTGTCATCATTACTTCATAATAGACGACCCTTTTTTAAACAAACCATCATCTTTACATATAATAGACGACCCTTTTTAAAAAATAACTGTCATCTTTACTTCATAATAGACGACACTTTTTTAAACAAACCATCATCTTTACATAAAATAGATGACCCTTTTTTTTAAAAAAAACCTTCATATTTACTTCATAATAGACAACTCTTTTTAAAAAAAAACCGTCATCTTTACTTCATAATAGACGACCCTTTTTTAAACAAACCATCATCTTTACATATAATAGACGACCATTTTTTTAAAAAAAACCGTCATCTTTACTTCATAATAGAGGAAAACCATCGTCTTTACTTCATAATAGACGACCTTTTTTTTAAAACGACCGTCATCTTTACTTCATAATAGACGACCCTTTTAAAAAAAAAACCGTCATCTTTACATATAATAGACGATAGTTCTTTCAAAACAACCACGTTTTTACCAAAAAAATGACACTTGATTTTTAAAAGACGACGCTTGTCATACCTGCTGTCATTGTTTTTTGGTCAGATTTTAACTCTGAAGAAAACCTTTTTAATAAAACGACGCTTTTTGATTTGTGTGCGTCGTTATAAAAAAATATTCAACAGTACTTCCGTTTTTTAGTTGTTTAAGTCACTTATCCACAACGGTTTTCTGTTACCGTCGTCTTTTTCTGGTCGTCCTTTTCACTTTTTGTAGTAGTGAAATTAAACTACCTTCTCTTGTAAACATATGTGGTGCAGGTCTTGGCGCGGGTCTTGGACTGTTATTATTACTTATCAGTGCTTGGTAGGGTTACAAATTCCTGAAGAAAAGGAATAACATAAAACACAAACGAAATGATGGTTTATTGTTAGAACAGCAGTTATCATCAGGTGAAGTTAATGTTGAGAAAATCAAATTGTTCAAATCAAAGGAATTAGAGAAGTCCACTAACAATTTTAATATCGATAGAGTTCTTGGGCAAGGAAGCCAAGGAACTGTTTACAAAGGCATGTTGACTGATGGAAGAATTGTTGTCGTAAAAAAGTCTAAAATTGTGGATGAAAGTCAACTTTCAGATTTCATCAATGAGGTTGTGATTCTTTCAAAAATCAACCGCAAGAATGTAGTTCAACTATTGGGTTGCTATTTAGAGACCGAAGTTCTCGTTCTAGTTTATGAATTTATACCGAATGGAACACTTTCTCAGTATATCCATGAGCAAAATGTGGAACTTCCACTTCATGGGAAATTCGCTTACCAAATGTCATGGAAATTGCTGGAGCCCTGTTTCCTTCATTTCGACCAGGGCGGCTGACGGAAGGAACTTTTGGTCCTTCTTCTTTTTGGAGTACGGAGTGTGCCACCACCAAGTCTCGAATTTGGGCTTGAATGGAATGTGAGTAGATGGATGTGTTGCGTCCGAGATCTGACTTTAATCAAACGATTGTTCGATAAGAACGATAAAGTAAAATGAACTTGAAATTAAACTTAATTGAAGTGCGATAACAATGAAAAGTAAAGCAATTGAAATAAACTTGAATTTAAATGACAAGAAAATATAAATTGAACGAGAATTTAAACTTACACTAAGAAAAGGAAGAACTCGCTACACTAGGTGCATGAAAAGTAAAATCCTAAGTCTAGGAAAAGAAAAGTGCAAGACGAAAAATAGGTTTGTTTGTCTGATGTTGTGTGTCTTCTGTCTTCGTTTGGTGAGGTTTATATAGGGTATTCATCAGCCCATGGGCTGACCATTGAATGACCAAATATCAACCCTGTTAAAAATCTTTCCTTTTGAGGCCCCCTGAATCCTGGGATTAATTGGTTGAAATATTCTGATTGCTTGATTCTCTCTTGTTTTGGAATATTATGAACTATCATCAATATCCTTGATTTGTTTTCTTGTGAGGCCTCCATCACATGCACACTGACCTCTAGAAATCTTGGGCTTGAATCCGTGGCTTGGGCCTTGACCTCCGAGATTTCATCTTGACATCTAGTGGAACCTTGTGCCCCTTGAGTTGGCTTACCATCCATCGACCATCCGCCGAGATGGGTGGTATGGGAACTCCAAATATTTGGATGTTGGGCTTGGCCCTACATTGGACTATATTTGAGTTCTCAAATATTTGAATATTGGGAACTCGGCGGACATACCTCCCGCCGAACTTCAACTCCCTTGGCACGACTTTGCTTGCCCAAGTGTTGAGAGGAGGGCGCCAAGGTGAGCAAGGAGAAAATTCGCCCTGGCCCAGCTTTTTGTAAGAGGAGTGGCCAACCGAGGTATTTAAGGAGTGCCCAGCCCAAAATTTTGAGAAGGAAGCATTTGGCCACTTTTGTAAGGATATGCCCAGCTACTTTTTGCAAGGATATGCCCAACCACTTTTGCAAAGGGAAGTGCCCGACCATATTTTTGTGAAGGCACCATGGCCTTTGAAGAAAACACCTCGGCCGCATTTTTGAGAAGGCACCATGGCCTTTGAAGAAAACACCTTGGCCACCTTTTTGAGAAAGTACTTCGGCCGCTATGAATTCTCGTATGCTAGAAATCTCGGCTGCTAGGAATTCTCGCCCGCTAGGAATCTCGCCCTCTAGGAATCTCGGCCACTATTCTTCACCCGCTAAGAATTCTTTCTTTGCAAATTGGGTGAATTTTGACCACCCCCAAACATTGGCCCCTCGATTTGCTTAGCTCGGAATAGGTGTAGAGGTAAGCAAATCGAAACATGAGGTCTCTCAATTTCTAAAGTTTGAGACTTTTTGCTCGCCTTGCACATTATTAAATTTTGAATCGAGCTAGGTGCCTAGGCCATTGCTTGGCCCCATTTTGTAGTGAACGTTGCCCACGTGTATATATGATAACTTTTGGAAGAGATCTTTTTATGATGCCCATTCTTCCAATAAAAATCATTATCTTACTACGACGATATTTCCTTATGGCGGGCTATCTCTCCGCCATTTCCCAAACCGTTGGGTAATATTTTTCCAAAAATCGACCGTTGATTGGAGAGAAATGGACCTAACCATTTTGGTTCAAATCAGTCTTGGCAATTATATGCACCACGTAGGGCAAAATGTAATACCTCAACTTGGTTTCGGTAAAGTACAAGGCTAAGCGAAGTTTCTCAACTAGCGAGTATTTTCACTCGGTGGCCGTTAGAATTCGGCTGAGGTAAAATACTTCTTGCTCTTTCTTGTCATCTTTGTCTTGGGCTAACAAACTTCCAATGAAGTTCTCCGCGGCCGAAATATACAATTTCAAGGGTCGGCCCCCCTTTGGAAGAATGTGCACTGAAAGCTTGGCCAAATATTCCTTAATGGCCTCGAATGGTTTTTGGTGTGTTTCCTCGCACCGAAATTCCTATTCATCATTGAGTTTTAGCAAAAATGAGAATGACTCAACTTTTCCCGCAGAGTTGGCAATGAACCTTCAAAGAAAGTTAATTTAGCCCAACAAACTTTGCACACCTTGGTTTTTGAATGGGGTGCATTAATGATAGCCTTAGCCTCATTTTTCTCAATTTGAATTCCCCTTTGGTGCACCAAGAATCCTATGAAATTCCCGATGGAAACTCCGAAGTCATGACTTACAAATTTGGCCTAATAAATTTGGCTTTCACAAGTCTTACAATTTCTTACTAGACTTGTAATTCTACTTGCCGACATCCGATGGGGCAGCTGCTTGAAGGGCTTAAAATCTTCCATCATTGGTAAGCGATGCTCGACCAAGTCATGACTCAATCCGAGCATCTCAGTGTGTTCCCAAGCGAAGCAATCCTTGAACCCTCTTAAAAGCTCTTCCATCTTGGCCCAAAGTTCTGGCTCCATTAGACCTAATGTAGATTGATTGATGGTTGTCTTCTGTCCCCAAGTTGATTTCCACCAAAGGGTCTTGAACTTTCGCCTTCGAATCCTCCATCTTGCTTGGCGCCAACTCTACTTCCTCGGGCTCGAGTGCATCATCTTCTGGACCTTCGTGAAGAAATTCCACTAAGTTGGCGGTGGATCTATGCTCGGCCGCTCTTTCGGCCCCAAATCGTACAGCCGTCTCAAAGATTCTTCCACCGTGGCCTTCTTCTCTTCCTTTATGTTTGTATCACCCAAACTATTTGGGACTCACCCATTTCCTTGGGCATCATATGGGCCCCACACACAAAAAAAAGGAAGTCATTCTAACCTTTTGCCCCACGAAACCACTGACCGTTGTCTCGGTCGGAATTAATTCATTTAAGCGTTTTATAAGGACTTCGCTCACCGGAACTCCATCAAATTGAGCTCCCACATACAAGGACTTAAGGTGGGAGGACATTTTCTTGGTGGGCATCTCATAGCACACCTTATGGGGCAACTTTTCCTCCATTTTGGGCACCACAATACAAGATTGGGCATTCCCTTCCTTTGGAATTTCTTGGGCCACCTCAATTTCTTTGGCCCCTTCCATTTGGACCATGGAGTCAACCTCATCGAACACATCTCTGTCCATATAATTAGGTTGATCTGGCCAACCTTCGGAAAATAGTGGGAGCGTAATAACCACGGCATTTACCTCGTCAAATTTTCCAAACTTCACTTTGACATTGCCCACACCTTCAATTTGTTCTCACATTTGGCCATCTCTCCATTGCGTTCTTTCTCAAGTTTTTTCATAGCCTCTTCTAGAAGTTCCTTTATGTACTCATTATCAACATACTTCTCATCATCTCCGTAGAGCTTTTCGTCTCCGGCCACCCTTGGTTCACTTAATACCATATGGGGCTCATGCCCGACTTATTGGACCATGTTTTGGTCATTTTCCTCTTTCTTCTTAACCTTGGTGGGCCGAGCTACTTTGGCCACGGCTGGGGCCTTAACAACCGGAGGCTTGGCTTTCGTCGAAGCCACCCTTGCCTTTCCAACCTTCAAAGGTTTATCTCCCATCATCTTGATTTGGTCTTCCGGGGCTGTTATCACGACTCAGCCATTCACCCATTCTCGACGTATTTTCATCTCCTCGACCGCGGCTGCCTCCAAAGAAGCAATGGCATCGGCCTTGGCCAACTCCAACTCCTCCAATTGAAGCTTCTCTCGAAGTTCGACCAACCGGTCATGTTGAGCTTGCCTATTGTCCGCCCATTCTAACTCCGCCTTGCAAGTGGTGGCATATTGCCTTTGAGCCTGTCTCGTTTGAGTCTTGCTCAGGGGTACTAGTGGGAGTTTTGGGCCTCTGCTTCTATACTAGTGGCCCGCCTTTGTGTTTGGCACCTTGAAAGTTGGGACACCACTACCGTTCGCGGGGCGGGGTCTTGACACATAGGCCACATCTCGGCTTTTGCCTTCTCCCACCGAAATCCACATGCTTCGATTTTGGCTTGAGTATGGCGAATCAATGTCTTCAATAACATAATAACTTTACTTGTCCTGTAGCTGGTCGAAAGACTAGCATGACGTACGAGTCAAGTAGTGATGAAGACGATGATGGAATAGCAAAAGCTCCAACAAAATGGCCCAAGAAAGATCCCGTCATTGAGGTACTCTCACCTAAAGAATTATGCTACCATTTTTATAATATTCTTGCACAAGCTAACCGTCATTTTTATACAATGCAGGTAGACTTCTTTTCTTAATCAAATCTCCTTCCATATCCCTTATGGATGTTCGCCCCTTGATTTTTCTGCAGGAAATTAATGTTGGGATTTCGAAAACTGTGGCTTTATCAAAGACTCCAGTCGAAGTTGAATTTGCTCTACCTATTCAAGACACTACTGCAATTATAACACATGAAACGAGTGTTCTGCAGCCTCGAAAGGTACTTAATTTAATATATATATATATATATATATATATTAAGTGAATGCTCGACTACCACTATGTTGCTTATGTTATGCATCTTTGGCAGAAAGCACTCCCCTCAGAGGCTATATTGGAGTCACTTCAAGGCCTGAGAGATTACTTGGCTGCAGCAAAGGCTGCCACCACTTCTTCATACAATTCCTCCTAAAATATTGCAGCCAAAGCCACCGTCCAAACCATCCTCGACAAAGACCATGCGGATTTAGCTAATGAAGCTCAACATACTCGTCTTTGGTCATCCATTCAAAGTCTCCTTGATGCCCATTTTTTCCCAACTGAGTAGGAACCCACAATCAAAGGTTTCATGAAGCAATTGGGCGAAGGCATCCAGACTTACAATCAAGCCGTGATGGAGTACAATGCTGGCCAAGCCTTGACTGAAAAGATTCAATCAACTAACCATATTTTGCAAGCCCAACTTCATATCTGCCACGAGGGAAAAGAAGAATTGGACAAACTTGAGGAGGAGCAGAAAAAGATTGAGGCCAGAAAATCAACCATCCTTGCCAAGATTGACAATGCGGTCCAAGACTCTTGGCCACATCAGGTCGAACTAGAAAAGTTTATGCAGCAACAGGCCGATTTCCAAGAGAAAGAAGACGACTACAAGACCTTGATGAGTGCAAGGGCCAAATTTTTGGTTAACTTGAAAACCACCATCCAAAAGCATCTTTAAAACCTGTAATGGTCCTTTTATGATCGTTTTGTACTTTTATAGCTAGGCTACATTTGAACCTCAAACTATTTCTCTTTTATTTAGTTGATGAACCTTTGATTTCCATCAATAAAATTCAGCCTTTACCTTTGGCTTTGGATATGACTAAATTTCTTGTTTTTGAAGAAAATAGTATCAGCTTTCATCCAATATTTTGATTCTAAGCTTAGGTCGTAATCGCAACTTAACACCTTCGCATGTATTTTCTTCACAAAAATGATATGCGGCTAAAACAATAGACTTTAGTTCGGCCGTTCTTGTATTGAGAAGAAACATTTGACTGCCGACACTATTCGGCCACTTTTGTCTGTGAACTTTCGTAGTGCCCAAATCACTAACAAGTTCTTTATTTTCCTTCATATATATATATATATATAAATATTATGGCCATAAGATTAACATGACCTTTATTGGGAACGTTGTCGGCCTACTTATTTGGGTAGCGGCCGTTGAAAATAATATTTTTATGGAGACCAAGGGGGTGGCCATCCATGTTTAATTCCAAGCTGTGAGCCCTTCTTATTTTCTGCATGGATTTCGCGGTTGTGCAAGCTATAAATTGGTGTACAAGTCACCTTGGTACAACCATAACTATTTTTTCCTTATGCTGGCCGAATTTTCTTGCCCCCCCAAGTCCACTTGATTGGCCGGACTTGGCCTTTTGTTGGGGTTTGATAAACTTGACCATTTCTAATTGTGGTCTAATCACATCTGACTGGTCCCCTACAACCATGTCTATTATCACTGCTTCAGGTTGGGTTGTGTTAAGACATTTCTCTTTTTGATCTTGTGGGTCCTTAATCTCAAGAATGGATGTATCAAGTTGGGTCATATTTTGGTGTTCAACCTTGACCGTTTGTTGGATCGCATTCTCTTGGGTGAATTTTTCTTCCTCAACCAACGTGAGAGTTTCAATAGTAAAGTCGATTTGAGTTTTCAACTCTAAGGCTGACTCGTCCACTTCTCTCTTATCCACATATTCCCGACTAACTTCCTTTTCCTCTAGGAAAGTTGGTGAAACAGGTGGCCGGACTGCAAACATACCAAGACTTTCTTCTTCTTCAACCAATGTGAGGTTTTCAAAAGGTAAATGGGTCAGAGTACTGAATTCCAAGGCCAATTCATCTACATATTGTCGGCCAACCTCATTTTCCTCCACATAGGTAGGTAGAATGAGTGACCGTATTGTAGTCACTTGATGGTTTTCCTGTTGTGGGTGAGATTTAAGATTATGACTAAGAGTTTGCTCTTCTACCACAAGTCGCGAGGCGATTTCACGCAAACCGTGGATCAAAAATTTGTTGGAAGCATGAAACCCATCCATCATATCTTTCACTTCAGATATTTCCTTCATGAAATTTTGATGTTCTTTGTCCATGCTATCAACATATGGCCTCTCACTTACGCTAAGAATATTTTGGCCATTATAGCCATTAGCATGATTCGTTTGGTGGGAGCCATAACTAGACTGATCATAGATATTGGCCGGATTATTATAGCCATGTTCGCCATTCACATAATTTTGATATATCATATTATTTTGGCCATGATTCTTGTTTCCGCCATGTTGGCCATTGAATTGGATACCATAGCCATGTTGATATGTAGAATCGTACTGGCCGCTATAGCCACCGTCATTGGTTTGGCCACCAAAGCTATTTTGATCATTCGAACCATTTTGGTTCAAGGATCATATCCGCCAATATAGTTTGCCCACCATATTGGCCACCAAATTGACTACTTGAGCCATATTGGTTGTTAGGCCCACCTCGATGGGTAAAATTATACTGGCCATAGTGTTGGCCGATAGATTGGCTATTCAAGCCATAAGAATTATAGCCGTTGTAGTTCATCGGTTGATAGGAATGTTGACATTCCTTTCGGTCGCTCATAGAGTGTGTCCCACTGGGCATACCAAATTATGTTTCCCTCTTTTCGGCCAGGTAGGCTGATTGAAGGAGTTTTTGGTCCTTCTTCTTTTTAGTGTGGGGTGTGCCACGACCAAGCCACGAATTTGGGCTTGAATGGAATGTGAGTAGATGGATTTGTTGCATTCGAGATTTGACTTTAATCAAATGATTGTTTGGCCGAGCAAGGAACCTCCTCACAGCCTAGGTTCTTTCACCACCTCGGGGTCAAGGCTTTATGTGAGCAACCAAATGATGTGGAGTGGGTGGAGATGAAGATCGAAGGTGAAATTTAGTGAAACGAAGAACACATGCACAAAGTAAAAGGTGCTTAAATTTAAATATAATTGAAAGACAAGTGCGGAAAGTAAAGTGCGTAAAATAAATAATTTCAAGACGAGTGCGTAAATGTTTGGGCCAAAAAACACGCGCAGGCCCACTTCTCAAAAGGCCCGTAGAGAAAGAGAGATAAAAGACCTGGGCTTCAAAAATTAAACAGGAAAAGAACCCAGCCCACGTCTTTTTTCAGAAGGGCCCAAAAAGCAATTTTAAAGCAAATACTTTTTAAAGAGCCCACGTGAAGTTCTCTTCTCTCAGACCTTGAAAAGTCAAATAAAATCAACTATCACAAAGTTGATAAAAGAAGGTCAGTGACTGGCAAGCTAGGAAGGGATGTCTCTGAAAAGCTAAAGAGATCAAATCCCTCTTATATATATATGTATCTCTTCTATTTTCAGAAAAGGGGATCCTCCCAAGGAGAGATAAGCAAACTTCAAATCTCAGAAAGAGATAAGCAAGAAACAGGGAACTGTCCAAAAGAAATCTAACTAACCATCACGGTTTTTTAGTTCTCACAAAAGGGCAGTTGGAATAAAAAAGGGATTAGGTTCTCTTTCAAGAAAAACAGGGAAGTGATTGCTTCTGAACTGACTATTGAGACCTCATTTGCCAGAACTGATAAAACCTTTTTATTTATGAAAGATCTCTTTGCAAAATTACCGCCCATTATTTTAAAGAAGAAAGAAACCCTACTCCAAAGCATTTCTTATAAATATAAGAGGGAGTGAACAGGGTACAAGGACAATCAATCTTACACTCAAATGATCAATCAAACAAACAACTCAAAACCAACCAAAAGCTCACTTGAATTCCAAGAAAAGCTAGCTTTAGATCAGAATTCCCAAGGTCAAGACTTAGAAAATAAGTAATTTAAAACGAGATTTCTCTCGTTACAAATTTGGTTCAGCAAAAAACTAAGACAGGTAGAGCTTGAGTTTTTCTCAAACATGAAAACCTCAACAAATTTCACAGTATAGTCTTTAGCCCACTGAAGTCCCCAAGAACAGCCACTTCTGCCCTTTCAGACTGAAGAAACCGCAGTTCTGCCCATTCAAAAGCCTCACAAAGGCTTGAAGAAGATTAAAGCTCTGCCAGAATTGACCTTTGGTATCGATTTACAGCTGAAACTTAGGATTGGCATGGCCATATCAAGTGAATCCTCTTATCGCATAGATAGCTGGGATACCAGAACATGGGGAAATTCAGGCTGGACAAAGGGGAGGAGCCCTTCCTGTCCAAGAACTTCAGGCCCTAATCTGGCCACAAGGCCCTATACTAGGACAGATTCAGCAGAATCGGCCAGAGCCTCAGCCTATTCCCCAACCCGTGGCCCCACAGGATCAGCCTTTGGCACTTCTGCCTGAACCACCAATAGTGTTGCCCTACAGACCCAGAAGGATGGATCCCAATCCATTCCCTTCACCTGTAAGAGGAAGGAGAGGCAGAGGGGGAAACTACCCTTTTGCTAACAATGACAGGAACAGGCCGGGGGCAAATTGGAGGAATCACCCAGATCTGGAAGAACAGGAAGAAAACAGGGAAGAAGTTCTGCCCATGGCATATAAGGCGGAACCCAGGATTGACTACGCCCAACCAGAACAGGGGCAAATCTCCTCCCTATCAATGCTTTAAATGATGTAGGGGCATTGCAAAGGATGATCAGAGAAATGATGGAGCCTGAAGCCAGAAGAGGAGAAAGGCCCACCTATAGAAAGCCATATCCAGCTTACATTGATCAGATACCCTTATCCCCAGGTTTCAAAATACCAAACTTCACTTTGTTCAACGGAGAGGATCCCCATGCTTCATCAGTTGAGCACATAGGCAGATTTTTCGTCCAGTGCATAGCCATAGAGAATAACCCTCTGTTAAAGCTAAGGCTTTTCGGGTATTCTCTCTCTGGACAAGCTTTCACTTGGTACACCAATCTGCCAGCCAATTCTGTTCAAACTTGGGAGCAGATGGAAAGTGTTTTTCATGACTATTATTACATAATTCAGCCAGAAGTCACCAGAAGTGTTTTTCAGTGACCTTGCTGCCCTCAAGCAGAGTGAAGATGAACCTGCTCAAGACTTTATAACCAAGTTCAGAAAGCTCAAAATGAAATGTCGGATCCCTATGGAAGAAAGACACTTCATCTAGATGGCTCAGGCTGCCCTCAAAATCTCTCTGAGAAAAAGATTTGATGGGATGCTGTTTGGAGATTTGGCAGAACTGGCAGATAAAGCATCCAAGTACGAGGAGTTGCTCAAGGAAGAACAGTAGAAGAGGAATTCTTCCAAAGGCACATATTACAAATCTCCTTCTTTTTCAGTACATCTGATTGAGGTAGATAAGAAGAAGATACAGAAGGCTCGAAGGAGAGAGAGATTGCAGTGGCAGAAATGGCAAAATTAAAACACCCCATCAGTTGTACGGCTCTCACAAAGCCTCCAAGAGATCAGAAGCCGCCACCATTCACAGGAGGGTTTGTTCCAAACAAACCAACATAGAACAAGGTTTATTCCTTTGATCTGACCAAGGTGGATGCTTTATTTGATGAAATGTTGCTACAGAAAGCAATAGAGCCAGGTAGAAGGACTATCCCAGGCCTGTCCGACGCAGCAGGGGAATGACTAAGCAACCCAGGAGGAAATATCAATAAAATGCCCGGAATGAGAAACCTCTGGCAGCTATCATAAATGGTAGGTGGTATTATGTCGGGAAGAGTGGTAGACCAACTATGGAGCTAACCAGAACTTAGAAAAGGAGGGTTCAGAGACAGTACTTTACATTCCTCAATAACAAGAGTAATGCGCAGATGCTCCCAGATGCCAATTCTGCAAAAAAAGGGAAAAAGCCAGAAGTGCTGCCCCAGGCAGAACATGTAACCTCCCAGCCTCAAAAACTAATGAAAGCAGAATCTTCAGGGAAACCTTCTATCCATCCTGCCTCCACCTCAGGAAATCAACTTGAAACTCCATAACCACAGGGAAAATCCAATCTGATTCCAGTAGAAGGACAAGAAGACTAGACTGAGTAATATGAAGAGGAGCAGTTAGATTATGAGCCATATGCAGATGACCAAAATGCACTCCTCGGAGCAGGAGAACAGGGAGACTGGACAGAGGAATACGGGGAGGAACAGATGGAGTATGACGGAGAATTGAATGCAGAAACTGAGGCTTTTGGTGCAGAATTGGAGGACTTGTTACAAGGTGACCTAGGCATTAATATGGTATTCATTCTGCCAAAAAAGTTCAGGGCTGCAGAAGGACAAGAAAGCAATCTAGAAGGAGATGTGCTCTCTTAGGAGAGTTTTGAATGCAAATTGGCAGAAGCAGAGGAGGCACCAGAACAGCAAACAGGTAGTCACAGGACAGGAGGAACTAACAACAAACTGGCTGCAAAACAGCTTTGCTTCTCCAAACCAACCAAAGAGATGGCCAATCACCTCAGACCCTTGTAATTTTGGGGGTGTCCCCATTCCCAAGGTCATGGTAGATGGGGGAGCAGCCATTAATCTTCTGCCTCATAGAATGCTGAGCAAGATGGGCAGAACAGAGAGGGATTTGATTTCAACACGCTTAATTGTCACCAACTTCGCATGGGGCATCACCAAAACTCCTGGGATCTTAGATGTGGACGTCATAGTTGGGAGCAAGAAGCTGAAGATTGCATTCTTTGTGGTAGACACCACTTCTGCCACTTACAATGCACTGCTTGGCAAAGACTGGATTCATCAGAGTCTATGTGTCCCTTCCACTCTTCATCAACAATTAGCTCTGTGGAATGAAGAAGGTTACATGGAGATAGTAGAGGCCAATCCACGACCATTTCTGCCTTCTGCCATGTGTTTTGAGGCAAGGTACTATCATGATGACCTTGGTCCTTTCACCTTCCTTCGAGTCAACCAGAACGGCCGCCCCCACGGTGTCACGGCCTAGAGGCTCATTGAAGATGGTCTAACCAGTTCCCTAGAGGACTGGAATAGACCTTTTGTTCTAAACTTCCAAAACTTTGATGTTTAGTCCCAATCAACAGGAGAAGGATCGAGCTGCAACAATCCGATCCATTACAAAAAGATTGTTGATATACTGGGAGGAAAGAAAGCTCTTCATACAAAATCCAGCCATCAATATGGTGGAATTCACTCATGAAAGTACGGAAGACCAGGAGGAAGAAGATTTACAGGAGGAAGTGTTCGATTTTCTGCCAGTAGCACTAGATGACTCTCTGCCAGAAGTGGAAGATCCTTTACAGGAAATAAACCTAGGGACAAAAGAGGATCCAAGACCTACTTTTATTAGCGCAGTATTGAAAGAACCACTTAAGAGTCAGCTCATTGCACTTTTGCAGGATTTCATAGATTGTTTTGCTTGGCATTATCAGGAAATGCCAGGATTAGACAGCGAATTGGTGGAGCATAAGCTGCCAATCAAAGAGGGATACCTTCCAGTTAAACAGGCCAGAAAAGAATGTCTATGGACACTGAACTGAAGGTCAAAGAAGAAATAGAAAGGTTGCTCAAGGCAGGATTCATCAGACCAGCCATCTATGCTGATTGGCTAGCTAATATTGTACCAGTTTTGAAAAGAAAAATTGGGGCAGTCAGAATCTGTGTGGATTACAGAAATCTGAATGAAGCTTCTCCCAAGGATGAGTACTCTATGTCAATGGCAGACATGCTAGTAGATGGAGCTGCTCATAACTAGATGCTGTCTTTCATGGATGGCAATGCAGGTTATAATCAGATCATGGTGGCAGAAGAAGACATCCACAAGACAGCCTTCATGTGTCCAGGAAATATAGGTGCTTTTGAGTACACTGTAATGCCTTTTAGCTTAAGAAATGCAAGAGATACTTATGAAAGGGCAATGAATTTTGTCTTCCATGATATGATAGGGCATTCTTTGGAAGTGTATATCGATGATGTGGTGATTAAATCCCCAGAGGAGGGAAACCACATATCAAATCTAAGGAAGGCATTCCTAAGAATGAGGCAACATAAACTAAAGATGAACCCAAAGAAGTGTGTTTTTGGAGTTCAAGCAGGAAATTTCCTAGGATTCTTGGTCCACCAGAGAGGGATAGAAATTAATAAAACAAAGCAAAGTCCATCATAGAAGCTCTACCGCCTAGGAACAAGAAAGAACTGCAGAGTCTCCTAGGAAAATTAATTTTCTAAGGACATTCATATCCAATTCTGCAGGAAAGATCTAGCCTTTCTCGTCTTTGTTGAGATTGAAACAGGAACAGAACTTCAAGTGGGAAGAACAGCACCAACAAGCTTTTGAGGAAATCAAACATTACCTCTCAAATCCACCAGTTCTAGCCCCACCAAAGAGAGGCAGACCACTCGAGCTCTATGTATCTGCATCAGAGGTATCCATTAGAAGTCTGTTAGTTCAAGATAACAAAGAAGGGAAAGAGCAAGCAGTCTACTATCTGAGCAGAACTCTGACAGAAGTAGAAAGAAAATATTCTCCAATTGAAAGACTTCGCCTAGCCTTGTACTTCACAGCTGTGAAGCTCAGACATTACATGCTGCCATACACCATCTTCGCCTAGCCTTTAGATATGTTCCTCAGAAAGCTGTCAAAGGACAAGCTGTGGTAGACTTCCTAGCAGATCATCTTGGGAGGAGATTGAAAACATGGACTCTTTGGACATAGCAAATGCAGATCTATTGACCAGAGCTCACACTTGCCTCAACAATCCTATCTATTCAGTTCATCTCACACCATGGAAGCTGTATTTTGATGGATCAAAAACTGATATAACTTCTGGGGCAGGAATTGTTTTGGAAGAACCACTTGGAATCAGACACTGTTACTCTTTCTAGTTAGATTTCCAGTGCACCAACAATAGGGTAGAGTATGAGGCTCTAATCATAGGCTTAGAGATGCTGGTGGAACTAGGATTTGTTGGCTGTGCAAATCTCACGGTCTGGTGCTCCGGCCCGTGGGGATGAGGGTTAACACGTGACGTCCTTCTTTTGGATGCGGTGAGGTTGTGCGCGGGCGTGCCAGCACGGTCTACCGTGCATCGAGATGGTGATGAGGTTTGGGTCGAGGATGGTTTAAATGATGCGCCTGTTTCGAGTTCGACTCCTGATCAAACGATTGTGGGCGAGAGAGGAACTGATCTCGGCTGTCAGGTTCACGGCCTGAGCTACAAGGCCGTTTAATGGTGGTGTTGGTGGCGGGTTTTAGGCCGTGCTCCGACGCATTGCTCAGAGAGCGACGGTCGTATGATATATGGGGTGAATGAGATGACAACAGAGATGGTGCTCCGGCGCCTTGAAAATCAAGGGTCGTATGATATATTGATGAATGGATTTTCCTTACAATCTACCACTACTCCTAGGAAAGCAAATAAAGGTATTGAAAGTGCATTACAGCAAATATAATTTGCTCCGTGGGAGGCTTTTGGTTTGGTGTTTGAACCCCTTGAATGTAGTCTTGAGCTTAGTATTTATAGGGGGAGTCCTGGAGGGACAATCGAGGCCGAAAAGATTTGCATGGTGGAGTCTGATCGGGGCAAGTGGGTAGTCAAATCGGCATTTGGGATCGTGAAGCATGGTGGTGTGACCCCCATAGATCCTGGTAAATCTCGGCCACTGCCCTGATCGTGGGTTCTACCCCCTTGGCCGTGGGAAACGCATTTAATGCCCTGGTCTGGTGGTTGGTGATCTGACCTCAAGTTGTAAGATTACTTGTGAGAATATTGGCGCCTAACCACTCTGATTTCCATTACCAAATCCTGACTTCAGTCACTTCCCCTCTCCCCTCGTGCATTAAATGCTTCTTGCGACTAGTGGGCTTGCTGCGATAGTCAGAGGCATTACTTCATTAAATGGGGCGTGGGACCCTGAGGCCACGTGGCGATTTAACCACAGTATCCTCGGCCGTGGCCTTTACGGCCTTCGGCTTCGACTTATAATAACGCAGTCGTGAGGCCGAGAGTTTCTGCCTTTGCAGCTTTTCTTTTGTTTTTAGGAGGGCAAAATGCTTAACGAAACGTGGCCATTTCGGTTCATGTGTAGGTGCTCGGGCCGAGATGAGGTCCCTTCGGTCAGTTTAGGACCGTGATTTATTAGGCACAAACATTGCCCCCACATCCCTGGATTCTTTGGTCACGGCCTGGGCAGAGGTCGAATGGATTCTAAGGGATGAACCCTTGCATTCCTCCTGAAGTGATTGACAGCTGGCGCCTTAAATGCCTACGCATTTATTGCGCAAGCACGTCTCGTACGCCATCATTGCCCAGACTTGCGCGAGTCGTCGTTTCGTCTTGTTAAATGAAACGACGGCTCCTGGGCTTTCGACACGTCATCGCGCACGCGAGCACACTGTCAGACCGTTACGTCTCTATAGAGAGTCATGCCCTTTCGTCTCTCGAGAGACGCATGCCCTTTCGTTTCGAATCCTAGCGCTAATATAAAAGCCTTGCCTTCTTCATTTTTCTTTATACTTTCAGAATCCTCAAACGCCCGAAATTTGCCAAACCATTTCCTCAATCCATCAACCCTTCTAAAACCCCAAGTCTCAGCACTCCATTCCGTTGAACTCTTCACCCCTTTTTCTGAGCGCTGGGTTCCCTCCATTTCAACCTGCTCTACCCCCCCCCCCCCCTTCTCCAAACCGGGGTTGATCCATATTCGCCGATCCTCGCGCTGTAGCCTGATCCAGATGGTTTCTCCTCTCCTGCTGTCCACCAACTATCCTTCGTCTTGGAAAGTCGACGTGGGCCAAGGCCCTGGTGTGGCCGAGATTCCTTCCTGGCCCTGGGGGAGGATGACCTCCCTCCCTTTGAGGCCATGGAAAGACTGTAATGCGATTGATGAAGATGGGAGGGCTTGGTACGATGATTCCAACTTGGCCACATTTGTTTGGCTTGGCACCTCGGTCGCACCCATGGCCGGAGTGACGGCCCTGGCTTCACCTAGCCACAGTTGTGCCCAGAATGACGGCCCTGGCCATGGCCGGAGTGACGGCCTTGATTGCACCCCGATTTCACCCATGTCCAGAGTGACGCCCTCGGCCATGGTCGCGGTCAGTGAAGATGTGGGCGGTGGAGGCATCGCCTAAGGAAGAATCATCTGCCTGCTCTAGCGAGGGGATCAAGAAGCGGCCGCTCATAGATTTTAGAATGTACTATATTTTTCGTACATGTATGCTTATATGTTTCATTCGGCCATGATCGGCCGTTCTTTTGTAACCGCGACCCCTTTCTTTTTAATCTAAACGAAGTATAACCCCCTTTTTCTCTTTTGACCGAATGTATGTTTTTCTTTCATTTTTGTCGACTGTAAACCTCATAATCCATTCTTGGCCGTCTCCCATAATGACAGGGTATATTTCTTCAAATACAGGCCGTTTATTGGCAAGTTGTGCCATTCTCCATCCCTATCTCTCAACTGAAACGCACCTCGGCCAAGAATTCATTCGATAATAAATAGCCCTTCCCAATTGGGTGAGAATTTGCTGAACCTAGGGTCCTTAGTCCCGATAGGGAGCACGGCACGCCATACCAAATCGCCTTCGGCGAAAGTCTTTTGCTTCACCTTCATGTTGTAGGCCCTCGCCGCGATCTGCTTTTGTGCCTGCATTAGGTTATAAGCATCGAGTCTGGATTGCTCTGAGTCTTCTAATTCCTGAGCCATGGCCTGCGCATAATCCTTCTCTTCCTACCCAGGTCGTTCGGTCACACGGAGAGACCGAACCCTTAACTCCATCGGAACGATGGCGTCATGGCGGTAGGTTAAGGTATAAGGGGATGTGCCAGTAGCCGATCGTTTTGAGACTCGGTAAGCCCAAAGGGCTTCAGGGAGTAAGTCATGCCACGCCCTAGGTTTTTCCTTAATCATTTTCTCTAGGGTACCCTTGATTACCTTGTTGCTCGCCTCGGCCTGTCCGTCATCTCGAATCTGTGGACGATGTGATTTTCGAAGAATCTGACCACCTGTGCGCTGGAAATGGACCGATAGGACTCCTCCTCGACCTATTTAGTGAAATAGTTAGTTGCCACCAAAATCCAGGCATGCTAGTTGGATGCGGCTGGGTAGATTTTGCCGATGATATCCACGGCCCATCCTCTAAATTGCCACGGTTTAGTAACCGGGTGGAGGGCTTCGGTTGGCACCCTTTGTACGGGGCCGTAGATTTGACACTTGATACACCCTTTCGCATACTCTATGCAGTTCTTTAAAATGGTCGGCCAATAATAGCCGTGCCTCCGGACCAACCATCTCATCTTGACACAGACTGGTGAACGCCGCAAATCCCTTCGTGGGATTCGGTCATGATAACCTTAATATCTTCGGCGCTGGGACATAGGAGAAATAAGTCGTATGATCCTTTTCGATACAACTCGTTCTGATAAATCAAATAACACCGAGCTTAGAAGCGAGTAGTCATTTCATGGTTGCCGGAGGCGTCGCGCAGATACTTTACTATGGGGTAGCGTCAGTCGGCCTCGGCCGTTTCGACCTCGTCGGTAATTTCGGCCGATGATACTTGCGTCGTCATTCCTCGCTCGGCCAAAGCCGGCAGGGTACACTTCTCGATTCTTATCACGCGGTCGTGGTCGCTGTCCGGAATGTTCACGCCTGACGCTACCTGGGCCATCTCGTTGGCCTCATGGTTTTCAACGCGCGGTACGTGAACAAAGGAGATCCTAGAAAACTCGTCGGCCGTATTGAGGGCCGTCACATAATACATGGTTAAATTCTCGCTCGTGCACTGGTATTCCCCGGTTAGTTGGTTAATTACCAGTTGAGAATCACCGTAGACCAGGACATGGGTTGCCTTCATTTCCTTTAGAATTTCAAGACCGATGATGAGCGCTTCGTATTCGGCCTGATTATTGGTGCATTTGAAATCAAGTTGGAACGCAAATTGCCACCTTTGTCCTTGGGGGGACTCGATCACTACCCCGGCCCCAGATCTGACCTCGGTACTGGAGCCATCGAAGTACATAGTCCAGTAGTTCTTCTCCATGCGGGCCATGCCGATCTCGACCTCCAACTCTTCTTCCTGCCCCTGAGCCGGGTGGTGGGCCAAGAAATCAGCCAATGCTTGACCTTTGACCGACTTCTGAGCCACATATTGGAAGGTGAATTCGGACAACGCTATAGTCCACTTCCCGATTCGGCCGCGTATGATCGGCCGAGTGAGATGTATTGATGAGGTCGGTCTTGGAGATGATCTGAACGACCGAAGGAAGCATATAATGGCGCAACTTGATAGCCGCGAAATAAAGTGCAAGCATAATTTCTCGATCGGTGAATAGTTTAGCTCGACCATGTTAAGGGTGCGGCTCAGATAGTGCACTGCTTGCTCTCATTCAGACTCGTTGTTCTGAGCCAGCAGACAGCCGATAGAGCCCTTGAAGTCGAAATGTAAAGCCTCAAGGGTTTCCCCCTTTTCGGCGGCATAAGGACCGGTGGTTGAGATAAATATTTCTTAATGTCGTCGAGGGCCGCTTGATGTTCTGCCCCCCATTCGAACCGTTCTGTGTCTTTCAGTTTGAGCAGAGGAGTCAACGACCGAATTTTCCTGCCAAATTGGATATGAACCGTCTCAAAAAGTTGACCTTACCGAGGAAGGACTGGAGTTCCTTCTTGGTCCTCGGTGGAGGCGCTGCTATAATGGCCGTGTCTTTATTTTTATCTACCTCGATCCCTCGTTGGTGAACCAGGAAACCGAGAAAGTTCCCGGCGGTGACACCGAAAGCACATTTCTTAGGGTTCATCTTCAGGCCGTGTGTCCGCATTAGATTGAAAGCCTGTCGGAGATGCTCCACGTGGTCGGCTTTGGATGGGGATTTTACAACAACGTCGTCGATGTAGACCTCAACGGTTTCGCCAATTAGGTCGTGGAAAATAAGGTTCATAGCTCGTTGGTACGTTGCGCCGGCGTTCTTCAGGCCGAACGGCATGACCACCCATTCATAAGTCCCGATTGCGCCTGGACATCTGAACGCCGTCTTGTGGACATCTTTCCTCGCTATGAAGATTTGGTTGTAACCAGCGTGGCCGTCCATGAAAGACAGGAGCTCGTGCTTCGCGGCTCCGTCCACCAGGAGGTCGGACATAGGCATAGGATACTCGTCCTTGGGGGTCGCGAGGTTTAGATTTCGGTAATCGGTGCACACCCTCAAAGCCCCCGTCTTTTTCAAAACTGGTACGATGTTAGCCAACCATTCAACGTACCGAGCCGTGCGGATGAAGCCGGCTTTAAGGAGCCGTTCAATTTCCTCTTTGACCTTAAGCTGTACGTCGGTCGAGAATTGCCTCGGCGACTGTTGGAAAGGCCTAAACCCCTCCCTAATCTTTAGTTCGTGCTCGACCAAACTTCTTGGCAATCCAGGCATCTCATGATAATCCCAAGCAAAACAATCCTTATATTCATGGAGCAAGCCGATAATCTCGCTGCTAATTCAGGGTTCACAAGCTGGCTTACAAAAAAAGGCCGTGGTTCGGACTCGGTCCCCACATTTATTTCTAATAACGGGTCCTGGACCTCGGGGTAGTCATCCTCCATCTCGGCGGGCGCCGCTTCCAAGTCGTCAAAGGCTAAAGTGTCCGCCTTATCTGATTCGTGGAGGAATTCAATTAGGTTGATCGGTGAGTTTGGTTGTAAGGATTCCTCCGCCCAATGTTCCAGCAGTCTTTCCAGTAGGTCGGTCACGGCCGCCGCTCCCTTTCTTTAGTGGTTCTGTCTGTCATCTAAAGGCTAGTGAGGTCGATCAAACTTCGCGCGCGAATCCTGCCGAACATTCTCGGCGCCTAACTCCAGCACTTTCTGGGCCGTTGCCCTGGTCGGTCAGCCGCTTGCATCGTGGCCGGTGAGGACAACCCATCCAACGTCGTCGTCGTAAATCCGTGCTTGCACAGCATTGGTTTCGAAGGGTTTTTCGTCGGCCGGGTGTATGGATACCCTCTGTCTGTCCCAAAAGAACAAAAGTTGGAAGAGGGAGGACGGTATGCATCCGGACTGATGGATCCAGTCACGACCGAGCAATATATTGTAGTCCACATTGGATTCGACTACGTAGAAGGCCGCGACTCTTGTCTGGTCGGCCACGGTGATTTTTAACAGCAATACCCCGATGGTCTTAGATTTATCGCCGACAAAGCTGCTCATGACCACGTCACTGGGGATAAGGTCCTCTTTTCACTTATCCAGCTTCTTCATCAGGGAATAGGGAAGGATGTTGACCTTCGCCCCACAGTCAACGAAGACCTTGGACACAGGCACACTCTATACATGACCACGTCGCTGGGGATGATGTACAACGGCTTGAGGTGTCGGTATTTGTTTGGCTTGTCCCTGGGTATTACCTCGTTAAAAGCTACGGCCAACAACTCTTCCTTTGTTTTGGGCTTTGATCAAGCTGCTCCTCGACCACATCATTATCCAGGCCGTTGTTCTGGCCTCCTGGAGCTGAAAACTCAGAAGGTAGTACCAAGACCATGTTCATGCTGACCTCCTCTGGCTCCTATTGGTTCCCCCTACCAGCCTCCTCTTTGCCCTCACAGCCGCCCCTGGCGAGGGTTTTTTCTTCAACCACCCCGAGGACCTCCTCATATTCCTCGTCGGAGATTCCCAATGTGGAGTCGTCTTTGGCCTCGTGTCCAAAGAAAGGGTCGCTGGGGCACTTGACCATAGGCCTCAATAGTGTCGGCCGGAGTCACAGTAAAATATTGGCGGAGGTATTCTAAGTCGCTCCTGCTAAAAGGGGCCTTGTCCTCCAACCTTCCCTGATCGGGTCGGTAGCCGAGTGGTCCTTATGGAATTCCATGAGAAAAGACAAACCGTTGGCCGAAAAAGGGGGGGTCCCTTCCACAATAGACGTCGATGACACCCTCATCTGTTTTCTCCAGGGCCGCGGCCTTTGGCTCGACTGAAACGGCCGCCACTGTGCGGGATAACCGTCCTACCTAGGGCGCCATGTCCTTGGAGGCTTGATGCTGGCAGCCTTCGCTGTAGGGGGAACGATTTGTATGGATGGTGGCTCGTCTGTGGTCGCCATCTTCTTTTGGCGTTTTAATCCCTCGACCTGGGCCGTCTGCATCCTGGCCTGCTGAACTTGTCTCTGCATCCTTCTCAGCTGGGTTTTTGTCAGCCGTTCAGCGCTGCCCCCAGGTCGTGCGTGATACCAATGGTCATCCCGCACGACCGGTGGGTTGAAAGTCTTCACCGGCCTAGGAACGGCTTTGTCTTTGTGGCCCGCCGGGGTGTGCTACGGTTTTGTGCTGGCCGACGGTCGTACTGGCCGTCGAATTTCTTCATAGTCGATTGAGACGGCTCAGCGGCCTTTCTTTTGTTCTCTGGCGGTCTGAGCTGACCGATCTCGTACTTGCACCGACTGCACGGTACTGGTTCTGGTTCGGCCAACAGCTCCTTCCCATTTGCTGGCCGACGAACTTCCCTATATTCGGCCCGGAGCTGAGCGTTGACCATGTTGATGACAGGTGGAGGGAATGGCTTGGAGTCGACCTGCATGGCCGCCTTTTTCGGGAATTGGAGCTTCTTTTTCGTCTATCAACTTCTGGATGACATCTCGAAGAACAACGCAATTGTTGGTGTTGTGAGACCAAGAACTGTGGTATTTGCAAAACGTCTTTCCTTTGAGCTCTTCGGGCTTCGGAATTTTATGGCCGAAGCACAATTTGACCTTTTTCTCGGTCAACAGTAGGTCAAAGATAGCTTCGGCCCTGGTCAAATTAAAAGTGTAGGCCTTCGTTTCTCGAGTCGCGAACTTGGCGTTGGGAGTCTTTGTGCGATTATTATCGTCCTTGACAAGTCCTTTGCAGACGAATGGTTTGTCTATGTTAACTTCGGCTGAGCTTATCTCAACTTCGTCGCTCTAGGCCTCTGTGGGGCCATCGGCTTCGGCATAGCTGACCACGGGATTCCGATAGTAAGTCCCTTTTAAAGCCGTCCTCGATCATTCACGGACGTCTTCGAATCAGAGTCCCTGAGGGGCCGCTTCTTGCTGGGCAGCAACCGGCCGCAGAACTTGTTGCCCCTTGTTTTGTGGCCTTATCTGCTGGGCGACTTGAACCGGGGGTTCGGCCATTGCGACCGAGCCGGGCGGCACCAGATAAGCGCCGTAGGTTTGACCGGGGTGTGCATGTGTTGCTGTTGGAATGGCCGAACCGTACTAAAGGTGGGAGTCTGATGGAAATAACGACGCCTGTAATGTGTTGCTGTTGGAATGGCCGAACCGTACTAAAGGTCGGATTGCTCTGACCGTACTGTTGTGACGAGGCAGCGGTCGCGTTGCTTAGGCCAGGATGGGTCTGGACGGCCATGGTGTGAACTGGGCCGAGTTGCTGGACCGCGGAATGCGTGGGGCTGCTTTGCCCCAGTGATACGGCCAAAGCATGGAGTGGGCCGTATGCTGTTTCTGGTGGTCAGGTCGGTCCGGGATTCACCCATGTCGGCTGGGATTACCCCCAGTTATTTGTCGGCGGCTGAGAATGCTGGCCGTAGCCTGACGCTTGGGTGTGGGCAGAGGCGCCGAGGCTGCTGCTTTCGCCGTAGGGCTCAAACCTCTCGCTCTCTTGGCTTCTCTGTCCGGCTCTGGGAGGCGTCGCTGATGACGTTACTGGCATGCTCTCTTGAAAGAGCATCCGTAGCTCTGAGGAGAATTTGTCCATTGCGGCCATAAAGGATGTCTCTATCCTATAGGCTTGCTTAGCCATCAGATTCTCCACTACTGCTGCTCTCCCATGGACTCGGCCGCACGATCTGTCGTTGTTGGAACGCTGGCTGAGATTCTGACCGCGTGTTCGGTCTCGGCGATAGTGATTGGTGAGGTGGACTCAGGAGCCTCGGAAGTCATTTCGACTGTTTTGTTTTTGAGCTTTGCCTGTGCCCTAGTTTCGACCATAAGTTTTTGACAAGTATCCCACCGGGCGTGCCAAAAGTGTTGGCTGTGCAAATCTCACGGCCTGGTGCTCCGGGCCGTGGGGATGAGTGTAACACGTGACATCCTTCTTTTGGATGCGGTGCGGTTGTGCGCGGGCGTGCTAGCACGGTCTACGTGCGTTGAGATGGTGATGAGGTTTGGGTCGAGGATGGTTTAAATGATGCGCCTGTTTCGAGTTCGACTCCTGATCAAACGATTGTGGCCGAGAGAGGAACTGATCTCGGTCGTCAGGTTCACAGCCTGAGCTACAAGGCCGTTTAATGGTGGTGTTGGTGGCGGGTTTTAGGCGGTGCTCCGGCGCGTTGCTCAGAGAGCGACAACCGTATGATATATGGGGTGAATGAGATGACAACAGAGATGGTGCTCCAGCGCCTTGAAAATCAAGGGTCATATGATATATTGATGAATGGATTTTCCTTACAATCTACCACTACTCCTAGGAAAGCAAATAAAGGTATTGAAAGTGGATTACAAGAAAATATAATTTGCTCCGTGGGAGGCTTTTGGTTTGGTGTTTGAACCCCTTGAATGTAGTCTTAAGCTTAGTATTTATAGGGGGAGTCCTGGAGGGACAATTGAGGCCGAAAAGATTTTTTTTTTTTTTTTTTTTTTTTTTTTTTTTTTTTTTTTTTTTTTTTTTTTTTTTTTTTTTTTTTTTTTTTTTTTTTTTTTTTTTTTTTTTTTTTTTTTTTTTTTTTTTTTTTTTTTTTTTTTTTTTTTTTTTTTTTTTTTTTTTTTTTTTTTTTTTTTTTTTTTTTTTTTTTTTTTTTTTTTTTTTTTTTTTTTTTTTTTTTTTTTTTTTTTTTTTTTTTTTTTTTTTTTTTTTTTTTTTTTTTTTTTTTTTTTTTTTTTTTTTTTTTTTTTTTTTTTTTTTTTTTTTTTTTTTTTTTTTTTTTTTTTTTTTTTTTTTTTTTTTTTTTTTTTTTTTTTTTTTTTTTTTTTTTTTTTTTTTTTTTTTTTTTTTTTTTTTTTTTTTTTTTTTGAGGACGTCGTTTTGATGAAAATTTCGCCATGGTTTCGTTTTTAAACGACGTCCTTTTGAACAAGTAAGTCGTTCATTAGGGTTTAGGTTAATACCTTTTAACGACGGTGATTAGGTCGTGGAATATCTATTTTACGTCAGATGGTGAAACATCCGCCATGGTTTCTCTTTTAAACGACGTCCTTTTTACATGTGAGTCGTTTATTATTATTTACAACGGCGTGGTTTGTTGTTGATATAAGAATATTTTATTATTTTTAATTCAAAATTTTAAAAATAAATTTAAAATAAATTCAAAAAATTCAACTTCAACTCCTATGAAGTCATTGATATATTTTCTTCCCCCTAAACCCCAAAAAAATGCAGTTTGTGTAATAAAAGTTTAAAATGACCAACCAAAATAAAATTGTTTTTATGTGTCATAGCATCACTTATATAGTTTGATGGTTTAGGGTTTGGGGTTTAGGGTTGTTATTTATTAGGGTTTATGGTTAAAGTATAATTTTTGGGGTTTAGGGTTTATGTTTGTTATTTATTAGGATGTAAAACCATAAACAATTTTATAAAATTAAATTTTACAAATATATAATTTATGGTTTTAAAGTTTAGGGTATTACTTTTAACGACGGTGATTGAGTCGTGGAATATTGAGTTTACGTCGTATGGTGAAAAATCCGACGTGGTTTCTTTTTTAAACGACGTTTTGTTTACCTGTTAGTCGTTTATTATTATTTACAACGTCGTTAGTTACTTAACCCCGCCGTGGTTTGTTGTTGATATAAGAATATTTTATTATTTTTAATTCAAAATTTTAAAAATAAATTTAAAATAAATTCAAAAAATTCAACTTCAACTCCTATGAAGTCATTGATATATTTTCTTCCCCCTAAACCCCAAAAAAATGCAGTTTGTGTAATAAAAGTTTAAAATGACCAACCAAAATAAAATTGTTTTATGAGTCATAGCATCACTTATATAGTTTGATGGTTTAGGGTTTAGGGTTTGGGGTTTAGGGTTGTTATTTATTAGGGTTTATGGTTAAAGTATAATTTTTGGGGTTTAGGGTTTATGCTTGTTATTTATTAGGATGTAAAACCATAAACAATTTTATAAAATTAAATTTTACAAATATATAATTTATGGTTTTAAAGTTTAGGGTATTACTTTTAACGACGGTGATTGAGTCGTGGAATATTGAGTTTACGTCGTATGGTGAAAAATCCGACGTGGTTTCTTTTTTAAACGACGTTTTGTTTACACGTAAGTCGTTTATTATTATTTACAACGTCGTTAGTTACTTAACCCCGCCGTGGTTTTTCATAGTTTTAACGCCTTTTTTGATTTTGCGTGGTACATAGTTTTACCACGACGTCCTTAATGTAATAAGCGTCATGTTTAATGTTAAATTTTAACGACGCTTGTTTTTTCGGTCGATGTTTTAAAAAGCGCGCTTTCTTAAAATATTCGCGGGACCTAAAATTTTCAGATTTGGCTCTTATTTTTATACTTCTAACCCTGAACCCTAAAATTTTCTGATTTCGCGCAACATAACATTTCGCTCTCTCACTTCATCTCTAATTCAAAGTTGGGCCAGGCTGTGTCAAATCCAATTTGGTCATAATCTGTGAGCTCTGCCAACCTGTAAGTACAAACCCTCTCTTCCCCTTGTAAATTCATTGAATGATATATTACGTTGTTTTGTTAAAGGGTTTTAGGTATATGTTTTGCGATCTGTTAATAATGTTGTTGGAGGTATGGGTTCATGGATTTTCTGTTTAATGTTTTCTTGATCACTCTGTTATGTTGAATATGGAATGGATTTCATTTTGTCGGATCTTTTAATCACTCTCTGTTATGTTGAATTGGGAATGGATTTATTGTTTTCATGCTTAGTATATGTTGGTTTCATGTATATGTTGGTTTCTTGCTTGGTTTCATGTCTATGTTGTGTTCTTAATAGGGTTTTGGGATCTTGAAAATAAACTGGATATCGACGCGTTTTCAGGCATACGACGACGGTTTTTACTTTAAACCGTCGTTTTTATTACTTATACACGACGGTGTTATTTAACTACCGTCGTGGTTATAATTAGACGACGTAAAATCCGTCGTCTATATATGTCAAATACGTCTGTTTTTGTTTAAAAACCGTCGTCTCTGTTGTATATTACTTGCTATTAGACTTTATATAATCTGCTATAGTGATGGTCATTGCTTGTCTTTTCACTTTATTATATATAATAGGGTATAGTGTCGGAGATGGATAAGTCATGGATGCACTCGGATAGAAGATCGAAGGCATATGAGTTAGGGGTGGAAGCATTTTTGAACTTTTCTGTAGAAAATCTTCTAACTACCACACATATCCGTTGTCCATGTGTTAAATGTGTTAATTTGAAATTGTTTGGGGTTGGAATTATAAGGGATCACTTATACTTTAATGGAGTTGACCAAAGCTATAAGAATTGGACATTTCACGGAGAACCTTGGGAAGCAGCTACTAATGCTAGTAGAAATGTTGAAGAAGATGATGACCATAGTAGGTACAGTTTTGTGTCTGAAGAAATAGAGATGGATGATAATGATTTTGGTGATTTTGGATCTGATCCTTATGAGTTTGCCAATGTGATTGGGGATGGAGATCAACCATTGTACCCTGGTTGTAGAAAGTACACGAAGTTATCGGCATTAGTGAAGTTGTATAATTTGAAGGCAAAATATGGGATGAGTGATGTCTGTTTTACAGAATTATTGATACTTCAAGGCGATTTGCTTCCAGAAGGAAATACAATACCGGCCTCTATGTATGAGGCAAAAAAGACTTTGTGTGCATTGGGGCTGAGTTATGAGAAAATGCACGCATGCCCCAATGATTGCATCTTGTATAGGAAGGAGTATGAGGATTTAACTCATTGTCCTAATTGTGGTATCTCAAGGTGGAAGGAAGGCAAAGATTCAATCTTGAAAGAGGGTGTGCCAGCGAAGGTGGTGTGGTATTTTCCTCCAATTCCAAGGTTTAAAAGGATGTTTCGATCACATGAGACCGCTAAGAGTTTGACTTGGCATGCTGCTAGAAAATCAATTGACGGTTATATGTCTCATCCAGCGGATTCCCCGTCTTGGAAACTTCTTGATGATAAATGGCCCGAGTTTGGTAATGAGCCGAGAAACTTGAGATTGGCTCTTTCATCTGATGGATTCAATCCCCACAGTTCTCTAAGTAGCAGATATAGTTGCGGCCAGTTATCTTAGTTACATATAATCTCCCTCCATGGCTGTGCATGAAACGAAAGTTCATGATGTTGACCTTATTGATTTCCGGTCCTAAACAGCCCGGAAATGATATAGACGTCTACTTGGAGCCTTTGATTGATGATTTAAAATCTTTGTGGGATGGGATTGGAGGAGTGTATGATGCACATAATGGAGAATACTTTACACTCAGAGCTGCATTAATGTGGACAATTAATGATTTCCCCGCCTATGGAAACTTATCTGGTTGTGTTGTTAAAGGATATAAAGCTTGTCCAATATGCGGCGATGATACACCTAGTCACAGGTTGAAAAATGGCCACAAAATTTGTTACATTGGGCATAGAAAATGGTTACCGATCAATCATCCATATAGGAGGCAACGTGCAGCTTTTAATGGGAAACCTGAATATGGCACGCCTCCTGAGCCATTAACCGGAGAAGAAGTGCTGCATATGGTTGAAGATGGTGACAGAGTTTGTTGGAAGAAGAAATCAATATTCTTTGATCTCGAGTATTGGAAATACCTTCCTGTGAGGCATGTCCTAGATGTTATGCACATTGAGAAGAACGTTTGCGATAGTATCATTGGTACATTGCTGGAGATCCCTGGAAAAAATAAAGATGGGATTGCTGCTCGATTAGATTTATTGAACATGGGGGTCAAAACTGATTTGCAACCCGAGTATGGAGAAAGACGTACTCGTTTGCCTCCCGGGCCTTGGAATTTGTCAAGAGCAGAGAAGAGAGAGGTTTGCAATTCTTTCTATGGTATGAAGGTCCCTGAAGGTTATTCTTCAAATATAAAAAATCTTGTATCTTTACAAGATTCAAGACTTCTTGGCCTTAAATCACATGATTGTCATACCTTAATGCAACAATTGCTCCCTGTGGCAATTCGTTCTGTTTTGGAGAAGCCTGCAAGGTATGCAATAACTCGTTTGTGCTTCTTCTTCAATGCTATATGTGCAAAGACTGTTGATGTTTCCAAGCTAGATAAGTTGGAAGAAGATGTAGTAGTTACTTTGTGTTTGCTTGAGAAGTACTTTCCCCCTTCATTCTTTGATATCATGGTTCATCTAGTAGTACATCTTGTCAGAGAAGTTCGTCTGTGTGGGCCAGTATATTTTAGATGGATGTATCCGTTTGAAAGATATATGAAAGTGCTAAAGGGGTATGTTCAGAATCGTACTCGTCCCGAAGGTTGCATTGCTGAGCGGTATATAGCTGAAGAAGCTGTAGAGTTTTGTACCGAGCATTTATCTGATGTTAGTACAGTTGGAGTGCCTTCAAGCCAAAAGATGGGAGTTTCAAAGCCATTATCAGGTTGCACAGTGAGCGTAGTTGATCGGGACCTGTTGAACCAAGCACATCTATATGTCTTGGAGAATACGGAGGAAGTCCTACCTTATATCGAGTACGTATGAGTTTTATTCTTTAAGTTTCCATTTTAAATTATTTCTTATGTTTATCTTATATGTTTGGGACCGTAATACTTGAATTTTGTGTGTCATGTAGGCAACATATGATCCACATCCAGACCGCTTATCCAAAATTTAGAAAGAGAACAAAGTGGCTGCAGGATAAGCACAATAGCACTTTCATTCAATGGCTACGCTTCAAGGTATATGTTATTGAATAACATATTGGACTTTTAATTTTCTTCTTCTATGTTAGATTGAATTAAGTTATGATTAATTTGCAGGTTCAAAGTGAACTTAATGAGGACAATCATGGCGTATCAGAAAATTTAAGGTGGCTAGCAGCTGGTCCAAACATGGCAGTGCCATTATATAGGAGCTATCTCATTAAAGGTATTAAATTCAACATCAAGGCACAAGATGATGTGCGGACAACTCAAAATAGTGGAGTTTATTTACTTGCACATACTATGCAAGTTGCTAGTGCCAAGGATAAAAACCCAATTCTCTCAAATATGGGTTTCTATGGTGTCATTCAAGAAATTTGGGACCTTGACTACCAAAAGTTTACAATCCCAGTCTTTAGGTGTGATTGGATTGATAATACTTCTGGTCTTGTAGTGGACGAACTTGGATTTACCCTTGTAGATTTGAGTAAAATTGGACATAGGAATGACCAATTTGTTTTGGCTTCTCAAGTCAAACAAGTATTTTTTGTTGACGACCCGATGCATCGTGGTTGGTCGGTAGTGTTATCAATGCCTAATAGAGAATATAATGATGTTATTGGTGATGATGTCTTAGGTGATGTGAGAATTGAGTGTGAGCCATTTACTAGGGGGATGCCAAATGTTGACACATTTGATGAAGTGGTGGTTGAGTTAGGGAGTCAAAATATTCGAGATGGGTGTGAAGATATATGGGTTGAATGATGCTTTATGTAATTGGCAGTGTATGACATTAATTTTGTAATATATTGTAATGTGATTTCTTCACTTTCATTATACAGGTTTTGGCCACAAAACAATCAGTACAAAAATTACTGGTTCCAGATTACAAACAAGACGGTTTTGATAAAGAACCGCCATGTAATTCAACATAACACGTCTCCAATCCCATAACACCGACGTCTAAAAGACGAGAACTTTAACCTGAACGTTACAAAAGACGACGTCGTCATGAATTTACCACGTCGCATGTTCTTTCATAAACGAAGTGGAAAAGGATGAATTCACGACGGTATTTGAAATCCATTAAATTTGTCGACGTTAAGATTTATGAATTAGACGACGTTAATTTTTTAATGAAGACGTATAAATTATTAAACACGACGGTCTTTTTCATGGTACCGACGTTGTATATAAACGACAACGTCGTCCTCATAAATTACTGTGTCGTAATTAATGACCCCATCATTTTTTCCACGTCGTTTATTTTCAAAATATGACGTATAAATTCTGTAATACGGCTCTCATTTATTTGAAACCGACGTTATTTATCCATTCAACGTCGTCTCTGTAAATACATGTGTCGTAAGTAATGACCCTGACATCTATTTCCACGTCATAATTCATAGAAAAATCGAAGTGGAAAATTTATTTTACGACGGTTGTGGGAAATGTTGTGACGTAGTAGGTGTCAATAACGTCGTCTATTATTATTGTAAAGACGTCGGTTGTATGTTTATCTTGCGGCCATGTTCTGTTAATATATGTCCTTTTTAACGACGTTTTTTTTGTTGGAGTTGGTCGTCTATTCTCATCCTCGACTGTTTTTTTATGTCTTTTTGCAGCACAAAGACGTCGGTTTTTATTTTTTGATGACGTTTTTTGTTTTAACAACGACGGTTATTCACTGTCGTGGTTTGGTTATGGAAAAGATGTCGGTGGATTCCACGACCATTTGAAAACAGAATACACGACGGTGAATTCCCGTCGTGTTTTTCCTTTTTTGTAGTAGTGTTCGTTGATGTCAGCAGAAGTGCCCAAGCGCTCCATTGAAGAACACTTGATGTTCTTTAGGCACTACACCAAGATATCTACTGCTCAGAGGCAAGTGGTGCTCAGGAGAACCTACCCCTGGTTTTAGCCTGGGTACAAACTGTTTGAGAAAGAGCCAGAAGAAGAAGAGGCCAGAATTGATTTCAAGAAAAAGTTCTTAAGTGTAATGCTGCCCAGGGACATGCCATTTGGTGGAAGTGAACCTCCCAATTATCACCTGGGGGTAGAAGTGTATCACCCCAATTTCAGAATGACAACACCATACATTTGAATGGGATATTACAAATGTATTATCATGAATGAGAAATGACAACACAATACGTTGTAGTTTGACTAATCAAACACCCATATCACTATGCCCCAATACAAGACAGATAAAGATATTTCTAAATTGATTCATAGTGTATGAGTGTATGGTGAATTTGTTGTGAAAATTGGCTCATCTAAGATGCAAAGGAAAGAATGCAATTGATAAACCGACAGTTGAAAATTGCAAAACAACAATTGAAAAACAAACAGTTGGAAATTGCAAACCAGAATGCAATTGACAAACAGACAGTTGGAAATTGCCAGCGCACGTGCAGTTATCATGCGTGAGGGTTTTTTTTTCAGTTTTGGCTTGGTTTTTCCACATGTTTTCAGTTCCCATTCCAAGTAGTGTAAATATTTTTGTAAATAATTATTCTTTGTTTGGTGTTGGTCTGATGGATAAGTTTCTTCTATTATATCAGCATGGTTGAAGTTTCCAGGTATTTTTTTATTCTTCTATTTTTTTCTTGACTTTATTTTCAAATTTAGCTTTCAGCTGCTCTATCTTTCTCTCTTTGTCTCACTCATTAATTTTTCTTTTTGTTTAATGGTTCTCTCTTTCTATTTGTTAAGATGATGATCCATTATTATTAGTTTGTTTTTCTTTTTGCTGTTTTGTTTTTTCCTTCATTTTTTTTGTTTTCTTTGTTGGTAGTCTAAAAATCTTGTTTTTCATTTGAAATTATCTTTTTGTAAATAATTATTCTTTGTTTAATGCAAGTCTGATGGATAAATTTCTAATATAATAGAGGACATAGGACAATCTACTACTGATGAATCTTATGTTCTTTGTTCTTGGGAATCAATTGATATTTAGGTTGAACTTAAATATCTAGCATTTTGTTTTTTGAGACATCTTGTGAATTTGTTGGAAGAATGTTAGATATATGGATTGCTTTTGAATGCAATGAATTATGTAAAACTATAAATTTTATCTACAGCACTGTTTAAAAGAAATTAATTGTGATTTCATATTGTAAATACAATAAATAAAGAACCTGGTGAGGTAAACCTAATTAATTACCAATTTTTTGAAATACATTAGTGACCAAGAAAGTAGGTCACTAATGTGAGCACGTGACCCAGTTTTAGTGACCAAAATGCATGTTTTGGTGACTAAATTGTAAGCCCTTTAGTGATCAAAGTTGCGGTCACTAATAGCTTTTTTATTAGTGACCAAACATTAATAGTCACTAATTCTTTGTGTTGTAGTGACCAATACTTGAGAATGGTCACTAAATAGAATTTGTGATGAGCGTCTAGTGACCACCCAGTGACCACCAATATTTGGACATTAATTGCATTCAGTGACCAAAAACGGTATTTTCTATGACCAAGTGGTTGGCCACTAATACTTGTTTTTCTTGTAGCGAGTGTTGGTGCGAATTACAAATTATAATTAGGGAGCTTTAGTTTTAAAGCATAATATAGTTTACTAATTTAGTAGAAAGAAATACAATTTAGTCTAATTAGCAAAAGGAAAAAAACCAAAATGTAACAAAAATACCATTACAAAATATGAAAATTACAACATATGCCATTTTCAGTATTTAGTTTTAAACAAAAACTGAAAAACGACATCAAACCAAAACTGAACCAAAACGACATCAACCGAAACCAAAATTGAATCACAACTCCTTCGCGCGACGTTTCAACTTCACCTCCAGAAACCTCTTCAACTTCAACTCCAGAAACCTCCAGACCACCAACGATCATCGAAGACCACCAACCCATTCGTGCGACCATCATCGAAGACCACCAACGATCGAAGCCGATTCTTCATTCTCTCTTTCAGCAGTTCCAACCTATTCCCCCAAAATCTGAAACGGCGACGAGCGACGAGCGACGAGCGACGACCAGAAGCGACGACCAGCAACGACGACGATTGAAGGGTTTAGCACTCTCTTGGGGAAAAAATCGTAAGAAAATGACCCCTAACACAAATTTGCCTTTGATTTTAGGGTTCTGAAATTTTACTTACTGTCATTCTGCAATGTAGTTTAGGTTTTGGGTTTAGTTTTGGTTTGAAAACCTCTAGAAACCGAAAAATCACAAAAGAGCATCAAAACTGTTTTCTGCACTGAAGAAAACAGAAACTGCATTGTAGTTTCTGCTAAATTATTTATACTTCTTTCCATTTCACGTCATGTTGTTATGTAGTTTCTGTTATGTTTTGTAGTTCTTGTTTTGACTATGCTGATCTTTCAATTTCATGTCAAGTTGATGTATATTTTCTGGTATATTCTGTTTTTTGCATTGCAGTGAACCACAAACTGCATTGCAGTTTCTGTGCATTTCCGCCATGTTGTTATGTAGTTTCTGTTATGTTTTGTAGTTCTTGTTTTGGCTATGCTGATCTTTCAAATTCGTGTCAAGTTGATGCATATTTTCTGGTATATTCTGTTTTTTGCATTTGAGTGAACCACAAACTGCATTGCAGTGAACCACAAACTGCATTGCAATTTCTGTGCTTCTTGAATGTTGCTTATTTCACGCCATGTTGTTATGTAGTTTCTGTTATGTTTTGTAGTTCTTGTTTTGGCTATGCTGATCTTTCAATTTCATGTCAAGTAGATGCATATTTTCTGGTATATTCTGTTTTTTGCATTTTAGTGAAAGACAAACTGCAGTGCAGTGAACCACAAACTGCATTGCAGTTTCTGTGAACTGCATTGCAGTGAACCACAAACTGCATTGCAGTTTCTGTGAACTGCATTGCAGTGAACCACAAACTGCATTGCAGTTTTGAATGTTGCTCATTTCACGCCATGTTGTTATGTAGTTTCTGTTGTGTTTTGTAGTTCTTGTTTTGGCTATGCTGATCTTTCAATTTCATGTCAAGTTGATGCATATTTTCTGGTATATTCTGTTTTTTGCATTTTAGTGAAAGACAAACTGCATTGCAGTGAACCACAAACTGCATTGCAGTTTCTGTTTGCTTGTAGTTTATCTCTACTTGTCCTAATAATATTTTCATCCCTTCTTGTTGCAGATCACAAATGGCACAAGAAATGTCACCACAAAAGGAGGAAGCTCAAAACCAACCAAAGCCAAGATTCAAAATGATGGCTCAAAAGAGTAAATCAAAGCCAAAGCCAAAGCCAAACTATGATCGGAAAGCAAAGCACCCAGATTATGTCCAATTTCGGTGCAATGTCAACGCTTTCAACAGCATCATTACGGATGTAAAAGACAAGCTGAATGAAAGGCAGAAGAAGCTTCTCAAGAACACCCCATTTTGGAACTTGATTGAGGTGTTTTACAACCGAAGGATTGACATGAATAACATGAATAAGTCAGACCTTGACTTAGTTCAGCTGCTCAAGAAGTTTGATCCGGATACAAAGTCCTTCAAATTTGGCACCGAAGCATTCAAGATCACAGGCAATGCAGTGACTCAGATTCTAGGACTGCCAAATGAAGGAAAATCTGTCAAACTTGTCAATGATAGGTACACTTCTACCTTCAGAATAAGGCACTTTGGAGAAAAGGGAAAACCATCAAAAAATCTGGTAGAAGCAGAATTACTGAAGACAATTTCATTGGCAAACCAACCGAAGAAAGAAAAGGCCAAGGCAGAGCAAAAGAAAGAAGCTGAAGAAGAAGAAGAAGAAGAAGAAGTTGACTACGACAAGGAGGTGGTCAGCATAATATTGATTCACCTATGCATGACATTCCTTTTTGCCAACGCTTCGTCTACTTTGCATTGGAAAGTATTTGAGCACTGTGTGAATCTGGACACACTTTCAAGCTATTCTTGGGCAAGTGCTGTTTCAGCCTACATGAATGAATCCTTGGTCGCAAAAGCAAAAGCAAAAGCAAAGAAGGGAGGAGAAGGCTCTATAGGAGCTGTTTCGGGTTGCATTATCCTAATATTGGTATGCATTTTGAGTTTTAGGCAATGCAGTTTCCCTTTAGTGCAATGCAGTTTCTGTTTTATCCTAAGCAGTTTCCAACCTAATTTATGATATATCTTGTTTTTGAATTGTGCAGTTTCTACTGTGTGAGAGGACAAACATAATACAACCAATCCTGGGCAAAGAGAAAGAAACTCCTGCCATTCTTAAATGGAGTCTTGTGGAACTCCACACAAGATTCAACCAAATAAAGGACTTGAATGACATCGAGGTATGCAATTTATCGCATGTTGTTCTACTTTAATGTATCTTGAATGTGAATTCATGCTAAATCATTCTCATTGTACAGGGTATTTTCAAAACTCCTAAAAAGCGAAAAACTACCAGGGAAGAGGAAGACACTGTTGACAAGGTATTTGAGTGAACCACAAACTGCATTGCAGTGAACCACAAACTGCATTGCAGTTTCTGTCTTTCTTGAATGTTGCTCATTTCACGCCATGTTGTTATGTAGTTTCTGTTGTGTTTTGTAGTTCTTGTTTTGGCTATGCTGATCTTTCAATTTCATGTCAAGTTGATGCATATTTTCTGGTATATGCTGTTTTTTGCATTTGAGTGAACCACAAACTGCATTGCAGTGAACCACAAACTGCATTGCAGTTTCTGTCTTTCTTGAATGTTGCTCATTTCACGCCATGTTGTTATGTAGTTTCTGTTGTGTTTTGTAGTTCTTGTTTTGGCTATGCTGATCTTTCAATTTCATGTCAAGTAGATGCATATTTTCTGGTATATTCTGTTTTTGGCATTTGAGTGAACCACAAACTGCATTGCAGTTTGTATTTTATCCAATGCAGTTTTTGAATCATTCAATCTCATTGTACAGGGTATTTTGAAAGCATATAAAAAGAGAAAAACTACCAGAGAAGAGGGAGATCCTCTTGACAAGAAAAAGAAGATGCAGAAAAAAGAAAAAGAAGATGAAGGACAACAAAGAGAAGCAGAGGAAGCAGAAGACCAAGGAAAACCTAATAATGCTTATCAAACTCCAGAATTAAAAGAGGATGGAAAGAAGAAAATGTTTGAGAATGAAGCTGGAAATGAACCTCTTGCAATTCAAGACCTCTTGGTGAAGTCCATGACAGACCAAATCAACTATCACCAACGTCAAGATCCTAGCTTCATTTGCCCAGAAAGATTACAACTGTGGAAGGATGAAAAAAATGAAGACAGTGAGAAGAAAATGAAGGAATTGTGGGATATATTTATCCAAGGAGAAAAGAGATCAAAGGAGCTGGAAGAGAAGTTGGCAACATACGTAGAGAAATTAGATAATGAAGAATATGTGACTGCCACCATGACAGTGGAATCTACAGTTCAGCTTCAGGAAATAGAAAATCTAAAAAGGAGGATTGCAGAATTGGAAGGCAAGGAAACTCGGATTGACATGGAGAAGATTGCCAAGAAAAAGGAGATGGATCTGCCTACAACACAACCAACAGAAGAGCAAGAAGAAGAAGAAGAAGAGAAAGAAGAAGATAAGAAAGAAGAAGAGAAGCAACAAGAAGAGAAAGAAGAAGAGAAGAAGCAAGACGCTCCAACACTTCAAGAGTACTAAGGCTGAAGAATAGAGAAAGAAAGAGGCTTCAAGCATCTTGCTATGTGTACGAAAAAAATAAGAAACCAAAAAAGAAGGCAAAAAAGGATGATGAAGAACTACCACAATTCAAGATTATCTCTTCCGAGGAGCAATCAACACAAGAGGATCCTCAAAATCAGAAGGTGGTATGCAATTACTGCAGTTCAAGCTGCTGATTTTCTGTTTTCTGCTGCTTTACAGAAACGGAAACTGCATTGCAGTTTCTGTTTTATCAAATGGAGTTTCTAATTAGTTTCCTTTCAATCTGCAGTTAACACAAGAGGCATCTCAGCCCGATGCCACAAATCCAATTCCTGATCCCCCAAAAGGAACGAGCCTTCATGATTCAATACTTGTAGGTATGCAAGAATCAAATGATGAAGATGAAGGACAAAAAAAGCCAACAAAGAAAAAACTAGGATGGGGTCAAAAGAAGGTTTGGCAGAAAATTCCAAAGGAGGACAAGGACAGAATTCAAGAATACTACTTAAGTACTCAACCTAGGTAATATCTCTATTCCAAAAGAACAACTCTTTCATCTTTTAATTACAATTAAACTAAAACTAATCTTGTGAATTTCATGTATTTGAATCCGCAGTGATAACTTTTGGGCAGGACTCGATAGTGAGAAAGTGACAAACCATGATATCAAAGATATTGTATGGGACCTGGAACTGTCACAAAACGTAAGTATAAAATACTAATTCTATAACACACACTGCACTGCATATTACCCGTTAATAATTCCATTTTTCTCCAATCAATGTGAAACAGGTTATTGAGGCCTATATCCAAATAGAGGAGGAGAAAATAGGGCCCATGCAGACAGATAGTCCACAGTACATGTCTACATGGACTTGGGTAAGAATTATTTTGAAAATTCAAAGTTGTTTAAACAGACACGGCACTGCAGTTTTCGAAAAATATATACTAACAAATTGCCATTCAATGATATCAGGCTTACATGCAAACCTTTCTAGAACCAAATTGGCATAGGGCCCTGTATGAACACTTACTTGAAAAACTCGGGAAATGCAATGTTCTCTTCTTCCCGATCATTTCAAGTTCTGAGTTCCACTTTACACTTCTCACATTTCACAAAATTGAACGAAAGTGGAGACACTACAATCCACTTAGATCGTTGGGATCTAGAAAAGAAGAAAAGTGTATTGACATTGCTCAAAATTTTGTAAGTGGAATGAAACTGTCTTAATTTCTCAGCACAAACACAAACAGAAACTGCAATGCAGTTTCTGTATTATATGTACTGCTTAATTTCGGACCAAAACTATAATATGCAATGCACTGATTACCATTTCTTTTTCTCTTTTTTTCTTCTTCTTTAAACAGGTTAATATTGTGGAAGGGTGGCTAGAATATATCAGACCACAAGCACAAGAGTTCTTAGAAACTAAAAAAATACCAAAACTTGTGAAGCAAAAAGAAGGGCCCCCTACACCTGCACAGGTTGATTTGTCCCCAAATGAAGAACTCACTCTAAATTGGATTCTGCAAAATCCATATCAGTTTCCATTTGAGGATGACACAGAATGTGCTCAACAAAATTCATCTTCGTAAGAATTGTGTCTACTCAACCATTCATTACAATTTGAAATCATTCAAAACCAAAAGCTAATCTCGTATTCATTTGCAGGTTGGATTGCGGCATGTTTGTCATGTTCTACATGGATAAAATAGCACAAGGACAGCCCATTCCAAAAAGTGTGGACAAGAAATTCATGAATGAATATCGAGCACAATATGTCACAAAACTCCTACACCACAAACACTGTGTAATTAATCGTCTCTAGTGATTTGCCTTTCGTTAACTCAAGACAATATGTATCTTAATTCTTGTGGATGTTTGTAAATATTTCTAGTTATGGTATATGAGAACATACTTGCAAAAATTATTCTGAAATTGAATTATCGAACAAGAAACTGCACTGCAGTTTCTGGTCTCGAACAAGAAACTGCGCTGCAGTTTCTGGTCAAAATCTGCACTGCTGCTCAAAAGGTAAAGGCATAATCAAAGTACTAAAACTAATATCAAAACACATTTAACTCCATGAGCAGTTATAACATTCCCATAGACTAGCAAAAAGTATTCTGAAATTGAATTATGGGACAAGTTCTGTTCAAAATCTGCAACAAATAAACAAAAACTGCAGTGCAGTTTCTGCAACAAAATCTGCTCAAATCTGAAAACAAGCATTCAATGGCAGTCAAAAACGAATATCCACTCATGAAACAATTGTATAATTTTCATTAACTTCAAAAAAGAATCATAATATCCAATTAGAAGCTGTGTAGCCAATTAAAAGCAACTAAAACTGCAATGCAGGTTTTGCAAAAAGTGCAATGCAGAAACTGACTATACATTCACTAAACCATATCTAACGTAAGCAATCGTCAACTGAGAAGGAATGTTCATATCACAGCCTTGCAAGTCTTCCTATTATGCCCAGTAACACTACACCGACTGCATTTCAATGGCCTTTTAAATTCACCAAAAGCTTTGATCCTCTTTGTTGGTGGTCTTCCGGCTGGCCTCTTTGTAATTGGCGGAAGCACAACTCCAGCTGCAAAACTGTTGCTGCCCAAGCCTTTCCCAATATCTGGAATAGGAAAAATAGGACTCTCATAGGCTTTTCGAAAGAAGTCAGTCCTATAGTAACACTCCACGTAATCATAAATTGAATCTTTCTTTGCTAGAATTGCAGCTACCGCATGCGTGCAAGGAAAACCGTCAATTTGCCAAAGACGGCAAGAACAAGTCCTTTGCTCAAGATCAACCATCACAGAATAATCAGCAAATACTTCAAAAACAGTGAAACTAGAACGACGAACTACCCAAGTCCTACCGGCCTCCGCATTTTCCCACAGTCTAGTTTCCATCTCCGGACACAAAATTGTTGTCCACTTCTCCGCTTCAATTAGTCGTTGAGAATTCAATACCATCAATTTCTGTCGAATCCCTTCTATCAAAGGTAGCACCGGCAAATCTCGAAACACACCAACCCAATTATTAAATGACTCCGCTAAACTATTTGCCATCTCCCCATACCGCATTCCTTTGAAATATGCGTTCGCATAGTGATCTCTAGACAAATCAGATATAAATGTCTTCACTTTCGAACTCCCAACAATCACCAACTCCTCCATTGCTACCGTAAACTCTTCCTCTGTAACAGCATATGCGCACCTACTAAATAAATTGATAACACGGTCTTGGAGCGATTTCCCATAACCTGACTTCGGGTACTTCGATATCAAATTCTGTTTGAGGTGATAGTAACAGTAAGAATGAGGCCATCCAGGAAACACAAACCCCATTGCATTTAACAAACCTTGATTGCGATCCGAGAAAAGGGTCACCACTCTCCCCATCGGTAGCAAAATAGAAGCCAAATGTTGAAGAAACCAAGTCCAATTCTCCTCCGTCTCAGAATCAACAACTCCAAAAGCTAGAGGATAAAACCCTGCAAAACAAAACCAAAAGCACAAGTATAAGCAAAAAAGGGAAATTGCAGTGCAGTTTTTGAAAACAAATCTGCTCAAATTTGAAAGGAAACCAAAAGGCAAATCCATGATTCAAGTACTAAAACTAAGTTTAAAACACATTTAAGTTCATGAGCAGTTGCAACATTCCCACAGACATACAAAAATTATTAAGAAAATCGAATTATGAAACAAGAAACTGCAATGCAGTTTCTGCTAAAAAATTGCAACAAATGGAATCTGCAATACATTACAGTAACCATACCTTGATTTCCATTCTTTCCGGAAGCACAGAGAAGCTGCCCCTTGTACTTGCTCTTCAAAAACGTAGCATCAACGAACAACAAGGGTATGCAATATTGAAATCCAGCAATGCAACCGCCAAACGACACAAAAAACCGTCTAAAGCGATTAATTCCAGCTTCACATTCAAGAGTGCAGAGAGAACCAGGGTTAGTTTCCTTTACGGCGTCCGCATACCACACTAACTCGTTGAAGGACTTCGACTCATCACCGTGAACGTTCAATTTAGCTAACTCTTTGCCAAACCATGCATGGTAGTATGAAATGTCTATACCATAATAATCTTTGAACTCGTGTATAATCTCAACTGGCTTCAGCTCTGGTTTTACACGAATTCTGTCCACAATGAGGGAGGACACCACACGAGACTTCATCATCTTACTCTTTGATTCCCGTATCCGACCCACACATGTATGCACATTATTTAATGTCCGAATTACAAAACAACCAGTAGCTTCACAACGAGAAGCATAAACACGCCAGCTACAACCCTCCAATTTCTTATTCGAACAAATAGCAACCACCCGCTTCTTGTCATTGCCGGCATATAAAAAATTAAATCCTACTTCAAGAGCGTACTTGCACAATTTCAAACGGAACTCCTCTGCACCACCGTCAAACTTCTGCCCTACATGATGTATGTATGTCTCCCACTCATTCGACAACAAAGGCTTAGCACTTGCTCTCTTCGACCTGCCCAAAAATTCATTTCTGTCTTCGACAGTACTAGAACACGACGACTCGCCCTTTTCACATGCAATCAACTCCTTATTTACACAAAAATCACCATTATATTCACTGCTTCCGCAAAAATCCTTCACTAAAATATCAACACTCTTCTCATTTGATACAAACAAAAATGTCCTCATCATGTCCAAATCGCTATCCGTTTCTAGAAAACAACTCGGATAACTGGGCAGCGAATACCGTAACGTAAAACAACCCAACTGCAAACCCTTAAACCTTAGACACAAAGTCTTCAAAATATCAACCATGGATGACTCTGATGAAACTGAAAACATCATGGTTTCCGACTTATATGTGCACTTGGCAATGACACACACCTCCATTAGCCTTGAAAATGCAAACAAAACAACAAACAAAAACAGAAAACAATTTAAATCAGTAAATAATGTACATGAGCAGTTGTAAAATTCCAATAGACTTCCAAATATTAGTCTGAAATCGAATTATGAAACAAGAAACTGCAATGCAGTTTCTACCAAAACTACAACAAACAAATGTAGTTTATGACAGAAAATCAAAACAATTCGAATAGAAACCAAAAGGAAACCACGATAAAAGTACTAAAACTAAATTCCATAAACATACAAGTCGATATAAACGAAAACAGGTTCTAAAGTACTCATACCTCAAAACTTAGGACTGCCAAAAATCTCCACAACCAAACAGCAGCTTAAAATCAAATCTGATCACGAAACGAAGAATATAGGGTTTAGCATTGAACGCCACAAGATCGCGCCGCAAAATCGAGCCACAAAACTGAGCTCGAAATACCCGAACTAAGGAGAACAGAAATCACCCAAAACTGACAGTCATTCAGCATGCAAATCGAACGAAAACGTAGCAGAAAAAAGAAGACAGAAAAACGAAGAAAATAAAAGCAAAACCTACCAGAAAATTGAGCTCCAATGGCAGAACCCAGCTCTGAAACGAAGAAGAAAACGAACGAAAACGAACGAAGAAGAAACTCGCGCGTCGTTTAAATGTTCAGAGGCAAAAGCGTCATTTAATTTGTAGGTTTACAGATGGGCCAGGCTTTTTAAGAGAAAAGGGTAGAATTGTCTTTTTATTTGTTATTTTTAAGCTGGCCCAACGAATCTGGGCCAGCCTTTGGCCTAATCTAAAATAGCTATTTTTTTTAAGTATTAAAACCCAAACTAAAATACCTAATATCTCACTTACTAATTAGTAAACTTAATAATGTCTAATACCTAATTTTCCTTTATAATTATTACCTATATTATAATTGATTGTAATTATAGGAGTACCGGCTTGACCGGGATTGTATTTATTTCCTTTTTTTCTTATTGTATTTATTTCCTAAATAGGCTTGTATTTGTATCACTATAAATGCCTTCTTGTATTTATAGATATCGACTTAAATTACATTTTTGTATTGTAATTTATGTGTTGTAATTTGTAATTATGATGCAGGGCTCTACTTTATGCATGGTAAAAAAAACTTACACATAGATCATTGAAGGATATGAAGAGTTATGTTGTAGTTGGAAACAGGATGAAGATAATTAATATTGAGAATAAATTGATCCGTTGTAAAGAACAACAACAAAGCTCCATGATTTAAGAGACTTCAAAATTATGTTGTGCGATCTATTTTGTCGTATTATAGGGACGAGGAAGGAAGCAGGTGTCATATTAGCTTCTTGGAAGATATGTCCCTTTAGAATGCTTTATTTTTTAGAATGCTCTACATTATCCTTCTCCAAGATAAGATTTCATAAAAACGCAAAGAGGAGAGAGAGAATAATTTTTCGGTTTTATAAATATTATTTTTCAAGAACCTTTTTTTTTCTGCATAAAGTAAGCATCCCACTTGCCACGTCACCAATTTAACATAAAATTAAACAATGAAGTTGACATAGAGCGTAATTTAATTAGAAAGCTAAAGTGAGCATAAAGAAATTAGGGGCATATAAATTGAGCATAAAGAAAGCTAAAGTGATGTCTCCATCTTCCTTTTCCTCTTTTTAGTATCACTCTTATTCTAGCAAAATTAATTGGCATAATTTTTAAGACATTTTTTTTAAAAGCAAAAATGCTGGAAAATAAAGTCTTTTATTATAAAAAGTATGGTGGAACTTCGACATATGCAGCATCTTAATTGTTCCGCATCAGATCGGAGTCTTTGAGTATCATTTCCAAGGCATTTTGCATGCATGACTTGAATTTCTGTGGATCTATGAGACCTTTTTCCATTTTGAAGGCTAGCCTCACCATTCCCATGTAACTAACAATGGTTATCTGAAAGCCCTGCAAATCCATATGTAACTCATGTTACATTAGTTGCTAAATTCCATACGGAAAAACAAATATAATACAAATTAAACTTGAAGATTTATCAACTTTTACATTTTTTTTTATTCGGTTGAACCATTTATTGAGTAATTACTTGTTTAAGGAATAATAAGTTGTGCAAAGAGTAGGAGGGAATTAAGTTATGTTTTCTAGGAGATAAATATTTTTGTAATTATATTTTTTAGATGTCCGTCTTTTATCGCTCAACTTACAAAGTTTTTTATTTTATTTTTGCAATTGTATTTTGCTAGATGTCCGTCTCAACCATTTCTTTCTTTTAATCGTATGTATAAATTGTTGAGACCGGCATCTAACAAAATGAAATTGCAAAAATAAAATAACAAACTTTGTAAGTCAAGCAATAAAAGATGGACATCTAAAAAAA